AAATATTAGCAATTAGCACACTAACACAATCTTTCCTACTACCAGAGGGTTTAGTCAAGATGCCTTAACAGTAGTGTATGTAGCAAGTCGAAAACTTAATTTGTATGAAAATGACAGTTCGTGTCGACAAAATATTTTCATACAAATTTAGATGTACAATTCGTTCAAATGTGCCCCATCTAGTGCTGTCCGAAAGTACCCCACTAACTGAATAACAACAAAATATAACGAATTTTAATATTAATAGGAAGACGTCATAAATTAAGTATTGGAGACGTATCTTAAGTATATTTTGCTAGTTACTTATAGAATACTCTACACGAAAACTTATTTTATCTACGGTAACAAGAGACAAAAACATTGATCAAAAAATTACATACCGAACGCGAAAACACGTGTATTCCTGTAACTTTACTCTCATCGGTGCGAATTTCGCGAAACTTCGGTGATGTATAGTTGGTACCTCGACTCATGCACACATACAAAAACAAGACTGTACTTTGTTTCGTACAAGTTTTATTTTGACTGTATGAATGTGCCCCGCGTACGAAGGGTAACGATCTTCCCCTACGGGTTAAGAACGTAACATTCTATTGTAGAAAGGTATTTTAATACCCTAAATTATTGATGTCTATCGGAGTGGCATTCCAGACAAAAACATCTGTTAGAAAAAACGAACTAGCTTTTTTTGCCCAACAAGTATGTTGCAATAATGTCAAACTAATCAATATAATATATGCGTTAAAAATATTCTTTATATTTAATTAAAGAACTTAGTAAACGTTTCTATATGTGTTTTCAATAAGCTGCAATTTAGTTAATATAACCCGAGCGAGTTAGGTTTCTAGAAGTTTATTCTCGTTAAAAACATTATTAAATAAGAAAAAAAAGTAAAGTCGACGCTATTACTGCATCAAAGTCCACTGCTACTATTTCCCGATGCTAACTTAATGTTCATTAATTGAGTGTCAATGTAAAGTTTGTTAGTGGAAGTAGTAGTAGAGTTAGTAGGTACAACTTATAAATGTTCAATGAAACAACAATTTGTTGTCCACGCCCTGAAGACTGATCCCTAGAACGGGTCACAGTTCTTCTAACCACTTTCAACGTCCTATAACAAGTGCGGCACTGTGCTCCCATTTTTTTGTATATATATCATATATATACATAGTATATATATGATATATATACATAGTATACATAGTATATATATCATATATACTAGAACTATTAGCACAGCTGTTAAATGCGCATGAGCATGAGCCTCTATTCGTTTGGTGCTCAAATTGATGTATCAGCGTTCAACAACCTTGATTATTGGATCTGATACACCAATTAGTATCGCTTCATTGTGAGATACAGTGAGTCATATCCAAATGTGATTGACCTTAAATACGCTTTGGTATCCTTCGCGTTTAATTGTACCCTACTAACATTTTTATTAAATGCCGTACAGAGAAATATTATACAATGTTGTGTTTTAAAAACAGTTTACTCTACTGAGGAAATTAATTTCTTAGACTTATTGACAGTCATGTTCCGTACATAAAAAAATAATAGAATGCGCGCTGGTCCCATGCTTACCACACCACCTTCTTCATGAACGCCTACGCCCTGCTAACTGCTAAGTCATGTTCAGTTTTCTACCCCTAGACAGAGAACAAGATATCTTTTTCAGTTAACAAACACCTTTCTCAAACACCCCCATAAATAAAATTTGTCATTACCATAAGTTATTTTCTCATATTGACGTTTTCAATCAAACAAAGGCCTCCTACAAAAAATATATAACAAATGAAGATTTTAATAGTTTAAGTTTTCTTGTAGGAAAAATTACTAAATAGGTTGTGGGGGAGTAACAATAGCACAGACAATACAATACGTGCTATTATTCTGCCGAGGCGTACACGAATTCATTACATCCATTTGTATTGTATTGTATTGTATGAATTCCTCACAATATATGTGTGGGCTAGTACACAGACTGTAGACCAATGCATCTTCATATAGATTTAACCAAGACTGGTTCGCTTACACTATAAAAACAAATGCGCATCGTAATCGCATGATGGGGCACGTGATAATTAAACGCGTTGAAATCTGTCGTCCTATCTGTAGGTACCCATATCGGAATTAATATTAAAAGGGAACTTAATTGTTAAAATTAAAATAAAAGTCAACTCAAAGTCAATTATATTTTCTACTCCAAGTCACAGAACACTTGCGAATTCAGAAACTGAATTCTGAAACGGGTCAGTGGGCGTTCTCTTTTACAATTTTGCCTGAATTTTTGTAACTTCATAAAAATTGTTCTCTGGGTATCATGATGTATTTTACACTACATATCGGCAGAAACGAATGCACGTTTTATACATGATACTATATTATTTTGTCATACATATTGTATTGTATTCAGATCCGTTCATCATCAACATCCTATTTTTTGGTCTATTTCTGGACGTAGGACTCCTCCATCTTCCTCCAGTACGGCATGCACTGGCCTCTCTGCATCAACTACACCGTCATTCCATCTGGGTCCTATGACGACATCGTCATTCCACCTGGTCGGTGGGCAGCCACGCGGTCTTTTGTTCTGCCGAGGTCTCCATCCAAGGAGCCTGCGAACCATCGGTTGTTGTCTATGCGCCTGCACACCGCTACTACAGATCCGTTATTGTAGGAGGAAATAAGAATTTGCGATTTTTATTCAAGTCTAACTGACGGCTTTAAATTGTCGCGCAAGTAATATATGCATTAATAAATTGCGTCACTTTAAGGAAAATCCGATCAATCTGATTAAACTTATTTCATCAAAAAGAGACAACAGATGGTGCAAATAGTTGAGCCATTAACCTAGTTGTCAGTTCACAGATTAGTTAAAGCTTCCTATCCGTGAAATTCTATAGTTAACAGATCTCCCAACGGGGCCCTATACATCGAGGAAATGTATAGTTTTAGACAAGAAGGTATAGATTGGGTTAAATTACTTATACCGTATAATAAAGGTAAGCTTTACAATAAAACAGTACAAATAGCATTAACGTCATTATCCTCTACGTTTTAAAATTATATTAGTTCTATGATACAGTTTATTATTATTATTATTATTATTATTATTATTACTTAGCCTTTATTGCTGACACCCAGAATAATATATATAAAAAAATATTTAAGTTACATAACTTAATCAAATACATCATATATGACCGGTTTTTTTTATATTGTTTAAATGATTCTAAAGCTTTATCCCGTTTTAGATACCAAAATTGCTCAATACTGTACTACTACTTCTACTAAACTATATGATTTTTTTATAATGATATTCACTAAACAAATCTAAATCTATTTAAAAATAATATGTACAATTCCGATAGTGTGAAAAATGGTGGCAAAAAAAATTGCCTACTTCATGCCCCCATAACATCAAACCGTCCCTGTATTTGTCACCCGGGTCGAGCGGTGTCCGGATAAAATGAGATCAAACCTGGCTTATTTGTAACACGGATAAGCTCTACGTGCACACATGTTATATTAATATTAAGTTTTTATATTTCCTTTTTTCCACGGGGACCTGACGTAATTTTCATAAATTTTACAAGAAAATATGTATTTTGATTATTGGATCAGTATTAATCCGTATCTAGCCTTCACAGGCTATGCTATCCTCTTTAGGGAGTGTAAACGATAAAAGGCCAAAGGATTTTTCTCTCCATACATACCAATTACTGTCTGTAGCGATAAAAAGCATCGTGACAAAACTGTCATGACTCAAAAATCAAGAACGTGTCCTCTTCACCGAGGGGATAAGATGATCAAGACCAGATTACGGTTACCTACATTGAGTTACGGTTCAAACAAATACTTTTTACTTTATATGAAAGAGTTTTTAGTTTTGTTGTAAAAAGAAACGAAGAGAGAATAAACCCGGTGGAGGCAAGCGGTGAATTGTGAAGCGGCTTAATGAATAAATTAGACGCTGCAGCGGTTGAATATTAATTTATTTCGTAGAACAGTTCTTGCTGGCTTTATTACCTTTGCAGAATTACGAAGCCTTTGAGACTTAAATGTAGTATTCGCTTATCAGCTTTTCGTTGATAGACGCCCACTTAGGTGTATTCAATTAAAGATAACTAACTTTAATTATTTTTAACTATAATGCCGGCACGAAATGGTATTGAAATTGACAAACTTATTACATTTTACAATTGAAGTGATTTAAAGTTAGTCAAATGTTTTATCAATTAAAATCGATTTGGCTACAAACTTGAAACTTTCTGTGGCATTTTAGGTAGAAATCTACTCAAATGAATGAACAAATTTTGTTCTATTTTTACAGTTATTTAAAGTTGAATGTATACTGTTTGAATCAGTAATTTAGCGTTCATAGACGTTAAAACTTCTTGAAGTTTTTCAGGTTGAGGTGTTTAGCTATGGAAAATAAATAAACAATGTATTTCTTTGTTCGAATTTATTATTCTGTTACTTGTTTTGTTTGTAATCATTTAACATGTTAGGGTCGATAATTGGCGCCAACAGCCAAATTAACAAAATTACGTAATTTTGTAATACTTTTGATATATGCAGTAGTTTTTATAAAGACTTCTCCAAGAATGAGCAGTGTTGGCCTAGTGGGTTCAACGTGCGACTCTCATCCTTGAGGTCGTAGGATCGAAACAACGGCTGTGCACCAATGAACTTTTTGAAGTTATACTTCTTTTGGCGCGTTACGGAAAAATGATGAAATTACAAAAAATTCACAAAAAACCGACACCTGTAGTTAGCTATAGTCAACATTTTAGTTTTTTCTATTGTCAGTGTCGTTTTTTCTACAAACGTAGAAAAAAGGGAAAGATAAAATTTTTGAAAAGACTTTTATCTTGTTACGCCAAAGAACTAGCAAAAGAAGAAATGCGCCAAAGAAGTATAGCTTCTAACGCGTGTTCATAAGCACACACATGTTTTTGTTTTATTAATTATCTTTGCCTTTAACAATCGCTGTGATGGAAATCTCTAGACCGAACAAGTTGATGCCGTGTGTCAGGCACAGAAGTCTAATCTTCTTACCTATTAGAATAAATTATAATTCGTGATCGTTATCACGAATTATAATTTATGTCTTCCAAGAATTTCATGCTTTTCTATTGTCTGCCTTTTTTGGTCCGTGTATGACAAAAATATTATTTTATTAGTATTAATTTCATGTAATGTTTCTTATTCAATTTTGTGTTATAAAGGAAACGTATATCATATGTTATGAAATAAAATTGCAGAACAAAATAGTATCATTAATATTGTAGAATATATTAAGTTGGTATTCCGCGCAGTCCGCAATATATCCACCACTACGTAGTGGTCTGTAAAATATTCAGACTTGCACCGAGTGTATAGAATAAAATAGTGGTTTCTTTGTTGAAAAAAAGATTTTTCCCTTTTCCCATTCTCAATTTATGGTCAAATCAGTGTAACTACAACTATACTGTCAATAAAATAGCTGATATAATATCTTTTTAGTTTATGACCTCTTTATAGCCAAATCAGCAACTTGAAACTAATCTAATATATAAAATTCTCGTGTCACAATGTTCGTTCCCATACTCCTCCGAAACGGCTCTACCGATTCTTATGAAATTTTTATGCATATTCAGTAAGTCTGAGAATCGGCAACTATCTATCTTTCAAACCCCTAAGTGATAAGGGGTGTCCACCCCAAAAAAAATGTTTTACTTTTAGGATATATTTTTTATTATGTGGCATTTAAAAATACATACAACCCTTAATTTTCACCTATCCCTATTTTTTATTATAGTAGATGGTTATTTTTATTGAACTAAAAATGTTTCCTAGAAATAATATATATGGCAAAACGACGTTTGCCGGGTCAGCTAGTAATATGTATGTGTCAACGTAAACACTGAAACTTTGGATTCTGTTTTGGGCGAAACAAAAATAATTTTAATAAGCATTTGTTGTCTTAGGTAACACTAATTGTTTTAGGTAGACAACAAATGCTTAATTAATATCCAAAAGAAAAGACACTTAACACAAAAATATCTATCATATACCCTACGTAAATAAACATACAATCGAACAATTAACGAATTAGTTTAAAAGCTATTTCAATTTCGCCTGAAAGAAACATCAGTTCTACGAAAACTCCAAGTACAAGTTAAAACTAAAAGTTGAGATGGTTCCACGATAATTTAATACGACAGCGAAGTTTATAAAGAAGTAGACGTTTATTAAAAAATCCCAACATTTCAACGTCTCTTTAAACAGCGACCATCCAATAAAATGTATAAGAAGTCTTGACTTATTGTTTATTATTATTTAAAGCTTAAACTATGTTATTTCAGACATTCAGCCGTTGATGTTGTTGGTGAGGCGAAAAGGGACCAAAGATGGCCGACATCGGATACGGACAGGTAATTCCACATTTTTATTTGTACCTGCAATTTGTGTGTTTGGACACGATTTACATTTTTACTAAGCTCTCTTATCTTTTGTATGTGATGACCGCAAATTGCCGCAAAATCATTATATGTAAAAATTGTTTCTTATTAAACATCAAACGCTTGTACCATTGAAAAGTGAGATATTCTTACAAAGTTAATTAAATACCTAGGTATAGTAAAATGTCTACGACTTAAGTATTGGGCAAAATTAATTTATTTAGAATCCGTTTCAGAAACACAATATAATTTAAAACGGCGTTAGAAAAATGAATCCAAACAAGTTTACTATAGTTACACGACACAGAAATCTGAGACCGAGGGTTTTAGCGCCACTATTTGCACGTTTCTAACACTTATTTACGAGAGTTTTTAATGTACAATCCACAGATTATCTGCTTACCCAAGCGGTGATCGATCAAATCTCCTACGCTCTCACGCGGCCAAATCAGCAGAATGCAGTCAAGGGTCTCCGCGCGCGAGGAGAGTACCAAGGGAGTCCCGGAGAATTTCACTTGCGCAGGCACCGGGCTATGTTCAGCTTAACCAATATAGACTGCTTGAGCCCATTGGACAGGTAGTATTAGATAACAGTTATTATAACTAACAAACTCTTAGGGTAAGGTTCATAGACAAGAATTAGCGCATAGGATCTTGTTAGTTCTTGTTTTTAGAGATTTTATTAGTCTTCCCGCTAAGTTTTTACTTGGATGAGTACACTATAATTTAATTAATGTTACGTCCAATCCACTAACTGAAAAATAGTTTTCAACGTGATTTAACATATTTTTTTTTACTAACTTTCCATGTCTACATTGAGTTACTACATGGATAAAGATTACAATGATTTAATTCCTTAGACTAAGCGAAACACGCTTTAATTTGTATAAATTGGTTTGAATTTTGTACCGATTAATATGCAATAAATATTAATGTTGATTAAGGTAAATGGTAGCATTAGAAATAATGTAACGTATAGCTCTGCCTATGGCTCTCTTTAAAAATTAGTCAATATAAGAGAAGATTCATTACGTGGCTTATTTAAACAATATAAACTATGCGTTTTCTGTTACCTGACTGTTCAAGCTAATCATTAAAACAATAAAATTTTCTAAGAATAAACCGGCAAAGAGATTGATAATCCAAAACAATTTTTTTCTATATAGAATGTAATATAAATTAAATAAAGTACCTTTAAATCAGTGAAGAGCTTTAAAAAAATAATATGATTTGTTATTTTCTACTTGACATTTTAAACTTTTTATATATATTTATTAAACTTATGTATTATAAACTTTATTTTCAGGGTTCCTATGGAATCGTCAAGTTAGCATATAATGAAGAAGATGATACGCATTATGTAAGTAGCAGCCCTGCGATTCTGTAACTCACTTTTCGAACTCACACAGCGGTTTTCGCATCGGCGGTCGCTCTCAAATCAGTCGTGAAGCAGTCATTTTATGATTTGGCATTCTGAAAAGGTGGGAGCTTGTAGTTTATTGTTTATTAGAATGCCAAATCATAAAATGACTGCTTCACGACTGATTTGAGAGCGACCGCCGATGCGAAAACCGCTGTGTGAGTTCGAAAAGTGAGTTACAGAATCGCAGGGCTGGAGTAAATGCATTATTAATATTCACCCCTTTGAAATATGTTTAAACTAGAATCGTAGACGAGGTAGTAAGCCATTACTAGGTTGACATGTGTCTGCAGTGACAACAACTAATTCATTCAAGAATATTTACTTATTCAGAAACTTAATTATTGCACAGTGGTGCAAGTATTAACAAATAAAACCTTTTAAGATAAATAGACATTTTAACACCTAGACCTTGGGACGTGTCTCTCAAAATACGATTTCAAATAGGCACAGAGATTGATAAAAATTATGTAGCATCGAAAACCGTTAGTCAGAAAAAGGTGCTTTTGGCAATAGGTACAGATTCCGGTTTCAGCTACGCCTTAGTAAGCTCAGCGTTACCTTATTCATAGATGTACTATAAGCCTCAAATAACTATTCAATGTACTACTTCACTCTCTCTCGTATTACTTTGCAAACAATGAAAATTCATTATTTTACTAAGCTAAGGTACATCTAAATTACAAATTCAATTATGAAAACATGACCTTTTATTTGGTGAAACCAGCTGCCCACAAGTATTTCCGACCCATTCGACTGAGCATCCTTCAAGAAAAGAGTGGCAAGTCTAAAAAGGCCGGAAACGCACTCGCTAGCCCTCTGGCATTAAGAGTATGCATGGGCGTTATCACTTAACATCAGATAAGCCGCCCGTTTGTGCCTGTTCTATTCAAAAAGGCCATCTAATTGTAATCTATACATTAATACCTAATAATATATTCAAATTATTTACAGGCAATGAAAATTCTATCGAAACGCAAATTGATGCGTCGCGCGGGTTTGTTTGGGCGGGCGCCGCCCCGCCGCCCGGGCCCGGGGCCGCCACCTGACCCACTGCAAAGCATCTACAGGGAAATAGCCGTGCTCAAGAAACTGGACCATCCTAATGTAGTTAAGTTAGTTGAGGTTAGTTGCTCCGATTTTCATTTAATAAGCATCCACCGCGCACAGTTAAACTAAATTTAGTGAGACAACTTAGCTGCTGCCCGCTACGTCTGCGTAGAATGGTACCAGATACTTACTTACTTCTCTTAAATATGTGATTCCATGTATTTATGAAAAAATATATTTCGATTTGCCATTGATTCAGTTTGATGAGCACCTATTGGTAGAATTTGTTAGAAAAATACTGATTATCGATTGATTGAATTTTTAATTTAAAAATAAATAGTTAATAATAATAATAGATTAACTTTAGAAGGACAAACAATATTGTGGTGGTTTTGATTTGTGTTCCCTAGACAATCTAATTCTCAAAACTCCTACTCATAAAACTTAATTCTACCACTCCTCCTTTTCTGTGCAAAGTATCCTGCTATGGAATTCCTCAGACGAGTTCAGTCTTTTAATTTATTTTAAATTCTTCTTTTTGATCTTTTTTCTTCTGTCTCGTAATTAGCTACTATTTATACATATTGATTGTGACTCAATTAACCCTTGGATTAGCTTTTACATTTTTGTTTTTTTATTTATTTTTTTGCTTTTTTTTTATTTTAATTATAGGTATTATATGTTATTTTGAGTTGTTTTTTGTTAATTATGCACTTCTTGTACTTTACCCTCTGTAGGTGTTTCTTTTTTTATTGCCCTATACTAGGGTTGCCTGGAAGGAATCGCTTGTCAGCGATAAGGCCGTCCGTTGCCTAATAACTTATGTAACCTGCTTTTTTGATATGTATGTTTTTGTATAAGGTAACGAAGTGTAAATAAATATTTGTTTAAATATAAGTTCGCATAGTAAATGGATATGCCCAATTTCATCAGACGCCTTCAAGCGGTTTGCGCGTGAATCCACAGAACACATCCAATCAACGTGATTTTGTTAAAATATTAAATGATAACGTAGTCTGCGTCAAATATTTAATAAATATTTTAGATTGTCGTTAGATTAACAGTAAGATACTTTTTTGATCTATTTCAGAGATCATGACAAATGTATGTCAAATTTTTTAACATCCACTCCTGTACGTTCTGATACTACCTTCAACCAGCCGGTCTCATATTCAATTTTTTCTCATCACTAGGTTTCATACAAGTATTAATCAGAGACGTATTTCTATTAGCTAGTTTGATGTCGTGGTAGTACTGATATTTTCTATTTTTTTCTGATAAGGGTAACAAATTCATCAATCTAAACTTCCACATTTATAATATCATTACGATAGGGTAAAAAGTTTTGATTGATGGATATTTTATACTTATAATGCAAATTGAAAACCACGGCGATCCAGTTACTTTAATTTCAATTCCGCTTTTCAAATGTGAATCAGCAATTTAAATGTGGCATTTATAACTTCATGTGATGATAAATTAATTATTTAATATACAAAGAGCGATTCAACTCAGCAACGAAATATAATGTTTATCGACAGAAAGTACTCTTTTAGCTTCTTTGGATGAATGGTGATTTTATCTTCCTTAAATAGCTTAAGTTAGCAGCTAAAGTATTGTTGGCTTCAGTGACTCTCATTACTGAAGGCGCAGGTTCAAACCGCGGCTGTGCGCCTACGGATTTTCAGACTATATTTGCGCATTTAACACACGCTCCGACGATAAAGGAAAACATCGTAAAGAAACAAACTGACATGACCCACAAATTGGACAGTACTTGCCTATTATAATATATATGAACACAAAACAGTGACACCAATCGGAGACTTGTCTGTGTAATGTGTAATGTCTTTAGAAATCGTAAATTTTTAAGAAATCCTCTTGCTTGCTAACATATTAGCTAGTGAGCCATTTTATACCTTATGACGTAATTTTAATTTTCCACAATAGAAACCTATATATCATTCTAAATGGAATTGTTAATACGCCAGAGTTTTTCTTACCTTTGACATCACTGGAAGCCTAAGAATAATAAATATGATGTAATAAAAATAGTTTATTTATAATCATTAAATGATCAATTTGTATATCCGAAATAAATAGTTAATTATTAGTATAAATAACTCATTCAAAATAATTATGCTAATAGAAATATCGATATTGCGAAACAAAACACATCGATGCGTACCGAATGAGTCTCACGGGAAATTACTAGTGACACGCGCGTTCAATATCGAAGATAATTTAATACACAATCATGCATATGTCCAGTGGGGCTGCAACATGTATCTGCCCTGGCCTGATTTCTGTTGTTGTTTTACTAACAAGTAGTGGTTGAAGAATTTGGGATCTAAGGCGTATTTAGAGTCGAGATAAGTGTCGAAGGTAAGGTAAGAGTAAGTCCTCAGATTCAGAGACGACATAGCGTTAATTGCGACTCCAATAGAATATAAAAAAAGGGTCCGTGTACTTATGTACGCGCGTAAGAAGTTATACTTCTTTGGCAATATTAAAAATAGTTTGGCTTTGTTCCACCTCCAGTTTTTGATGTTTCACAGCGATAAGATGAAAACTCTTTTTTTGTATTCAATTTAGTGCAGTTACACTGATTCATCAATTGTTTTTTGTCTCTTTTCCTTATATTTGCTAGATAAAATCAGAAAAATTACATGTTTTGATTAAACAATGTGGTTAATTTTTTAATCAAAACATTACTCGATAATAATAATAATACATACGGATAGTTAACCTCAATTGTATTGAAGCACTTAGGAAGGTTGATGAGCACAGTTTTTTCACAAATATTAATTAGTATTGGTTTAAATATTCAATTTAAATCACTTCTGATTATAATTCAAAAAGCATCGCTAAATTTCTTTGAAAAAATAATTAAAACTCCTTTATTTGTTTAAAAGGTAAATGACAAATGTCATTATGGTCATTCAAAATTGTTGGCATACGAACTTCACGCATATTCTATTTCTTTTTACTTGTAGATTGTCTTATTCCTATCTCGCTCGCGCACGCTATAATCACACTCCTAATTTTGTGTCACGGGTGCGCGCGCATTGTAAAATTTCACTCTCATAAATTTTTCATAACGCGCCTAAAGAAGTATAACTTCAAAAATATTGAATCTTAATATCCGATATTGATAAATCGCGATTTGTTTCTGTATCTCCCCTTAGAGCTAAGATATCCCCTTTACAACCAAGGATCTCAAAATTATACACATTGAATAACCGAAGCGCCGGCGGGACATAAAAAAAATTGTTGAAACACAATACAACTAATTATTCCTGGAATATATGACTACAATGAAATTATATCGGAAATTCATAAAATAAAACGATATCAAATTATGACAAATTAACAAAACTGTTGTTAAAAACCATGTGAAATGGTTATTATGTAAACCCTCTACGGAAGGGTGTGTCTGCTAATTTTTTATCAGTAAGCAATGGAATTTCATTCCAAGTTTTGTTGGTATACGTAGAATTGCTCTAAAAAGTTTTATACGAAAATTAAATGTAATAATTGGAACTACTACGACTTCATGGCCACTTTTAGCGAAGGATTTTAATTATCTTTTCTCAGTATTCAATCTTATTTCAAAGTTCAAAGTTTATTACCGTTTTCCTTTGAATTCTTTACATAAATTGACCGGTATTAACTCAACGGAAATGAAGGCAGTAGAAGTTATCGTCGGCGAGAATTTTTTAAAATAATACAATGTTTGAAGTATCCTACATAGCATAGTTTTAATCTAGGTCAATGGACAATACGTGTAAATAAATAGTTAAGAAAACAATATTGTTGTTGTTTTCACAATTTCTGTGAATGAATGTTGTATACGCGCTATGGGCCGACTACAAACATATTCTTCCATATTATTCTTACATATTATTCTTTGGATCCTTATTTCATAAAGGATATTAGTATGATTGAACGGGTTCAAAGAAAAGCCACGAAAATGATCAGGTCACTCAGGAAGAAATCTTATAATGAGCGTCTTTAAGCACTTGACCTTACTGATTTAGGAAGTAGGAGATTAAGAAATCTCATTGAAACCTATAAAATCCTCACTGGCCACTATAATGTTCCAGGAATTGAGAAGCTCTTTATTTTAAGTGAAACTACACATTTGAGGGGTAGTTCTTTAAAACTTAAGACCACTCAACATAACACAAATTCCCTAAAAAACTTTCTCCCAAACCGAGTAGTGGCCGTCTGGAATAGGCTTCCGGAAAGTGTAATCTGTGCACCATCTTTGAACTCCTTTAAAAATGGATTGGATTGTTTCTCCAAATCTCAAAATACACGCGCATCAGGTTATTAAGCAGCTAGTGTGTTTATAAAGGTACATAATAATAATTATATTTATATATCTAGGAGACAAACAGTAATCATAACAATTCAATTATGCTGAGCCAATTACAACCACAGCACACACGCATTACACACTCGAACCGAATGGGAAAAGGGAAAAACAATTTTATGTTGATATCTCCGCATTATATTTTTGAATATTGTTATTTTGTGTGTATTTTGGTCTGTCTTATTACAGACAATAGAATAAAACTATATATTTTATTTTTCTATTTAAAACACGGTTCGCCAGCATGGATTACAAAGATAACAATAAACTCTTTAACAGGCAAACACAGCATCTCTAACGCGTAGTACAGTTTTTAGTCTATTTCCATACCGTCTTTCATTTGCAGGTATTAGATGATCCAGCAGAGGACCAATTGTACCTAGTTTTCCAGCTACTGGAGGGAGGACCTGTGATAGATATTCCCACAGACAACCCCCTCAGCGAGCAGTTGGCAAGAAAGTACTTCAGGGACGCTTTACTAGGCGTTGAGTATCGTAAGTAAGATCAATTCATTAAAATCTATGTAGGAGCAATATATGTTTATGTGTAGCCGTATATGTTATTAAATAGTTTCAAGATATGAAAATTGTTATACATGTTTTTATTTCTAGTTTAAAACATTGATATAATATCACTTATATAATAATGAAATAATATACATTGAAATAAATAACTAAACTTAACATAAACTAAAATATATCATTAAAAGGAGTCCCTTTAGGCAAGGTTCCAAAGATACTGGCAGCGTTCCCCCTTTGAATTGCTAGACTAATTCTTTGTCCGAGGTAGCTGCCAGATCTTCGGTCTCCTGTGATGTCGACTAACCTTTTTGAAATTTCTAAAATTAAATAAATAAATAAATTATTAAATTATGTCACAGGGCGTACTTTACGACGTAAATCAACGCTTTCAATATTATTTGGAATTTCACGTGTGTAAATCCAATAAAATTAATAACAGGTAAAATGATAATATTTCAACAAACCCTTTCGCATCATAACTTGGTTTTGCATAATTTTCACTTGAAGCCCGTACTGTGCTACGATAGCAATGGGAATTTATCGATAAATTCTGGCTTATTGAAATCAACTTAAAGTATATTCAGACGCTAGATAGAAAAGCCGTAGAAACTTAATAGATGTCTAGGAAACCCTTATGTACATGATACTTGTGTGTATCAATTTTTTTTGTTTTGCCAGAATAAAATTTCCGTTTTGAAGGACCAAATAGACAAAATAGTAAAAAATATATTTTATCATATAGATAGATAGATATAGATATATATATATATATATAAAACGAGGTTTATTTTTAAACGTAAAAATCTTTGTAGGTAATCACGGTTTACAGTAACCGAATATATTTAGCTTTTGGACATCCCTATTCATTGATTTAATATAACATAGTATTTCAGTTCGTGTAATTCGAAATACTGAAAACTTCCCAACCCACGTCCATCCCTTTATAATGTCTGTTATTTTTGACTAAATTACGTATTTACGTTTCCTTTGATTTTATTAAAAAGCTACGCTTAGAGCAAAATATATCTATTCTATTATAATATATATAATTGCTCTTAGCTGTATAAAGATGGCTGAATTTACCACGTTTTATTGATTCATTCATCTCCTTTTATTTAGAGGGGGAGAAGGTTAGGGAGGTGTTTTCGTATAGAAACTCCAAAATCGAGTTAAGGAAATGATGCCTAAGCCCAAGGTCTGAAGATTCGAAAAATATTTCAACTGAAAATTAATGTGTTCATTTTTTTTAAAATTATAATTAAAACTTTTTTTATGAAAAATAGGTTGTGACAAAATTCATATATATATCCCCACACTGAGGCCCTGTGTTGTGGGTAAACGGTGATAGGTGAAAAAGTATTGTGAGTTACACTGATCAAAAGCATGTAGCACTTTAAGGTGTGGTTGAATTTTTTGGAATTTCCAAAAAATATTTTCTACGGTATGTGGAGCGCCCTTTACGACGAACTGCCCGATTTAACTCACTTATAAATACCGGAATAGTGTAAAATGGACAGAAGACCTAGTAGTATAAAGAAGAAAGATTTGTATTCTGTCATAAATAAAATCAATTGCAATAAACAAATCAAGAATACTGGGCCGGTTTTTAAAATTATTTCACCATTACAATGCTACATTATTTCTGAGAAATAATATTGGCCGTATATTTATTTTCCAAAATGTTAAAAAAAAGTCCAACTGAAGCCGATACAAACCTTCAGACGGACTGACCCAAATAATGTATATGGAGAACCGACAACCTCATATAGGGGAAGGTGGGGACCCTTCGTACGGTTTTCACATTTTATTTTTTAATTTTTTTATTTTTCCATGAATCAATCACCTGATAGCTTAAATTTATAGTCTAACTATCTGAGATTCAAATAAAAAAATGACAAATGATTTCATCCGATGTTTCAACCATAATTATGATTTAAACTAAATCTGGAAAACGTACGAATCTGCCCCATCAACGGGGCACCTTCGTACAGTGTTTGGGGTACCTTCTTACGCTGTGGGGTAGTTCAAAATTCATTTATTAGCAATGAAATTAAACACAAAAATAAAGATTTAATTTCTATTAAACAAAAAATAAAATACTTTTCTTATGTAAAACAAAATTTAATTAGTTAGGTATCTTAAATTTAGAATTACATTTTTTACTCTTTGGTGTGGATTACAACTTCTTATTTTCGGGTGTGGCAGTATAAATTCGTGGTTTTCCTGGCCGTCATCGTCATTTTGCTTGTTTTATTACTTCTTACAGAATGCGAATAGGGTCGAAATGCCTCTGGTGTCAAAACTGACTTCGAAGGAACTACTATTTGATGGATTGGTAAATTATTCACAGCATCTGGTTCACAAGCATCAAAATCAACCTTAGTCAAGATGCCTTAACAGTAGTGTAATATGTAGAAAGTCGAAAACTTAATTTGTATGAAAAAGACAGTTCGCGTCGACAAATTATTATACAAATTTAGTTGTACAATTCGTACAAATGTGCCCCATCTAGTGCTGTCCGAATGTACCCCACTAACTGAATAACAACAAAATATAACTTATTTTAATATTAATAGGAAAACGTCATAAATTAAGTATTGGAGACGTATCTTAAGTATATTTTGCTAGTTACTGATAGAATACTCTACACGAAAACTTATTTTATCTACGGTAACAAGAGATAAAAACATAGATCAAAAAATTACTTACCGAGCGCGAAAACACGTCTATGCCTGTAACTTCACTCTCATCGGTGCGAATTTCACGAAACTTCGTTGATGTATAGTTGGTACCTCGACTCATGCACACATACAAAAGCAAGACTGTACTTTATTTCGTTCAAGTTTTATTTTGACTGTATGAATGTGCCCCGCGTACGAAGGGTAACGATCTTCCCCTATATTGTTCCGTGCCATGTTAATTGTTTAGCCTCAAATCTCAAAAAATCACCCGAAAATTGCAACCCGTAAAATGTATTTTTGGCAAACCTTTGGCTTTTCTCCATAAATTTAAGATATACATAATATTAGCATAAAAATGTTTTTTTAACTCTACTTTATATACGCAAGGAATTTGTAATGTGGTGTGGTTTTATGTACTTTTATTTTTATGTATAAGATATTCAAAATAATAACAAAACTTAAAATAATTATTATTTAAAAAACATTGCTTGATAATTGCTTCAGCTATTTTTAATTCCACAAATTCGTCCATATTCCACATATAAATCATAAATAAATAATTATTGTCATGTTACTCTTCAGTGCACTACCAGCGCATAGCCCATCGCGACATCAAACCAGCCAACCTGCTGCTTGGTGAGGATCGAGTACAGGTGGCAGACTTAGGAGCATGCGGGGAGCTGGCAGGTGCAGGTAAACTGTCTGGAGCTGTTGGCACACCAGCATTTCGCGCACCAGAGGCTACGACCCTTAGCGACAAATATATTGGAGAGGTTGGTATGATATAAATGTATCTTTTTGTTATTAGAAATATATCTCTTTCGCCTAAGAGTTTATTATGACATTTTGTTTCAATGTCAAGTAAAACCAACGCAACGATAAGCATGGTGTCAATGGTTGCAGTTCCTTACAATGTCTTAATTACAGTTAAATATTTTCAATATTAACGTTCTGTATACAAAGTTACCAATATAAATAAATAAATTTTGATTTGATTTAAAAAATATAATTATTTTACTAAATTCGAAATAAATTTATCTGATTTTATCTTTTGATTTTTCCGTAACCTTGGCTTAAAAATGCCCATATTGGTTTCGGAGAACCATACTGGATTAAATAAATAACATTTTCATGTTGACAGGATACATAGTATTAGGCTTATTACCTTACATTAAAATTATGATCAGAATTTGAGGTAGTCGGTATATTGTAAACTTAGGGAATTTAAATGGTAAACGACGCAAAAGTCAAAATATAATTAAAAACAGTAGAACTTACAGTCTGTCAAAATTTATAGTCTAAAATCTTCCCCGCAGTATAAAAGTTGCACGCCTTAAAACATCTTATCACTTTCCCCCTAAATTATTTTGAGAACAACGTCATATAAAACTACAGTGACCATACTATAACGTTTCAATATGAATTTCATCAACTTTTATATTACTACATCTTTCAGGCGGCGGACGTCTGGTCGCTCGGCGTCACTCTATACGCCATGGTGACTGGCCGTGTTCCCTGGACGTCACCAACAGCTGCTGAGCTGCAGAAGCGAATCCTTTCAGAGCCTTTGGCGTTCCCTACACGACCCACCCTCTCAAAGCCTCTTAAAAAACTGTTGTCACGCATGCTTGATAAGGATCCCGTTACAAGAGCAACGATGCAAGAAATAAAGGTCTCTATACAATTTTATAAAACATTCAAACTCAGGCTTTCTCACAAATTGTATAACGCTGAGCTGAAAAGGTATTTGTGGTTCAAGTAACAGTGTATTAGGAGGGAATAGTTGAACCAAAAATATAAAACTTATATTGGTGTTAAAAACTGGTATTAAGTAGTCTAAGATCCCGCTATACAACGACCTTCACCGAGATGCTTATTTAATGAAACGTATTTTATATTTAATTTAATATGTCAATAAATATAATCCATATGGGTTGTCTAGCAAATTTCAGTCCAGAGTATGTTTAATTAATAATTTAAAAAAAATATTTTTTTAAACATTTCACCGGTATGATTATTAGATAAATTCTATACCAATCGAAAGTATGAAGCCCATAGAATATGCAAACTTTATGCTGCCCATTCTTTTCCGGTCACAACTATCGGGTTGCCTGGTATAAACAGGTAAATCTGTACTAGCATTTTGCAACGGTCTGTTTATTTAATGAAATTTAAATGAAATTAAAGATTATTTTATTCTGAACACGGTGGTATAGGGTTGTCTGCGAAAAATCAGTCCAGAATTGCGGTTGTCGAATTTTAAAAAGTAAAATATTGCTAAAATTATTATGATTTAAAATTATCTTAGCTAATACATCTTCTATATTTCTATATTAAAATATAATATATATATATATATATATATATATTTTATATTTTATTTTCGTAAATTCCATGTGGCTTAATGCAACGGACCCAATATGCGTGAAATTTGAGCCTGAGAACTGCGGACGGTTCTTAGATGAATATTTAAAACCAGTAGGATTCATTGGGGATCATACACCTTTAAAGATAGAAGACATTGTCGAAAAAGTGAAACAGAAAGTGATGACGAAGAAGATTCAGAAGTTGAAGATCGTAGTTTTATGTCCTATGACTCGGATTCTGAATAATTAAAAAAAAAATTTATTTTTAATTTTTTACAATAAATAGAAGTAATTTTTTAATTGTTGTTTTTGAAGTTATACTTCTTTAGGCGCGTTATGAAAAATTGATGAGAGTGAAATTTTATGATGCGCGCGCACCGTGACACTAAATTATCAGTATGGGCGCCGAGCGTGCGCGAGCGAGATGGAAATAAGACAATCTACAAGTAGAAAGAAATAGAATATGCGTGAAGTTAGCAGCTATGCTAAGAATTTTGAATGACCATAATGACATTTACCTTTTAAACAAATAAAGGAGTTTTAATTATTTTTTCAAATAAATTTAGGAATGCTTTTTCACAAAGACCTATTGTTACTTAGTTAAAAGGTTATGAAACATACCTAGTTATTAAATTGAATGAATAATATAATAAATAATTTTTAATATGAATTATAATTGAATAATATACTAAATATTAAATATTATTAACAGGGCCGCGCCGACCCCCGGCAGCGCCTGTGTGCGAAACCCATGAAGCGCCTCCTTTTTCTATAGGGGTCAAACGAGCCTTAGGGACGGAAAAAAATGGCAGTCATTGAATCTCATAGACATTTTTAGCGGGTGTGTTGCAGGCCTTTGAGGGAACTCCTTCTATATTTCGGCCTATTTTTTAAGAATCTTCAAGTTTCAATGTATTTTTTTAATTTTGACTGAAAGAAAATTTTTCTTTAGTTTAATCCACTTAAATAGGTAAAACGTCCGCTGGCCAATTGCCGTGAAAAATAAAACGTGAATTAAATTGTTACATAGTTTATTTATGATGTTATTTTTATCTAACCGTTTTTAAGGTCAGATTTATGACATATCTTTGTAATAAATCCCATCTTTTAGTAGAGGACGAAAAATATTTATATAGTTCTTGCACAATATTAAAAAACGCAGTCGTGTATGAGATGTGCAGCGTCATTTATTATTAAATTTAAACTATGGCTGGCGCACGGACATAAAAAGTGCGGAGATTTACTCGTACATCCCGCAATATTCTTACCGCGCATATTTGAGCCATTATCATAGCCTTGCCCCTTAAGTTCTTTATGTCCAAATTAATTTCGTTTAGTTTTTCTATTATAAATGACGTTACTCCAGCGCCAGTTGTATCTACGATTGAGCAGAAAGTGCTATTATAAATTGGAAAGCTAGGAAATGCTCTCTTATTCTTAACTTTCTAGTTTACATGTTAAAGTTGACAAATCTTATTATCATACTAATTTGCTCTTCGTGTGAAACGTCAGTAGTACAATCCAGTATTATTGAAAAATATTTATTAATTCGACATAAATTTAAAATAAAATGTTGAATTTGGTTACCGAGTATAAAAAATAGTTCATTTTGGATTTTATCAAGGTATGTCGGCATATTATTGAAATCATAAGACATAAACACACTCAAAAAACTCACGGCGGTCACCAGCGGCCTTTCTTTTGATTCGCTAAGCTCTGAGTAATTAATGTAAACTAAAACCTAAAGCGTAAAATGAAACTTCAAACGTACGTAAGAATATTGTAGTGTAGTATAAATAATTTCGGTGGCGGCGCCCTTATTGTATCAGCGCCTGTGTGCACCGCACACTTCGCACACATGGGCGGCGCGGCCCTGATTATTAACCTTAAATATTTGTTATTAATTATTTAATATTTTAAAAAAATAAAGAAAGCCAAAGAAGTTTAACTTCTTACGCGCGTACATAAGTACACGCATCCTTTTTTTATTTTGTCTTCTTATAATAAAAATAAAATTTGCAAGATTACCCTGATTAAAAAAAATCACTTTTATGGGTTTTGAATTTTTTCCAATAGTTTCAATTGATTTCAATTTCTCTGTTTACATTCATAGATTTATAATTTGCATGTAGTAGGTAAATTTTTTAATTTTTTTCAATCAATATTTTTAATCAGGGTATTATTATATATGAATCACTACAACCTTCTTTTTTACTAAAGATGTATATATACTTTAGTGTCACATAAAAAATATACACATAAATAATTAATTGATTAAAAAAAATTAAATAACTATTTCTCTATTTAAATAATAAACTACTCCAAAATGATGCATAATTATACGAGTCCATCGCTATCCTTTTCTTTTCCAAGCCCAAATAGCATGCGCACTCTCATTCTTTAAGTGGGCGGACTTTAAATAGCTGCTATGCTGTGTCCTCTTCTATCGCATGGGATGGTCGGTTGGGACCTCTCAGTCGCACACATTCACTTGGAGCAATATTTTACTTTATAAAATTGGACAACCGCAATTCTGGACTGATTTTTCGCAGACAACCCTATACCACCGTGTTCAGAATAAAATAATCTTTAATTTCATTTAAATTTCATTCAATAAACAGACCGTTGCAAAATGCTAGTACAGATTTACCTGTTTATACCAGGCAACCCGATAGTTGTGACCGGAAAAGAATGGGCAGCATAAAGTTTGCATATTCTTTGGGCTTCATACTTTCGATTGGTATAGAATTTATCTAATAATCATACCGGTGAAATGTTTAAAAAAATTTTTTTTTAAATTATTAATTAAACATACTCTGGACTGAAATTTGCTAGACAACCCATATGGATTATATTTATTGACATATTAAATTTAATATAAAATATGTTTCATTAAATAAGCATCTCGGTGAAGGTCGTTGTATAGCGGGATCTTATACTAGTAGTCTAAGGTAATACAACCAAAAATAATATTTAAAATCTATATCTATAACTTACACAAAATACGGAACAAGTATAAATCCAAACAGCTAATATTGTCTAAACCATTGGCGGTCCAACTCTAGGTTTTGGATTTCTGTATCTGTTCCGTGATCATTTGTTTTCTAATAGACAAGAAGGTGACCAGGCTGCAGCCAGGTTCACGATGTTTTCCTTTACCGTAAGAGCGAGTGTTTAATGCGTACATAGAAAGTCCATTGGCGCAGTGGGGATCAAATCTACGACCTCAAGGTTGAATCGCACGCTGAAGCCACTACGCTAATATTGCTCTCTCTCTTATTATCTAAATGACTTGCGAGAAACACTAGATTAAAACTGTAACTTATAAAGCATACTGCAGTTGTTTTTAAATGGTGGTATTATAACAAAAATATAATATATCTTAAATTATGAACAATTATATTTACACAACTAAATTTGTTATAATAGCGAATAGAATGGTACAAGCATAAAATTATTCTCTTTCAGGACCATGAGTGGATAACCTGTGGGGGAAAAGATCTGCTGCCGTCAGAGCAGGAGAATTGCAGATTAGTCGAAGTGACAGATGAAGACTTAGCACGGGTAGTAACCTCCATCCCCAACATCTCCACACTCATCCTCATCAAGACCATGCTCAAGAAACACAGCTTTCAGGTGATTCTTTGATATTATTCAGAATAATATATTATTATATTAATTTATACTAAAAATGATCAGATAAAGGGAGTAATTTTTATTTTAAATATTACAGCACCTACAACTTATGACTATACAAATTTTACTATTACGGAAATTATAGTGATAACGTTATAAATGCTTTCTAATAAAGTATTTAAATATAGTTTAAAAAATTACTAAAAGTAAATAGAAATTTTTAAGTTTTACAAATCTACAGTTATATTTATTTTTTAACTTCTTTCTTTCCTTTTTCTGATTCTGATTTGAAGAGACAAAAATGTATATTGAGCTATAATTATTAATTATAAAAAAGCTTTTGTGGTCATAATATATTTTATTTAGATTATTGAGCGATATATAGCGAAATAATGATAGTGAATAATTCGTTATTTAGTAATAACTGTGGGGTTCATTAACTCTTCAGTTATGTTTCTTCTGAAAGACGTTGAACGGAGGTCGTTCGTGGGCGTGGCCAGTACTTCGGCCAGGCCAGCAGGTAGCAGCGGTATATACACGTGTGCGTATCTAAAGGGAAACATGAGGGCGGCTAACGCTCGACAAACGGCCGGCAACCGTGCGCCTGCGAGCGATACCAATAACACTTTGTGCTCGCTCATCACCGCACACCAGAGGGTGACCGAGTTGTGTATACCTAATAACCTAAGTAACATATGATAAACTCTGAAAGACGTTATAGTTCTTGTATATTTTTTTTGGCCTCACTGCCTAATTCTGTTGGCCAGTCTTTTTCCTGTATGTATAGGTTTGTATAGGTTTTATTGTTTGATGCTAGGAGTAATTTACTTTTGTTAACACTTCTATATGACACTTTCAGAACCCATTTCTACGCAGTCGGGAGAGTAGCTCCCGTCGCGAATCTAGTGAAACTGGGGAAACGGCCGTTGCTGTGCGAGGGAAACGCACGGCTCTAGCGCGGGCAGGACGCTCGCTCTCAGCTCCTGGAAACTATCTTACTGACAAGTAGGTAGTACGTTGATAAAGAGTGCTGATATATTATTGCTTAATGCTACAAAGTACAACCAATTAACTTCTGTCCTATCTGAGGTAGGGAAAATGATAATTGGGGCCCAAGGCATTACTACTTTGCCATAGATAACAAAGTAAGGTCCTCCATAAGGACTGTGCGGGAAGAGAACCTATAATCGTCGAGGGCTTGCTTAAGCGTAACAAACAACGAAAACAAGCTTATACATTTTTATTATTACATTTACTAGATTACGGCAGAGGCGTCCTTTAAATTATATCTACGTGAAATTTTAATAGATTTCAAATCACAAACAGGTGTTGAGACAACTTTTACTAATTACAGGCAAGTTTCATTCGATATCAACTTGGAAGCTGTCGAAGAAACCAAAGAGAAACCAGAAACAAAACAGAGTGTCAGCAAATCATCCACAAAGAGCAAGGAAAGCAAAGAAAATGGTCAAGGGATTGCACCGCAACGGTGACGCGCCTTATAATAAGGCATTTAATGTGTGACTTCATAGTTTTAAGGCTTATCTCAAATTTAATATTCGTGTCCGCTTTAACCACAAATTTATATAAATTAGGTTTTAAACTATATTTTCGTTGTGATAAGTTGGTACATTTGTTACTTAAAGGAATCGAATGAAAGATAAAAGTCAATTTTAGGAATTATTACGGAACAACTTAACATATTTTTTTCCATTCAAATGTATGAGAAATATTAATCAGTGTTTTTACTTGGTTGTGAAGATAGCACATAAATACAATATTTTATTTTACACAAAATATATTAGGTTCCGCAGCACAATTTTTACATATTTCATTTATTTGTTCTATACAAAGCACTTTTCACAATGCTTACTTACTAAAGTAAAAAACATTATTTATTATTAACAAATCTTTATATCTACAACTATTGTACATACTTAAACTTTTCACACCATTATAAACACTTTTCGAAGCAATTAGGAATCGTTATTAATCAAAAGAGGTTTTATATTTAAAAAAAAACAATTTTTCCGTGTCGTGTTTGCTCAATATCAAAATCTAATCAACGGTTGAGAATTTAGATGTGAAAGCAAAGGACGGAAACAAATCCCTTACATTCTGTAGACTCTCAAAGAGAGTACAAAGATTAATTATTACGTTATTCAGTATTTATTAAAATAAATATAAAGAGTTCTGGCAAGGTCTTTTATATATAATTTAATGATTATTTTTGCTTCGAATAATGTTCAAACTTGTGCACTAAATTATAAGGCTTAGAACCATATTCAGTCGATATTTAACACCGCGCTAAGAGTTGACTCTATGGGTGAGATTCAGAAACTATACTCAGTACAAAGTACGAACAATGACTCCCGTATGTAAAAACCATTACTTACTTCAATCGCTTGAAGCCAAAAATAGGTTGACTTCATGCCAAGTGACGGAAAACGACGACTTGAGCTAGACTAAGATTCGAATTTAGCGCCACCAAACGGACCATCGTGTAATTAAAAATACAGATAGTAATGAATAATGTAATATTTCACACATTACACAAATAAAACCTTATAATTTATATGTTTAAAAAATTCAAATGATACCAAAATCAATAGTAACCAGACTTCGCGAAGTTTTGACAAGACAAATGTTTTTAAATACAATTATGTGTACTTGGCAATAACACACACACAGCGTTTGAAGTGTGACTCTCGTATGTCAAAAACGTATTGGATTGGCCATAGTTTGTACTAAATCTCGTTCCTGAATTTTACCTGTAGGCTAGGATTCAGAGACACGTAATATGTCAAATGATCAGTATCTGACAGCTGACAGTTACATGACTCAATCTCTAGCCACTAATAAAAAATAAATCAGTGCAATTGAACCGTTTTGTCTAAAATACATCTGTCAAATACATCTGTCGTTTTTTACCACAGCGTAAACACAATTTTACAAAAAGTGTCCTTTAGGTATAGGAGTTCAATTAGACTGATTTAGTTTTTACGAATAAGTGGATATTTTATGTACAATACTAGCCAAAGAATATGCACTAATATAAATGATAAGTTTATATTTTTGAATAGTTCATAAAGCCTATATCGGCTATAGCTTACTAAAATCAGTATCATGATAAAATAGTTATTGTCAATATTCTCCGAGAATTTTATGAGCGCCTGAGAAAATTTTAATATCCTTCTAGTGTAATATTGCTCAAATAGTAATAGTTATAATAATTTAATCAAGTATTATACAAAATCAGAAAACATCGAAAACACTGCCCTTAATTATTTGGTAATTTACCCAAAATTATATAATTAATTTTACAAGCTATGTAAAATATATATATATATATATATATATATAATCTACACTAGCCTGTTAGCGTACAACTAATAGAATATATCAAAATATTACTGAATTTATAATGCGTTTAATAAGAATTTGATAGATCAACCAGGAGATATTTTAGTTTGAATTTCTATCTGGTAGCCCTATTGTATAAATATCAATTATTGTTATTACCTAACTTGTAGTTTGCACTAGTCTTTGAAATAATGGCTTATAAACATACAAGTAGCGGCACGAAACTCTAGCGCTGACCGTTATTGCGCAAAAGTAAAAAATAAGGTACCTGAGGGGGGCTAGCGGAATGAAGTGTTTCGATTGGCTCTCCAGTCGCATTCCGTCCCCCGCGCGACAGTACACATGCGCAGCAATCCCCTCCACGTATCGGCCAGCGCTAGACTTACGTGCCGCTGCCTATACAATGGTTACTTTAGACTCATAAATTAAAAAAGTTATTTTTATATATGTGCTTTCGACATACAAATATGTCGAATAATACTTGTCATATATATTGCTGGCTTCAATTCTCAGCGTTGTAAGACTTTGATTCTTTATGTATGTCTGCTTACCACAGATACATTTTGCGTCTGTGATTTTGTATTAATTGACACGTCGGTTAACCTTTGACATTAACCGTTTTTTTTTGCTCAAAAATTTGATCCAATGATATAGGAACAATAACATAATATACTTAAATAATTTTAGGTTAAACAATTTACTTGCACATTTATCTTATATGATGTATTACTTCTATTTGGGTGTAAGACGGCCATCGTTCTTGATGTTTAAAATACGAGAAAATTAGTCCAAGCTTAGCTTTAGGTTCGCATTATCCTCGGCAAGCGAAAGGTCCAATTATAAAGCCTTTGAATGTTGTGATAGTGAATAGTGCTTATATATTTCCCTAAATTATATTCGGCTTATATTGTTGCCTAAAATGCTGAACCTCCAATGCCTTGTTTACTATAGATAACATTTCCTGTACCACAGACGGATTAAAACATTCCCACATCCTACCCTCTTCTGTTTATTAAATAAAGACTTTCCGCTATATAAATCTTTGTTTTTTCGAATCAAATTCGACAACTTTGTGAATTTAATTAATTTCAATAATTATTTACGATAAACAAAAATAAATTGTAACAAAGCTCTTAAATTCTTTCATAGATTCCTTTTTAGGCAAAAAATCTATGATAAGTGTCCAAAACCTTTATTATTATTTATAAATTTAAAACTTAGTCTCCAATTTATTAAATTATTCCTTTTTTACGTTTACTTTCTTGCTATGCATAGAAATCCTATTATCGTAATAAAAACAAACCAAATAAGCGTAATATTAAAGGCATTGGTAGTTCACTTGTAATGCGTCTTTGTAAACAAAAATGTGTAAATATTGGGAAAAATATGTTACAATTATGAATTTGTTAAGTGAATTTTATGGATTGGAGTCAATATTAAATCAATTTTTATCTTATTTTTGGGTTTTAATCCATTTTATTAATTTGACACAGCATATTACATGCTATAAATTATTGAAGAAACGTTGAATTGAAGACACGTCACACGGCACACCTATTTAAAAGGGTATTTTTTTCGACTAAACAACATTATATTGGTTTTATCAATCATTTGCCAAGATCGATTATATTATGAATTTAGGAGAATACAGCACAAATTTGTATTTATTAAATTTAATTGGTTTATATTTCATACGTGCTTTGAGGTGTTGAATGGTAGAACATAGACGCTATCGTAATGCTTAGATTAGCATTAAACTCTTATTTTTCGTAATAGAGAATTTAATTTGATAGATGCTTAACCACTATTATCTTGGTCATTAGTATCAATTAAAATAACATTAATTATTACAGTGCGTCATTAATCGTTCAATTAAGATACGAAAATATTACTAATTCAAGAATTATGACCATATACGACGAATATCATATCATAACAGAGGTTCGTTCGTTGGTAAATTTTGACTTAAACAAACTTTGGAGTTTGGACAAAACTTCAAGCTCCTTCCCATACAATTATGTAAACAAGTTAGAAAAATGTATTGAATGATATTAAAATAAAAAAATTCAACATCCCCAAGGAATGCCCAAACGTTTTAAATGCAAAACCCATTCGTCCTAAATAATGCTGACGTAAAATCCATTTATGTTCCACGTTTGCTCCTTAGGGAAATTAGTGGAGAGTTTTGTTCCCATTTCGATCACGACAGAAATTAGAGTTTTGAGATAATGTTACTACATGAAGTTAGAATAAAAATTAAATGAGGTATCACACGTTTACTTTACATAACTTAACTGAACTAACGTTAAAAACAAAAAAGCTACGAGAACTTCACCCACACATTTTCACATAAGTACTACTTCTTTTTGGACTTCTTCTTAGAGGGCTTTTTCTTTGTTTGTTCTTCACCTTTGTCTTTAAAACTCAATAAAGTCACAGACTGAGTGTCTGCCGGCAAAACCATGGTCTCCGAAGGCGCTGAAGTTAGCGTAACAACGTTACTTTGATCATTTGACACTGGCACATAGTTTTGTGTATTCCCCTGACTATTTGAAACAGGAACTAAATTAATCTGACTCCCTGTATTCCCCTGTCCACTTGTTACAGTTACGTAGTTAGGTTGACTTGCTGAATTCTCTTGACCACTTGACACTGGCACATAGTTGATTTGAGTATTCGGTGTATTTTCTTGAGCACCCGGCACTAAATTTATTTGTGTCCCTGTATTTCCCTGCCCATTAGATACGGTTACGTAATTCGGTTGACTTGCCATATTTCCTTGTCCATTTGTCACTGGGACATAGTTGATCTGGGAGTTAGGTACATTTCCTTGAGAATTGGGAACTGTCATATACGTCTCTTGCCCAGAACTTACCGAATTAGACACAGGCACATAGGTAACTGCGGCATTTCCTGGATTTGCCAACGGTTGGGCGATCACATTTTGTTGACCACTGGATACAGGCACGTAAGTACTTTGCACATCACTTTGACTGATGGGCACAAAATTCTGAGGAATTATTTGATATACAACTGGAGAACTTGGCACTAACACGGTTTGACCATTACTAGAAATATAACCGACGGTATACCTGACCGGTGCGTTTGTGTACGGTACACTTGTTTGAATAGTTTGTGAGGATTGATTGGGTACAGATACAACATAATAGGTTGGCATTCCGTTTATTATTCCACTATTAGCTGTTGGAATCGAGTTTTGTACTTGATAACTAGAGGGGTTTGAAATTACATCAGTGGATTGGAACATTTGGCTTGGAATATTTGCATTAGCGATGGAGTTGGGAAGGTTTACGATTGTATATAAAGAGGAACCACCATTTGCATTCGGTAAGACTATGCTGTTCCCGAATGGATTCGGTTCAGCTACTTTATTAATTAATGGAGTTTGGTTTGGAGTTATAAGTGTTGCGTATGAAGCTTGGTTAGGATTTTGACCAAAAGTTTGGGTATTTGTGAGGGGTGGAGGTTGAGTGATATGATTAGTTAAAGGAGCTGAAGGATTACGATTCCACTGATTGGTATCAGATGGAGCTATATTCACTGCATATAAGATTTGAGGCGTATCGTTGAATCTGTTTGGTAATTCGGATGCATTGCTATTATGTTTCCCTTGTACCTCTCGCTTTACCTCTTCCATGCTATCTGGAAAAACTATTGCATTAGGATTTCGCGGTTTATTTACATATTCCTTTTCTTTATTAAGCGTTGGTTCTATATTTACACTTTTGTCAGTTTCAATGTGCATTGTGTTGTGATTTTTATTGTTAGGCCGTGGTTTACTGGTGTCCCTTTCTAGTTTATTATTGGTCAAACCGTTAATATCCCTTTTAATATTTGAAGAATGTGCCGTGTCCGTGTTGAAATCTATAGGTGCAGAGGAATTCAAAGCAAGTGGTGGATTGGTGCTTAAATGAAGCATTTCTCGTGGTTGTTCCGTGGTTGTTAGAGGAGTAGTAATTTCAGTGTTATAATTTGACGGATTACCTGCTCTAAGTCCTTCTGAGGGGTCATTAAGTTCTGGATTTGAAAGAGCTTGATTTTTTGGAATATTATAGCCACTCTGTCCCAAATTTTGGTACCCCATATCATTTTGCTGATATCCTGAATTCAGTCGGCTCCCATAGGGATCGGGATTGAAATTATTTGTATCTGGTTGCTGATTGTAATTATTTCCGCGGTGCCCTTTGATCATGTTGTGCAGCATGTGTGGTAGAGTGCCAAATATACTGTCAGGACGGTCTTTTCCATAATACGCATGACTATTAACAACAGCAAACACCAATGTAAGAATCTGAAACAATATTAATAATTGACTAATCACTATTCAAATATAAACATTAGTATTGTCTTGGCACATAATATCAGTCATGTGGTACAAAAAAAGGTCTTCATATAATAACGACTATGTTTTTCAGAAGTAAAAATAAATCTATTATAAAATTAGTATAGCTATACTAATTTACAATATAAGTTTATACTAGTACCGACTTCACAACTGGTTGAATAATACATCGATACATATTTAATGAAAACAATTATCATAATAATATAACAAACTCACCAATGCTTTCCCTTCCATAACGGAGAGACAAATGACAAAAACATCAAAATACAATAATTTAAATTCCGTCTCTAATGTTATTAGAAGGCATTAGGAAATAAATTCATAATGATATTCTGAAGTGTTTGAGGGAAAACCACACGCAACCAGCTAATCGCAGTCATTAAATTAATTATTAAATGCAGCGTTATTAGTTGTGGAAGATAACTATGACGTTATGAGAAATCCGAAAACCTAATGGTTTTTTTTATTTAATTACCTAATAACATTACTTTTCCATTTCCGTTTATTGGTCTACCATGACGCTTAAATTATTATTTATTAATTGAAACCCCCTCAGTGTTTGGAGATATCACTCAACATTAATTCATTTTGGGTAATTATTTTTTTAATTGTTAAATTATATAGGTTTCGTGTCTGATTTCCAAATGACGCAATAAATGCTGCTTTATTGTGTTTCCCCAAGGGCGTCGGTACGGAATAAGTTTAAGGAATTAAATATTATGACACTATCGGATATATTAGGATTTTAAAACAAATGGTGACTTTCACCAGTATAATACTCGTAACAGAACTAATCTAAACGTACGACCAACCAGGCTCCAGAAGATAAACCACTCCTTATATGGAAATTGTATTAGTTTTTATAACCCCCAAGCGAAATTAGAGAATTATTACTGAATAAACTCAAACGTAAAACGTATTTTAATCAATAAAGATTTTTATAAATTTGACGATTATTTAAATGATTCTAATCCTTGGAATTGATTTGCTCCAGTTCAAACAATTTGTATAACTCAAAACTTGGCGATTAAAAAGTGTTGCGGAGAGTTTCTTGCCAGTTCTTCTTGCCCGCTCTACGCCCTGGACTTGCGAACTAGTAGGTAGTAAATTTAGAAACAATTTAACATCTTTTCTGTTGACGTTCATAAGTCTACTTGGTTAACTTAACATAATTATTGCAATTGAGAAAGTACTGAATAATTGTACCTACTTTTTATTTAACTATATTGAGGTATTCATGCAAACGTATATGTACTAAGAGAACATTTAATAGTTTAATACCTTTCAAAACTTCAATGTTTCTTTAATTAAAACTTGTAAAATAAAAAAAAACACAATGAACAAAATAAATGAAACCATTTTTAATTGCATGTTATATTTTTAGAATCGGTATATTCGTTACAATTTAGTACAAATTTGGGTAATAAGCACTATTGTAGTTATAGTTTTTTCCACCTGTTTCCAAAAGTTCTCTTCCTATGGGATTATTAACACCGTTAACCAAACCCTTTTGATATTCTAAAGGCCGTACCTCGGGATAGGGAGTCTTATATAGATCTTGTCTTTCATATTTATACTCCTTTTTTCCGTAATACAGCTCACTGTCATCATTTCTTGGCTCTTGCTTAGGTTCATATAGATCATAATAATCGCTCACTCTGTGGTAGTTTTTGTCATATACAAAGTCCCGACGTTTTCCTACAATTTCTAGTAACTCTTGGGAAAGAGGGCTTGTGTAGCCATTAACGAGATAAGTTCTTCTCTGAAATCCTAGACCTGTGCGGCCCGCAAAGCCGGGATAGGGAAACCTTTCGTAGAAATCATTCGGGATTTTTGGATAGTATGGATCATATTCGCGATTCTTATATTCCTTGTTACGTCTGTCATCCTTTTTTAGTTCTCTGTAGTTGTCTCTACCCGAGAGGAGTTCGGCTACGTTGGCGTAGTCCAATCCTTCATGCGAAGGATATCCATAGTTCCCACCGTAGGCTCCGTGTCTTTCTGTCACACGGCCATCTACATTATCAGAACCTTGATTTCCTCGACTTCTTTCTCTGCCTTGGTTTCTATACTCTCTCTGATCACGTTCTTCATTATCTCTCTCCTGATTTCTCGGGTTCCCTTCCTTGCGGCGATCGTTTTTATAACGATTCTCGTATCGATTGCTATTAGAGTTTATGGTCAACTGCTCATCATTTGGGTAGCCACGTTGCGGCTCGCAATTAACGAGTAGGATCAAGGAGAAGGTGGCCTGCAATTAAGACATATATTATTTATCAATATTTTATGAAAATTAAATGACAACAGGTTTATTAAGCTTCAGAGGTAGTTTTCTTCCACTTTACCTTTAAATTATAAATATATTTGATAAAATACGATGAAATATAATAGAAAATTACAAGTGTTTTTTTTACTTTTTATTGAAATAAAAATAACTATAAAATAGATAACAATAGTCGTATTTCCTATCTGACTCATGAATTATTGAGTCGGCGGATATACAGAGCAAAAACAGTCTTAGCTAATTCCCATTCGAGCAAACACCGTGGCATATGGTAGTTGATATTGATACATGTATTCCTTATTAGAACTCTGGTAGGCTGTATCATAAACTGGATTTCTATATTCATAGTAATTATTAGCGTCGTCAAATTTAGGATAAGATTCAATAGATTTTGATTCGCCGAAATGCAGATTGTAGTCGCGCTGTTGAGGCATGTTTATATAGTTTTGATTATATTTCTGTACCCTTCCAGCAGATCCCAATATTTGTTGACTTAGAGGATTAATTAAATTGGGTAATGGATAGGGATGGGGTAAACCAAATCCACTTCCAATGAGACCTTGGTTATAATTCGGTAATATATAATTAGGGTAACCCTTATTTACGTAATATGGTTCTCTATAATGGAAATCATCGTAGTTTTTGTATCCGTTGTAGGGGTTACCGTTGCGTATGTCGCCTTGATCTTCTTTATCTTTTTCGTATTTAGGAAAATTATTTTTCTTTTCAAGCTTTTCTTTACCTTGGTCATTAATAGGAAATCCTTGATAGCTCCAGCCTTCGTTCGGTTTTGGATCGTAATTATGTTTACTATTATATTCGTACTCGTTAGCTGGCCTGTAATCATTGTAATTACTGTAATCCCTTTGCTTATCATATTGTCCGAAACTCTTATTATCAGGGTAGGGTAGTATTGAATAGGGTGTATTATAATTATATACTGGACCCTGTTTTTCAAGATTTCCTATAGTATAATCATAGATATATTTTTCTTCCTTTTGCTTGCTTCTGATATAATCTTGTAACGGATTTATTCTGTCTGGTTGCTTTGAATATCCAGGACCTTGATAATCTGGACCATGACTTATACCTCTATCCTGGGGTAAATATTCGCGACTTGGATAGTCATCGTCACGATTAAAGTTCACTAGGTCTTGCTTAACCTTTAGAGGTTCATAAAAGTAATTAGGATCTTGATATCTTCCATCTTGCCGATTCTTGTATGTTTGTTCTGTTATATCGCTTTTTTCAGCTTTTTTATATGAGTTTCCCGAATTATAGTTTAATTCATATTGGTACGCCTCATTGTTTTTTTCGTTATCGTAGCTATGGCTTGTAACGTATTTTTGAGTATTCATCTCACCCCTATCTGTTTGTTTGTGGCTAATTTGATAGTCATACATATTTTTCTTACCTCCTTGCTGATAACCTTTTACTTCTTGATTTCTTTCGCCATATGTTTTTTGTGAATATCGATTTGTTTTTCTTTATTTATATTGTCTTTATTTGTAGTATAAATATATTTACCGTGTTTTTCATTTTTGTCCGTACTTTTATAAGTGTCTTCTTTTCCATTTATAAGTTTTCCGTCCTGATGTAAATATTTGCTATTAACACTTTCTTTTTTATTTTTATCTTGTTTGTCGAATTCAGTATAAGATTTTTCTTCAACTTTCTTACTATCTTCGTCTTGTTTTTTTGGAGGGTAATACACTTCAAGATCAATTTTTGGGTTTTTTTGGTTCTGATCGTAGTTATACTCTTGTATACTTTTATTCTTCTGCCTTCTAGGATCTAAGTTTTGAATAATATGATATCCTGGAATTTTTTCAATCACCTGTTCCTTTATTTCTTGCCCTATGTTACTAATTAAACCGAGAAACTCTATTCCTCCAAGAAGGTCCTTTTTGTCTTGAACATGGTTATTAAATAACTCCCTATAATCTTTTTCTTTATTTTCAGTTTTTTTACCAGGTTTTATGTATTCGTATTTAAGTTCACTTTGTGGTTCTTTTATTTGGTAACCTTTTTCGTTTCCTTCATTGTTTAGGACTTTATGTATATGGATTCCTCCTTTTGTATCCAGCCCTGTTCCTAAAACAGTATCAGCCTTTTTAACAATAACGTCAACTTCTACTTGCTTATCACTTTTTTCGTTTCCTTTACTGATGTAACCATGAATTTCAATAACTTCTTCCTTTTTACCTTGGTCTTTACTCCTGCTATCTTTGTATTTAGGACCTTCGATCGCTTTGACATTTGAGCTGTCAGAGTTAGATTTAGGTGCTGTGATTAGGCTTTCTAAGTAACTGTAACCATAACCTGGTGATTGATTAGTATAGGATTTTTCTTTATTATCATTACTATAGCTGTCACTTTTTGATCTCGAATAACTCTGTTTTTCTCCTTTGTATTGATAATTGTTATTGGTATCTCTATTTTTATCATCACGTCTTGAACTGTCTTTATATTCAGGCTCACGACTATATTCATCATTACCATTATTTAGATTTTTGTTTGATTGTACATTGTACTTACTATCATAGTTGTACTCTTGATTTTGTTTGTCATCACGGTTTACGTCTTCTTGATACCTGCGTCGGTCGTCTTTGTTTTCATTAGTTTTTTCTTTTTTGTTATTATTATTTGCGTCGTTTTTATTTTTACTATCATTTTCATATTTCTTTATATCTTTCTCGTTCTTATCATTTTCTTTATTCCTGCTCTCTTTTTCCTGTTTTCTGTCTTTATCGTTTTTATTTTTTGATTCATAGTTATCTTTTTCATTGTTATTTTTATAGCCTCGATCTTTGGCTTGTTTATCAAATCCACGTTGATTGGTTTGGTCGTCACGGCTAGATTTATTATATTGATTTTGACTATCGTAGTTTTTATCCTTATCACTTTCTTGCGTACTATCTATTTTCTGACTAAGCTGCTTTTCACCGTTTCGATTATCTGATTCATTTCCTTTCTTGCTATATTTATCTTGAGACTTATCTCTATTTTTGTCTTCTTTGATGTAGTCTTTATTTTTATCAGAACGACCTTTATCGTCTCTGTTGCTGTCTACATTATCATTACCTTCTTCCCGCTTTTTATCACGTTCGTTATATCTTTCGTTTTTACCATTATTGTCCTTATCATTTTCTCTATAACGGTATCTATCACTTTCTCTATGATCGTTCTGTTTTTCTCTGTTTCTGTCATTGTGATTCTGATCTTCTTTCTTAATGTCTGGATCACCTTGCTCTCGCGATTTGTTGTCCCTGCTTCGATCTGACCTTTGGCTATGATCTACTTCATCGTATCGACTTTCATCAAATCTACTATCGAAGTTCCATCCATAGCTTTTGTCAAAGTTATAGTAAAGGCCTGACGTATCTCCATCAGCCAGGGCTTCTTGTTGCGGCTCACAAACAACAAGTAGGATTACGGAGAAGATGGCCTGGAATACAATAATTGTCTTGCATAGAATTAATGTTCCGATGATATAAAATTGGAGGTTAGCTCATAGATGATAATCTTTTTCTCAACTTGAAACTACTCATGTATGCGATTGAGGTCCAATTATATCCTTGGCTTGGCTGTCGTGACTTTATTTCCCAATATTATAACGGTTGAGGTTCATAAACTAAAGATTTACTGTTTCACATCTAGCAATAGAATAGAAAAATATATAAAACCCTGCTATCACCTGCAATGATATATTTTTTATATATATAACCCCTATATATTGTATATGTTATTATTGTTATTATGCGTTTGAACCTTTTAACCAGCATTTTTTACTATAGAGTACAAGACTTGTACTTAATATCACGAACCGAAATCAATAAATATTCTAAGTAGGTACATATAATCAAAATATCTATTTAAAGAATTACCCCTTATTCATAAAATCCTATAGTCAGTTATATATTTATAAAATAAAATTAATATATTGTACTACAGCATTGTTCGCACGGGACCTTAGTAGAGTATGAGGCAAACAGATAATTGTATCACTGATAATTTTCTTTATAAGCGCTTTCACAAATTGACGAGTCGCCCTCGAACAATCATGGCAAGCGATCAGTTATTTCATCTGTATATTGGAAGGACTTTCGATTTGTGCGCACAGTCATTAATTATCTAAAATTCTGTGAATTTATGCCTGTTTATTAAACAAAAAATACTCACTATTAAAACCAACTTCATGTCTACTGGCTCTAGTTACAACATATAACTAAAGAAAATTACATAAGACGTGTATAAATAACTGCGGGCTAAATCGGTATTTCGTGATAATAAAGATTTGAAGGATCTTTAAAGATAATTCGATTGATTGCTAATAAACGAATTAACCTGAATGTTAAATAATTAAAGTTAATATCGAATGGGTAATTATGTTATATACTTAACAAATTGCTCGATATTTCCGCAACTAAACGCTATATTTGGAATAGCAATAACATGATAGGTTGTCCTTATATAAGTTAATTGATAGAAAATGATAGATTTCTATAAACACTGCCAGTAACTTGACACGTAGCTTTTTGTTTGAAACGCTCTATAGAAAAATTTATGTGGAATTACAAAAAAGTCTTCGTATAAAGTACTATCAGTACCTACCCGACAGCCGGAATGGGGTTTTCTGCAAAAGCGATAGTGTTGAAACGGGAATCAATACGTTTCTTTTTTATAACACAGGTACCTAAAAGCAGGGGGCTCATCTGATAATAATTGAAACCGCCTATGGTCACTTACACCTGACAGAAGGCTCGCAGATTGCCATCCTTATAAGAATTTTTTGACTCTTTTCTCGAAGTACCCTAAGACGTCCTACTACTAATATTTCAGATTTTATATTGTGTCATTTCGTTATGTTAGTCTAGTGACTGAGTGTCCGATTCATGACCCTGAGGACATGCGTTCAACCATCTGTGCAGGATTTTTCAACTATGTGTGCAATTAATATTTGGTAGTACGGTCATAGACGAAGAAAATATGCCAAACTAGCATATATTAGATCCAATAAAACGACGCCGTGTGTCAGGCACAAAAGATCGATCACATACTTGCTTAAATTTAACAATAAATATGCAGAAATGAATTGCCCCTTTGGGCGGGGGGATATTGAAAAACGATTCACTTATATCAAATTTCACATAAAAATTTAATTATTATTATTTTTCAGAATAAACTATGGATCCAACTAAACACTTTATTATAATTTAATGTGTTTAACATTAAATTATAACAATTATTGTAGAATAATATTAAAAGTCTATCTTTAGTAACAATTTAAATCTACAAGAAGTTATGCGAAATAATATTTCTTATTAGCTATTACGTCATTTATCAAGAATATTATATGCTTCTACTTTTCATATTAAGCATCAAGACTATTATGACATAACAGTGTTGTCAACATAAAAACCCACGACCTTTGCCTTCCCGCACAAACTTGGTTTTTTACTGTTTGTGCCTTTTAATAAAAGTAAAATTTGGATTGTAAATTTATGGATGGGAAATTTGCAAAGCCAAATATGCTAATTGTAGTGCTGAATAAAACAAAAGTTGAAAGGCATAAATTTTTTAATCTTATAACTATATATGTACATTATTTACAGTTAAAATACAACTAGTGGCCCATTACTTAATCTAAGACGTTGTCCTTGTTCCTAGCCAATTCGTTTTTAAGTACAAATAAAATGTTATAGTTTTATATAAATATATAGTGTATAATTGCCGGCAAATAAGTTGGAAGGAGGCGCAAGTCGTTATTATAGTACTAGCTTTCCTTTGCTTTACCTACGCGATTTTCTCCGACCGTGTAAAATCTTACATTGCATATATTCAAAATAATATATAAAATTCTGGAAAAACAACTCATAGCCTTAAACACATAGTCTATAAATGTTGATAATTGACCAATGCATGATGAAAAGATTTAAAATCCCTTTGCTGTCAAATTTAATAGAATGAACTGTTTACAATATTCATGTATATAGTAATAACAATTACATGTAGATACAATAAAATACATCAACGTCTAAAATAAAACCGGATACCCGAATAAATGTTCTATACACTCAACGAAATGACATAACTAATTGATGCTTATGGTACAACGAGACCGATAATTTAATATATACTGTGGTGATTGTGTCTATTACATCTGACATAATAATATGGTTTTCGTATTATAGCATCTATGTCAATATTATCATTACCCTCGTCAGTCGCAATAGTTATTGTCTGTGATTCAACATTTGTCATTTCATTATCATCCATTTGGTTTAGATTAGAAGGAACAAAGTGACTCGACTGTAAAAATTCACCGGACGAACTAAATTCGCTGACTTGTGTATAACTACCGGAATCTCCGATATGAGGGTTCCTAAATAGAAAGTTTCTTATATATTTAGCATTATAGGTTTGTATAAAACAAAAGGTCAAAAGTTCAATTTTATGCTATTTTTACAATTTAAATTTAATTATTTTACAATAAATATTGACTGTGTGATATAGGCATATGTATAGATGTATAATCCAGAATTATTTAAAACCATAAAACTGTTTTTTTTTTTAATTTCAAAGGCATTTAATTATACTAGGCACTACAAAAAGCGGACATTATAAATTTATCAAAAAAATATATTTATATTAATATTACTGCGTAGCATATATATTTAAACTAAAAAAACATTATGAACGCGACTGTCCGTCGCCTAACTATTATACTAATTATTATAGTTTAAAAAAATTGTCCTTTATGCCTAATATATTTAAATATCTTTGAAGTCCCTACTTTATTTCTCTTATATCCCATCTTACCCCTGGCGTTGACGCACTGCGTCCTTGAATCGAATCGTACAGTCGCGTACATTCATATTGGGCGTCAAGAAATCATTGAGACGAGAAACGGGTATTGGACGATCGAAGGGATATCCCATTGCCCGTTTATCCGGGTATTTCCGGTCACGAAGACCACAGTATGAAGCAGCATCGTTACAGGAGCCTACTGTGTCTTGAACCACCTGGAAATGAGGATTTTGTTTAATAAGTAAAACTGCGTAAAACCTAACATTTTCTTATACAAACTCGGAAAGTTTCAAAACAATTGAAATCAAGAGATTATAACTGTTAAACTATCTATTGTTAGAAAATTAATTCCATTATTGTTACAAAAAATCGATAGTAAATGATATTCTCATTACATCATATAAATGTTTGCTATTCGAATAAATGATTCCTTGAAAATTATTAACTCATTTAATTGTGCGTGTCGCGTGTTAAGAGATAGATGCAAGGCAAGTTATGTGTTAATAATAAAAAACCAACTTTTGCTTATTAAGAAGCAATTGAAAGTACAATAAAATTATGTGGTGTCAATAAAATTGACGGCCGTATTCTAACTACAATGAGATGCTTTATTTATAATTCTTTATGTTTTCAATATTCTACCTTCTTGACACCAACCTACCAGAAGTGGATTTTACAGATGCAGAAGGCCTACCATGTATTTGCGTATAAAAATAATTTTGATAAATAGACGCAAACAGTCCGTGTGTCTTTACGAGTGTTTCAACACATTATAACGTGAAACTTACCTGATCATCATTCCAGTTAGAAATCATACAGAAGAGGACCATAGGGAATCCCTTGGCTGTTCCCTTTGGCACCAACATATGGTGTGGCCATCCACAGCCGCAGAAGTCGAATTCAGCAGCTGTACCAGAACCTGGATCACCAGGTCGGTCGGCTTGACGGCGGAAGGTACGCTCATAGGGAATAGTTACGGACGAATCGAGGGAGCTACGCCTGATGGTGCTTGTACCGGTTGGGACTAAAAAATTATAATTTTATTATACTATTATATTAATTAATAAATAATTTTAATTATATTTTATTATATTTATATAATATGTTTATAATTAGTAAATATATATATTATATAAAAGCCGATTTCCTCACAATTTTTTCCTTCGCCGTTTGAGCGAATGTTAAATGCGCACATAGATAGAAAGTCAATTGGTGCACAGCCGGGATCGAACCTACAACCTCAGAGATGAGAGTCGCTCTAAAGACACTATGCCAACACATAAATAATAGAATTACTATAGCTAATATAAGAACAATAAAAAAACACTATGTTAGGCCCTTTTCGTTAATATAGAATATTTATGTTACTAATTCAGTAAATACCTTTAAAATATGTGCACAAATGTTATTCAAATAAAATTTATATTGTATATTTCACACTCTTAGAGTTTCTAACTCGCACTTACTCTTACCATAGATATTTCCAAACAAAATATATAAGTCAAATAGCTTTCATATAACAAAAGGTGTATTACTTGATTGAGTAAACTTGTCGAGTTCAATCATAAGCCGTCGTTGATCGTTGAAGTTCAGAGGGTTGCCACGCTCGTCCTGTGTTGGCGCCATGAACAAACGAACGGTACCCATCGCACCTTGGCCTGATGTGTTGTTTACCTCGATACTGTGATTTTTAACAAGAAAAAGTTAATAAATGCTCCTGAGCCACAACTACTATTGAGAGTCGCCAAGACGTTGGTGAAGTAGAAATACGACACCAGAGAAAACGGACAGAATATTATGAAATATTATAAAAGGTGATGACTTTGTTGAATTACAATATAAAAATTGAACATAATTTAATGAAAAGGAGGGCAACTGGCGGCCTTATCGCTTTCGAGCGATCTCTTCCAGGCAACCGATGTGAGAAAAAAATGTATTAAATTAAATAAGGTAGGCAAGAAGTGCAAAAATACATATTACATTAAGAAAAAACTAAACAGGAACAAAAAACCAACTAAACTAATAAATGATACATGATACAATGCCTGTTGACAGCTTTATCAAAACAAAGGACAGAGATTAGTGCTTAGGTATACATTGCACTAATCCTATTTTTTCATTACACTCACAAGTTCGCGAGTGCGTTGCCGGCTTTTGACGATTGGACATGCTCTTTTCTTGAGGGATCCTAAGTAGGTTTAATTTTAATAATATGGTGGAAGGAAGGAAAAACACTTACACATAGGTGAAGTCGTCATGTGTCAGATGTGTGAAGCGGGCAAGTACTGAACCACGAGGAGTGAAGTCTAGACCTCTACCTAGGTCCACAGTACTTTGTTCCCACTGAGTTGACAAAGTGTTCGCTCCACCAGTGGATTGCATGTCCACCGAAAGAACGCGGATTCCGGGGAAATCCAACTATTAAAATGATAAAAACAATTGCTATAGTATTAATAATTTATAATAAAATGATTATCAAATCATTAAAAAATTATTTAGATGATTTCTTCTTAAGTTATAGTTTCAAGGGGAACGTGGGTGGGTTTTTAATGGCAAAGGGCCTTTATAGTGTGGGCGAGTATTTAGAGACCATAAGTTTGACACCAATTATAAATAAATTAACTTATTATTATGACATTATGTTAATTAATATGACATTTGCATGCCTATTTATATATGGCTGATTGTGCGGATTTTTATAATTAATTGATCTTATTGTACCACTATCTTAGCAAATATACGATTTTATTATCATTATTTTTTTACTAATTAAAAAAATTGTAAATAGATATTTTAGTTAAATATGGGCAGCTATCATTTTTAATTTACGTCCTTTTGCGACGTTTGTAGGCAATTTATAAAACCCTTACATTAAAAGTACCTTTAATATAGCGTCCTGTACATATTTTAAAATTATCTGTACCACTTCCGACTCACTTCTAGATTGTACTGTAGTTTATTGACTGTGCAGTACTTAAAATATTCAAGTATTCATTATCGATTTATGTTGTGTATGTCATACCGTGTCAGAGCTGTATGGCTGTAGCTTGTCCTTATAAAGTACGAATATATCGTCAACATATGCGTGCCAGCGGTAGAATATGGGGTCTCGCATTGCAGTTGCCGAATCACCCATGACACCAAATTGTTCCTAAAACAATACAGGTTTATAAGAATGTAATAATGTCTTCAGTTATACTAGATATTAAAGTAAAAAAATCGTAGAAATGTTTTGACTCTCGCTAACCACAACTGCTGAAAAGTACACCATGATGTAATTGATATTTAAGACTAACAAGTCTCTTCTTGTGTAAAAAAAACTTGGCGATTAAAAAGAGTGGCGGAGAGTTTATTGTCAAATCTTCTCTTCCGTTCTACGCCCTTGATTTGAGAACTGGCATTAAATGTAAAGTTAGAAACATTTCATATACATTTCTTTTTTTGACGTTCATAAGTGTACATTGTGTTACCTTTATGATTAAATAATCTTTGACTTATATCTTATATAATAAATAGGAAGAGTTGAGTAGAAAATATTTAATTATCAGAAGGAAAGCATTTTACTATGATACGATCAATGAAACGGGCGAGAAATTGATTCATATACCCATTAGCTACGAGGCACTAATACGTACCAGGTTCCTATGATCAGGATCGTGTGCATAGGAGATGAAAACATGTCCCATGTTGTGAAGGTCTCCATAGAAAGGCCGGTTGGGGCTGAGGATTGAAGACTCCATCATGTTACCAAGGTTGTCGATCCCTGTCTCATCATCTAGGGGGATGCGACGACCATTTGGCTGAAAATAATAATTAAAATATAAATTAAAATAAATTAATTAAAATTAAAATAAATTCTATGGCGAAAGGATTGCGCATTTTCTGGCGTTAATTAGAAAGCAACTCTACATTGTACAAGGACCCTAATCAAAGACGAGTAATTTTAATGTTTTACGGAACCTAATCCAATCACTTGGAGATTACGCTGTATTGTAAATGACGGCATTTTTTATGCCAATCTCGGGCTAACTAAAGCAACATAAATATTGTGGAACGTTTATGCTGGCGATCTCTTTTTCATATGTGTATTTAACTAGACTTTTATGAACCTACCAAAATTTGTAAAATGTTTAATAAAGAAAGGTCACACATTTTAAATTACGTAATTTGATAGACGCATTTTGATTGATAGGTGCAGAATTAATGCACAGAGACTTAGATAGTAACGCTAAAGTATCTATATTCAATTGTTAATTACATATATGTAATGATTTTAGAGCAGTAGGTACATACACTTTAAATCAAAATTTACTATTGTATATACGTACGTCTCAAAATAGTTACCTATAAAAAAATAATCGGTCGGTGTATAAACAATTTTATATTTTATTAACTCAATTTTCGATATTTTTTATATAAAAAATTTGGAGTCACGGTATTAGAGTATTAACCAAAACTTAACTCACCAGCATAATACTCATGCTGTTAATAGCTTCAATGAATCGGTCTCTCCATGTCTCCATCTCCGAAACGTCACTACGGATCTGGTCAACTGGACGGTTCAGATCTTGAATCTTGGATCCTTCGAATCTGTAAAACAGTTGATTAGAAGTTAAAAAATACATGAATATTTTTTAACTATTTTTGTGTTAGTATAGTATTTTTTACTCCATACGTGAATCATTCAAAAAAAGATACATATTTTTAGAGACATATAGGATGGTAACCTTCTCAATAGATGTCACTTAAAACAGTATTTGTTTATACCCAAAATAAAACATGATTGACGGAAAAACAATATTTTTTTAAATGAATTAATTTCTCTATCAGTAAACATCTTTTTTAAACTAAGGTTTTTAAGTAAAGTTATAGACCAAATTAAGTTACCTTGGTGGCCAGGACCTGCTGGCGACTTGAGAGTCTAGTTTGGGGAAATACCCTTCCTCAATGGGTTCACGGAAGTTACTGTATCGTCGAGGTCTTCCTAGGTTGTTACAATAACGCTCAGTTGTGTATCTGGAAAACAAATTTATTTTTATAACACTCTAATTGACGTTAACTTAATCAAATAAAAGGTGTTTTACAATATTATATATTACGACGTATTTAAGTATTTTATTTTAGGAAAGGAAATCTAAACTAGATGGCGCTATACGCTATTTGTTTTAAACTAAATATTTCCTAAGTTTTCTTTTTACTAGATGGCAATTTTAGACATTATTTTTGTATTTTAACAGGCTTTTGAACAAATTATCTAAAACAGATGGCGATAGTGAATATTATGTTTTTATAAATTTAGCATGAAAAGTGGTTACTCAACTAGATGGCGCTTAATACACAAAACAGGTACAAGTAAAACTGCAAGTTTTACCTCATATCAAAACGACCAAAATTAACAAAATATCTATTTAAACCAGGTGTCACTAATAATCATTAATTATAATATATATTATAATAAATTGCACAAAAACGTAGTAAACATTTTAAACAACAGTCGGCACCATAATACGTGGCAATATTTTTCTTTATAAGATTAAGATAATTAAAAGGCTAACCGTGCAACAATCTGCTGGTGCATGTAGTAGAACAGCTCTCCTCGTCTGTCTTTGGCTACTATAGAACGGTCGGAAGCGTCAAACGGGTAGACCAAATGCCAATGCCAGTGATGTAGATTGATGCCAATGTCTTCGCGGAAGTAGGCGACTCTCTGTTCAGGCTCGCTTTCTGCTGCCGTGTAGTTTTGGGGGATAAGAACCGGCATCTGCTGGAATCAATTTAAAGGTTTAATGGGTTTTTAAAATCACTTTTTTTCAATTCAGAATTAATATATCGAAATACGATGGTAACAGGATATATAGAAGATAATTTGAATTTTGCTCATATGTTTTATAATCAGGTTCCTCCTAATTGCCTATTAGTTGGAAGCACAAATATGAATCGAAGTATTACGTCACGCAATTTTTGGAGATTATTGACCCCCCCCCCCATGTAACGCGCCGTAACGTTTACCTGTACGATAGAAATAGAAAACGTTTCGTGACCACCCAGTGACTCTGTATACCTTAAAGTTACCATTATGTGGTGTAAAGTACTGGAAAGTCGAAATTAATATTAACAATAACGCGTGATTGACCCCACCCCTCCTAAAATTCGTTACGTAATACTTGAACGCTCCCTAATGTTGTCTTGTAATTTTTAAAATATATAATTTTGGGTAAAATATTTCCATACAATTGATAAATCCATAAATTTTAACTTACACGGGATGGCAACGTCGCATATTTTAAAATGTAATAAAGGCTATTTTTTATAAAATCAGGGGCATCAACTGAGCCCACGAGATACCCGAAAAGGGCAGTCATCGCAGCCCATGGACCCATTTTTAGTGGATGCGTTGCCGGCCTTTGATGAAGGAGTAAACTCTTACTTTGAACAATTTGAGGTCGTATCACTCAGGGAAGACCGAGAGTCAATTCCACAGTTCACTAGTTTGCAAAAGAAAGTGTCTTGCGAAGCGGACTGAAGACTTCTAGCCATCAAGGTGATGCTGATGAAATTTTGAATTGATACGGCTCATACGGTAAACGATGCAGGAGGGACCAACCCAAACAACTCTTCAGAACACTAACCACAGTACACTTTGTAGAATACGCATGGAGACGCAATGTCTCTGCGTAGAGGGAATCAAGCCGATCAGTAATATACTCTTACAATTTGGTTTTGCAAAATTTGTGACAGATACGTCTATATATGAAAATAATCACCAACGTTCCCTTACCCTGTTTCCTGTGGGTACCACAGACGACACTTCTCTTGCTTTGCGGAATACTTTAGGATCCATGAACTTGTCAGGGAATGTCTCAGCAAAGGTTGGGATGTTTAGACCCCTGGTGTCATCCCTGAAGAAAAGCATCATATGTTAATAACATTACTAAACTATGTTTTTTTAATATAATATATGTTTTGGATAAGCTAATATTGATAAGTTTTCACAAAGAGATTTTTGAGATCGTGAAGTTCAAATACTACGTATCACCCTAGTTCAGCAGTCGTACGCATCGACTTAATCTAAAAGCAAACCATGCATATGTATTAATTAATAAGTACCTGTGTAATATAGCCACAGAGAGACAGTAGTTGAATAGGTAGGGGTTGATTCTCATCTGACAGTACGAACAGATGGACTGCAGGTCATCCACGTCACGCATACCTGAAAGTCCAGACACACTTATAATTAGGGCACCACGCGGCCTTATCGCTTAAAAGCTCTTCCAGACAACAATCATAAAAGACAAATATATGTATAGTAAAGTGCAAGAAGTGCAAAACTACAGAAAATATACAGTAACTTAAATTAAAACAAGTACCTATAAAATTCATATGAATATGAAATCGACAATAAGTTCTTATAGTAAGATTAAAAAAAAATTGAAAAGAAAAATTGTATCGGATAGGGACATAAAGTGATATTGAAGTTTGAATACATGGAAATAGATATGATATCTATTTCCATGTATTCAAACTGTAAGGTAAACAAAAAATCAATAACACTAGCAAAGCGCCACTAAATTATTACTTACCCATGAAGATATCAATAAGCTTGGCGGCCATTTTCCTATGTTTCTCTATCCACAGAGAAAACTGAGCATTGTATGGGAGTTGCTGCGGCAAGGAGAGATCAGGCAAAGCAATGTTTCGAACCGGGATTGTCTTGGTCGCATCATTTCCGAATCGGTCAGCCAGCACGTTACTGGACGACTTGTATTTTTCCGGCTGAAATTTATTTATGTTCGTTACGCTTTGACAAGATAATTTGTGTTGGCTTAAGAGTTTGTCGGTTCCAGGACAGTCGGAGGCTCGGCCCTCAGCCACCATTTAGATTTAACTAGCAGCACTTTCAAAAAAAATCATCTAGTACTATATTCTGAATCTGGTGTTTTGTTACTTTTTTAAACCTATTTTATAGGGAAGATGTATTTTAGACAAATAAACAAAATAACGAATAAATTAACTTAAATTGAGCTGTAACTGACAATGCTACAATTAGTACAAATCTTGTAATTGCAGAAGATTTCAAAATAAAATGTTCCAATGCAAGAATCAATAAAAAGGACACAATTTTCGCGATTTTTGAAGTATAAGTTTATTTTAAAACATGTACTTACATAGTAGTTATCGGGTAGTTGAAACACCTCCTTGTTCTCACCCTTTTGCATGAAGCATGGCTCCGTCGGCCGGTCGAAGAACAACAGAAGATTGTTCTTCGAAGACATCTTTTACTGAAATATACGAATAGTCTATATCTTGCTCTTTCTACTCTCTTAGTACCTCTAATTTTTATGTTGTGTGTCCAGTGCCCGTGGGGTAGACACCGTAGACACATTTTTGTGTCAAACCATAATAATGTTGACCACCATTGATCAAAAAAATTACGCTTAGATATTTGATAAGAACATACCAGAATAATATTATTTGCAATTATAATAATTAAATAATTTATGTTGTTTTAAAATATTATTCAAAAAAAACTTACCAGTTTCTGCTGTTGTTACCCAAGTTGTTTGTTAGCCGTGCTTATCACGGCTGACTGTGCTTATTCACGGTTGGGCTTTACCTTATATAACAACTTTACACACGGTTTTCAGTACTTTGTGCAAATGTAAGGGTCGACGTACGCTACTACATTATAAAAAGCTATAACATCTCCAAATAATTTTGATATAAAAACTCTTATTGTATCTGTAACTTAGCAGGATATAAATACTATAAGACCGTTAAATATTGCTTTAAACCTAGGTACATCAGTGACCTAGTTTCATTAATCAGTTTTTTTCGATATTACATCTAAGAACTGTATTCTATAACGTCAATAAGACAAATCTAATTTAAAGAGCTGTAAAACCATTTTTTCTCTATGAAGATATATATTTGACAGCGCTCAAGATGAGATTGTGATTTGAGATACGAATTAAACATACCGACACCTCTTTACAATTAGGTCCAATAGTAAAAATCAAGTTCTCACTATCAATCTCTATCTCTAACTAAATTATATTTAATAGTATAATTATAATTTAATATAATAATTTTAGTGGACAGCATACCTTACGTAATAATTTTTGAAGACGGGACGCTGCGGTTAGTATATCAGAAGGAAATAAATTGATAGCAATATACAGCATATATTATAGCTATATGATACAGTTTACTACGGAAATAAATAATTATGTTAGCATATGAGAAATCAAAATCATAACATTACAACAGTGAATGTTTCGTTTGCTATAACATTCTTAAAACACGGATTTTCTAGTCTAGTATTGGAAAAGGAAGAGATTAAAGCGCAAATATTCTACCAAATTAAAAGCACTTAAAGAGTACCATGTATGTATAGAATTCCATTAAGATGAGAAATTATGGCAATATGGTAAATCTGATGCAGAATTAAAACATCTTAAATTTCTCTTTAAACTTAATGAACTGATTACCTTAATGTAGGGATGCCTACAGATTTTTTATTTAATTTTTTTAAGCTGTTCACATACTTTTTAACTTTACATTTAAAAGAGAAGCTTTTAATAATTCCCCTGAATTATGTACCCTTATAGCTGATACATAAAAAGGAAGATATTGTTATTTAAAAAGAAAATCAGGCATTGGTTTGTAAGAAAGTTTAATAATAATAGAAGTATTGAAAATATCTCCAGTGAAACATATTAACAAATTAAAATACAATAAATTTAGATAAGTACTAACATATGAATTTACTATGCTAGGTATAGTCTAGGAATTAACTAAAATTTTATTAATAAATACACTAGACGTGAATGTGTACACAAGTAACTTCTTATTCTATACATGCGGGCCGTGAGAGTCATTCATACAACAAGCATTCAACCGACCATTCCATGTCAGCCTTGGACATCCCACTGGGGCTGGGGGCCTGCTGCTGCGGGAATGTACACTGGTCCAGTGGGCGAACAAGGTTAAAGGATTATGGGAGCTGGGAGTTAGGATAAGGGAGGGAAAGGGAGGTAGGGAAGAAAGGAATTAACCGCTCTTGAAAAGCAGTATCGCTACTTGGCCAAGGTAGAAGTAAATGAAATGACGAGTCTCATGCGTTACGTAAGAACCGAAGTTACGTCCGACAATGCAATGCCATGTGGGGTTGTATTTCTTGTCAAACTCTTTCTTGATAAATGCAGCAATGTCCTGAAATGTATAGTTGACATTAAATTATTTAGTAAATAGTTAACCATATTTTTAAACATGACAGTAGAACTAGAATTCATCAACAACAGTTTCAGAATTGTGGAATCAATTACAAAGATTTACCTTCAGTTTCTACAAAAATTATTTCATTTTTACATTACATTATTTTTAATTATTTAAAAAATGACTAAAATATCATTGTGAGAACTATAATTGTGGCTAACCACAATCATAACTGTTCTGTGATAAGGAAACTTTCCTACAATTTTATATATCAGTCTAATAGTGTCATAGCAGGTAAGTTGTTTTAAAATACTAAAAAAACTAAATTGTAATAATGTAATGTTTGGATGATTTTCCAATAAAGCATTTTTTGAATTCCAGTAGCACCAAGATCAAAATTATGCTGGGGACCATCGTGTTCTGTTAACAAGTTTTATGCCACACCTTCAGCTATATGTAAAATATAGTGACCAATATTGACTTTGTATAAACCAAACATTTGGATAATTAAGAAGATCTTAAAATTACCTTTTCAATATTAAATTTTTCGAGTGCCTGTGTTGCACAGTCAACAGCATCCTGCTGCATCTCCTCACCCATATCAGCATTCTTGATCACTGCCTTTCTGTCACACATCTTGTATACTTCCTTACTGAAAATGGGACATTTTAGTTATTAACAATATTGGCATACAATCAGTAGCAATTGGAAAAACTGGAGACTAATTAAATAGTGTTGAATGCTGTTGAATATCATTAATTTGCACAATATATATATATAGTAAAAGGCTACGAGTATTCCTATTGGAATGTACAACCAGTATATTACAACATATTGGTGTATGTCATGTAACCTTAGTAAATAAAACATGGCATATCATACAATTTCATTGATTTCTTGCATTGGTGCAATAGTGCACATTTTACAACATGTTATTTTAAATTTTATCTAGTTCAAGATTAAGTTATGGAATCAGTACCTAAGAACACATTGCAAAACTAATAAGGATCACTTAATATTTTAGATTTTATCACGGAAATTCTTACAGACAAAAAGAAATAAAGAAAACATTACTTCCTTTTATAAAGATTGCTGTGATTTACGTACTTAATTTTCCTAAATTGTTTTTTCACATGCGTACAAAAGATTGATTGTTTATGTTCGATAAATGGATCTAAAAATAACTTTCATCAAAAGGTCAATGTAGGATCCAATGCGACACTTCATGCTGCATTTGTTTTAAAAAATCCAACAAATACCTGCTATCTATATTAGAACACTTTTTCGTAGTAATCCGCACTAAAGCACTGGCGGTAAACCCCGTCATCAAATAGATATTAACCGAAATTTTCGATTACGTGGAAATGCGACAAATTTTCAGAAATCCATGGGAGAAAAGGCCATTGTCATAGAAACTATTGAATTAAATCGATAAAACTATTTACAGAGCGAACCTTGGAGAAATATTAACATTTTACGGCCCCGTAATTTTAAATGTGTTTTAACTCGGAAAACAGTATGTAAAACGTACAAAATTTTATTAAAACTCTGACAAATATATGAGCATTTAAAAATAAATTAAATTATACTCACTTTTACGTTGAAAATTGAAATATGAATAATTTTTCACGAAACGATTTTGATACCGGAGACTGGAGATTCAATGCTACTTTCTAGAGGATTCTTTCAAAGGCTTCTTTCACCGAAGATTACGCAAGATTGTTATAGAGGGCGTTCGAAATTCAAAAATTATTCCAAATATAAATACGATTTTAATTTATGAATTTTTAATAAGTGATCAAAGTAATCTTTGAATTAAAACAAAACTAATGGTTATATTGTGATGGCCAGAAAATAAAGTATCATTTACTTTCCAGAATATATTTTAGAGTATGAACATTTTTTACGATGATTTTTATGATGATAGGTTCCAATTTAAAATTTTTTTTGATGACATGCTACATAAGTTTTCACCTACTTTAACTAAGTAACCAAAGTAATGTGTAAATGTTTAATTCTAAAAATAATGCTACAATCTTGATCTTACCATACCATGTAATTCTATGATTTAATTGTACAAATATGAAATATCAGATTTTTTCATAGGGGCTGCCTTCTACTAATAGTGTGTAAATTCCTGGTTAATTAAATGTATAATTATTCAAGGAAATGTATTATTTCAACAATTTGGGGTAAACGTAAAAATTATACTGGCAATGGGAATTTAATATGTCAGTTAGGTTATCTATTAACAACTTGTCATTGTCACAGCAGTTTCGATTTCCGCTAAGCTATTTCGCATAGCGGTAAGCGCCTCGAAAACGACTGACTAACTGAGCGTTCAGCGTAGTGCCAGTGGTGAGTGGTGCCCGGTCGACCGCCATTTTGTTTAGTCAAACACGGCGTAGTGAAAATTAAACCAACGCATAGCAAAAATTAAGAAAACAGTTGTTTATTTCGTCAAAGTTTAATTTAGAAGTTCTGTATATTTATTACAATAATGTCTGGAGGCAGTAGTGCGAACCGGAATGAGTGCAGAATATACGTAGGAAACCTACCCCCTGATATAAGGACAAAGGACATTCAAGATTTATTTTATAAGTTTGGCAAAGTTACATTTGTTGATTTGAAAAACAGAAAAGGCCCTCCATTCGCTTTTGTGGAATTCGAAGATCCGAGGTAAAAATATATTGTTTTTAGACAATTGAAATTTTCAATGGCGGTTATTTGTCGGTATTCGACCGTCGGCATGTGTATTTATGTATTTAGGTTAATTTAATTAAAGGCGCGGTTCTTGTCGTATAAAAAATACATATTTCTGTTCTTTCTGAATTTGATTGCCACATAGCTTACAATAGAACAGTTAATAAACAACCCATTGTTATCTTTTTTCTCTAATTAATTATTACTTTGTTTCAAGGAAAGACTCATTAATGTATAACAACATAAGTACAAACAATTTTAACTATATTATGGTCTATGATAATGTTTTCTTCCCAGCTTTTTAACCATTTTAATTGAATAACTAATTGTTTATGATAATGCTACTCCGTTATGTCTGTTGTCTCTATTATAATCCTGGATTATAAATGCTAATATTTTAGTTCACTGTCACTTTCTTATCAGTTTATTCAAAACTGATAACAATTGCTGGCTACAGCATTATCACTCTTTAAATGTGTATAATTATCATTATATTTACCACTACTTATGCAATATGAAAATACATACACTACCTAAAGATAATATTTCTTATCTTTAGGTCAGTATATTTTTTTTTAAATAACTTGAATTTTAATTTTTAATTCAGAGATGCAGATGATGCGGTTAGAGCTAGAGATGGCTATGACTATGATGGATACAGGCTGAGAGTGGAGTTTCCACGTGGTGGTGGAGGTGGTGGTGGCAGGGGTGGTCGTGGTGGCGGAGACAGGTTTGGGGGCAGACCTGCTGCACGAGGCCCACCTGCTAGGAGGTCAGAGTACAGGGTCATGGTTACTGGGCTACCACCATCAGGTTCATGGCAGGTATGTAATAGTTTCCTGTAAGGGTAAACATTGTGATGCATTGTTAATTTAATATATTTGGATATTGGCACAGTAAGCTTGATACTGATGCTTTATATTTTACCTAAATATTCTTCATGTGTAGCAAAGATAATATTCTTTATTAGTAGATTTTAAATAAGCTTACAATTGTGTTGTACATCCTAAACTTTACAAGACAATGGCAGAATATTTTTCTAAAATGACTATCACTGCTAACTGTGTTAAGGTACAAAGTGATGTCTTCCCCGCATTTTCCATGTATGCAATGCCTTGTACAGGGTAAGGCCCATTCATGCCTACTGTTTAATTTAGTATTAGAGATACTGAACTATTGTGTATAAATCCAAGCAAATTACTGTGGTATGCTGACGACCTTTATTTAGTCACATGAAACAAAAACCAGTTAGCAGAATGTTTTAAAGGCCTCCAGAAGCACGCTTCCATGAGTCTGTTAGTTAATGTGGTAAAAACAAAGTATAATATGTCGACAACACAAGTGGCAGCAAGAACTCTTTTGTTATGGAAGACAGCTTTTGAGATGGAATTATTATGGACCTTGAAATAATAAATGTTCAAAGTTGGACACAAGAAGTACAAGATAAATTGCGATGGTGAAAAATACTTGCTGTGGCTAAACACCATAAACGGCTGTACAGCAATTAATGATAATTCTTTATAAGTATTGTTATATAGCAGTAGTGATTTTATCAAATTTTATTTTAATTGGCAATGAGAGAAATATTTTTCTTAAAGTAACTACATGTCTTCAGGATCTGAAAGACCACATGCGTGAGGCAGGTGATGTGTGTTTTGCTGACACATTCAAAGATGGTTCTGGTGTGGTGGAGTTCCTTCGTCATGAAGACATGAAATATGCTGTGAAGAAGCTTGATGACTCTCGTTTCCGCAGTCATGAGGTATGACATACCAAACCCCTTGCATATACAAAATTTTTTTTTTCACTCAAAAAAAATTAATTTAAATTTTGATTACAGGGTGAAGTATCATACATCCGAGTGAAGGAAGACTATGGGAACAATGATCGTTATAGTGGAGATAGAGACAGGTCAGTTTTCCTGCATTTTTTTTACTTAAAATTTTAAAGGTCACAATGGTCATCATAAGGATATTACTGATAAAATTTATTTTGATGATGCAAAATAGTGTAGCTTAAGTTGGTTCTGGTTCCTGGTTCTACATAAATTTGAATTGAGAGGCGAATTCTCTACTCAACAGTTAAACAGGAATCATGTGTTTTAGGTCCAGGTCATACTCTCCACGACGTGGTCGCGGCTCACCGACGTACTCGCCCGTTCGTCGCTCGTACTCGCGGGACCGCAGCCGCTCACGGGACCACGCCTACTGAACGCCGGTCCGTATAAAATACTTATTTTAATAAGAATTTAAAGCTTCTAGCAAATTCAAGTATTTAAGTACAAGTTTCACTTGAATTTTTATTCATGTAAAGAACTTTTTAAATGTCCACATCTAAAGCTGTTGTTTCATCATGTTGCATCTCCTCGAGATGGATATAAATACAAGTATTACTGACCATAATTAAAAGCTTCCAAAGGAATCACAAGTAAGTTCAGAAACTTATAATTTGCAATAGTATCTGGGTATCGTCAGAAGTACAAATTAACAGCTTAAATAAAAGTTTTACAAATGCTTTTCTAAAACTATTAATCTTGTTTCTAATTTTAAATGGTACAATTTTCTCTAAGAATTTTTGATTAAGCTATGTTATTTTACTTTGGCTATAAATAAAAGATCAAATCTCTTAAGATTCAAAAACGAGAATTAGCGCGAACTATATCTCCCATATTTAAAATATCTCCAATAATGTCTAACACTTAGCGCTAAGTCTCAATAATTTTAGAGAAAGTAGTTCCTATTTGTTTTGAAAATAATTTTCATTAAGAGAGTAGAGAGGAAATCATGAGTTAACAAGTAGTGTATGTATTGAAGGTTATGTTTATCGACAGCTGGCGCGCGGCGGGCGGCGGCTTCTGCGGCGACTTCTAATCGCTTTATATACACTACATACACCCCTCAAACTTCACTCTTTCAAATGTGTTAGATATCTGCTCTACTGGGCTGTGACGTACTACTAAACTATGTAGGCTAAATTTTATTGCAATGTGTGTACTATAAATTGAGTTATTCGGTCGACGATTTATATTTTAATGATAATAAGTTATAAACAACATGAATTAAGGTTTAAAGCGATTTAATTAACGACACAGGCCAGTTACTCTGCAACCACAGACTTTTAGTTATAAAATTGTATTTGTGCAGCGACAGCGATTAGCTACCAATAACGTAAGGGAACATTGCCAAAGTGTACACAAATAGGAAAATGTAATGTTTGATTATATCTTTGTTACACATTGACAACTTTCCATATAATTCGCTGTCGGCGCAAACCTGTAGCAATCGTGTAACAAGTTGGTAATAAGATAATAAACAGTTGTTTTTTTGTTTCATCCACTGTGGATCGGATCTGATCGGATTGGGCTCGTTGTGGCGTTTGGTGGTCCTGAGATGTGAGGGATCTCTAGGATACGATAGGATTCAAACGAAAGGATAGGACGCGCGCACTCACCGCTCCAAGGATTTCGGGATCTCGTGGGATCTGGATTTTGGGATCTTAGCGGATCAGGATATCGGGATCTTACTGGATTTACGGATTTTAAAGGATTTATTCATTTCGTTCAGCACGGATCACGGATCTTTGGTATGATTTTGAATTTATTGCAAAATAACTTTGTTGAGTGCACGCTCCGATTGTTTTTGCTTTTCGATGTGACGCGGAGACCCGCTTCGCTCATTACATACGTCACTAGTCTAGAGCTAACGTGTCATACGAGCATGCTTGAGCTTAACCTCTCTCCGAGCAGACGACTCACGGCAGCTTAATGGGCCCAAGGGTAGATAGGCTATTCGACAAGATAGGAATGAATATTGCGGTTTAGTTTGAAATTTGACAATGTAAGCGGTACATTTTAAAACTTGTAAATTTGCGGTCATAATAATTAGTGTATAACCTCCGTAAAGCTGGTAACGGGCCTAATTCTACCCCCGAAATTACACCGACCAATCGGAGTGCATTTAACTTACATCGCGCTTGTGATTGGTCGGTGTCAACCGAATAAAATACGCAGTAAAATAATTTCGGTCATTTTTTAAATAGATTTGACGACGAGTGTGTATTGTATATTATAATAGATACGTCTGCATTCCAACAACTTTAGTTTGATGGATTTTAATAAATATTCAAAAATATATAGTGTTTTATTTTCTTACCTTCCTAGTTCCAACAAAAAAAAAATTTACTTTAAATTTACACATACAGTTCTCAAGTAAAAGATGAGAATTTACGAGATATAGACTACTCCGCTACTTAACCTCAAATAGTTTTTTTTTGTGTTGAGTATATTTAGAGAATAAATAATAATATCGGCAATACTGAAATATTAAATAATAATAATTCATCTCTTTTATTTCACAAGATGACTATGGCACTGGTGTAACTGCTCATGATGGAAAAATTAAAAAAATCTATTTTCCCTCAGCTGTAGTTGAAATAGGAGCACTTAGTTACAATATAGTGAGGACAACACTCAAACATATTGTAGGCATAAAATCATCGTGTACACGAAGTCAAGACCACACCCATTCACGAGCCAGCCATCGGCCCCCTACCCCCATTATAGTGATGGCCAACCCGACGCATGGATGCGACCAGCTAAGTAGATCTTATGATTTAAATAAAAAAAATATTTACGTTAATTTTTAGGTAAGATCAAGACTATATTTCATTCTTTAATAATTATATTTTTTATTATATTAAACAATTATTGTGTATGTGGATAAAATCTACACCTATAGGCTAAAGTAACTTAGACACTGAAGAAAGCTAACATGTGTGTTCTGATATTAATCAGCTTAAACAACTTAACAATCAATCAACAAAGAAGGAATCTTGAGGTAAAATTTTAAAAATGGTATACATATATATATTGTTAAAAGCATGAAAAAAATAACATTTAACTGTCAATACTATATTTTTTCACTTACATAAACAAAGGTTTAATTTAAATATGTCCTTTACAATTTTAAATGTTTACAACTTAAACCCAGAATGTATGGAACACACACCAAATGTCAAATTTTCATAAGTAACCTGCCTGAAGCCTGCGTCTTCAATCATTGCTTTGAATCTATCCTGCAATTATTAAAAAAAAATCTTAGTTATAAAGATGTGGCAGTTCTAATTAGTTTGAATTCAAGAGAATAAGATGCCTACAAAGTTACTATGTAGTTAAGTAAAAATGCTCACGGCAATGAGGGTTTAAGAGTAAATCAATCAATAAAGCTTTTTATAAATTCGACGATTATTTAAATATGTAATCCTAATCCTTTGGATTGATTTGCTCCAGTTCAAAAAAATTTTATAACTAAAACACTTGCTTGGGGAGTAGAGTTAAACAAGCGAACGCGTGATCCGTTCATTGTGATTGGTCAAATGATCCGGACATGACGATGCTATATCACCGCTAATTGGAATAGAAATTCTGTTGGCCAATGTCAATAGAACGGAGCGCACAATCGTTTCGGTTCACATTCTCACCCGTGTGAGTTTGTTCCTAAGTATATATATAAAGTTATCGATAACGAAATAATAATTAATAGGTTTTCTCACGTATTTAGTTAATAGATAGGAGTAAAATGTTGTTGTGTCAAACTAGCTTTTTAAAAAGTATAGTTTTTTCTCATTAAATTCTAATATCATCAGGATCAAGATTTTGAGCTGAACTATACTGCTGTTATTATAGAAAATTAATCCACACAATTGTCTTTTTTTGTGTTAAAATAATCATGTAGACAATCAACTAGACTACTAACAGTTTTAAATAAGTACCTGATCTGGAAACTGTCTAATGCTTTCGACAAGATACTGGTAAGGCTTCCATTGTCCTGCTACTAGTTGCCCCAGCACAGGTATCACTTGGAAGGAGTACTGGTCATACATCCTTAAATGAATACATATAGTAACAATTAGTATGTAAAAGACAGTTGGCTAAATTAAGTAACATTTCTTAAGTCCCTTAATTATCTTACGCTTGGTGTAATGTGTCTATGTCTGTTCATTAAGCAAGTAAGTATGCAACACACTTCTTGATAAACCTTTAGCTCTACTGTAACACTACAACAAACTCATGGTACAACTGATATTATTTTGTTAGACTTCTCTGTCCGGTAATTTTGAACATTGAATGAAGAATTTTTAGGTGCGATTTCTTCCTTATTATTTAAAATATAACATAGAATATTATTACCATTGTAGTTGTGTGTTTGACAAATGACTGAACTCCAAACACATAAAACGTCCACCAGGCTGCAGCACACGGAATGCCTCTTCTAAAACCTAGAATGTTACATTTGACTTTATTGTGAAGTTAGACAACTTAGAACTGATCATCTTAAGGAATTATATATTATACCAAGAATACCTAGCATTAAGATAAAAAAATAATATAATCAAAATACCTTATCCACATGTGTACAGTTTCTAATTCCAAAAGCAATGGTGTAGGCATTATAACTCTCATCTGGTATTGGCAATTTCTCTGCATCAGCACACAGCCAGTCTATAGACACCAAAGGATCTCCTTTGTAACCCTGTCTAGAACAGTAGGGTCAGATATTCCAGAAAAATGAGGACAGTTATCTAAATATGCAACTTTAACTGTATATTGTGGTTATTATTAAACTCTAGTGGCATGTATATATTTCGAATGGTAAATTATTTACAACTAAATTGCTAGAGTGAAATCCTGAAAGTACTAAAATTGCTTGTCTAGTATTTTTTTTTAATAATATATTTCTGTTAAAAATAAATAATATACCTTTCTGCCCTTATTTTTCCAACATCTAGCATAGACTGGTTGATGTCACTTACTGTGACATGACTAGGTTTATCTGTTTGTTTTTGTCCAATATTTCTCAAGTAGTTGATATACCGGAATGTTATATCACCTGAAAATAATAATTGTAAACATTTAATAAAGCACACATATTTACAGAAAACTTCTGTTTTTTATATAAACATTGTATTATTCTACTTCATGTTTTTTGCATATCTACAAACTTAAATATAAATTAAATTTTGTAACCAAAATTACTTTTAATCTATTTTTTTTATAAGAATAATTTTACCAACTTTTCATGGTACTCAATGCAATAGTTTAATGGTAATTTATAACTAACCTCACAAAAAAGAAGTAATAGAAAATATAATAATTTATTTACCTGTTCCACCAGCCATATCAAGCAACTTAGTACCAGGTCTAGGAGCCAATTTTTGCATAAAAATATCCTTCCATACACGGTGAATACCCAGAGACATAACATCATTCATTACGTCATATTTATCAGCTACTGTTTCAAATACCTCATGCACTGAAAGTATGAAAAATCAACTAAAGAATATATAAAATCCTTATTGTACATCTAATATTTATATATGCCTATTATCCTTCCAATGGTCAGATTCCTGACAATCTGTATTCACACATTAACATTCATATCTTAAATAGGGAAATTATTTTCACCCATCTTAATCCAATTCTAACCTCATCTGCTTCAATAAGATGAAATTAATATTCAAAAGGAAATTCTTCTTGCTCACCTTTTTTAGTCTTTTCCTCTTCGTCAATAGTGTCGAAACCAAAATGTGTTTGTTTTCTTTCAGTACTTTGATCATTTGGAGCTGTATGAGTACTTAATGATCTTATTTTAAAGATTCGTGTTGTTTTAAAATTAGCAAATCTAGTCAAGCCCCTTCTCAACGACATGATGTTGAAAGAAAGTGTTTTCGTTTATATATGTTTTAAGTTTTTCTATCAATTACTAAAGCATATTAATTGTTCCGTTCCCTATTTCTTGACATTTGTTTTCAAATTTAAAAAAAAGTCACATATAGTGATGGGAATGGGATCATACTGTTTCTAATGATGACACTGACAGTCAAACTTGATTCGAACCACGAACTGATTCGAATCAAATTATTTGATACATATTTCACATTTTAACATTTTGGAAAAATCTTCTTGACAGTACTATGGCACAAAAATTTGATGTTTCGTAACTTCGTGTTTGATTTAATGTCAACTTTAAGTATTGTTTCCATTTGATTTATGTCTCGTCTATTTGATCATTTTAATCTTGGTTTAATGGAATATCTAGCATATATTTTTATTAGAATTTTTAGTCAAGTTTTGTCGGAGATTATTTATAACCAAATAATATTATGTGTAATTTATAACTAACCCGTTAAAATGACGTTAAGAGACGTCAAATGAACTTGACATTTTTTACTTGTTTCCAAGCATATTACGTCACAAGAGCTGGCTGCTATCTGGCGTAGAGAAGTGAGATTATGAGTTATTAGAATGCGGAATGAGAACTGCCGAAGTAATTATGTAAAATAATAGAATTCATATTGCAAAATTATTTTTTTCATATTAAGTTTTTATTGTTCTACTGTAGGTCAAAACAGCGACCAACATCAACATCAAACGCATTTAAGTAATAAAATATTTAATAGGCTATCTGTGTAAAACTAGTGTAATTTAAGAATGATAACTAACACGTAAAACATTTGTTTATGTGTTTATACAAATAGATTTCAATAATGCGTTAAGTATTCAAATTGTTGTTCGAATCATGACGAATAAATAGCTATTTGACAATATTTATTAAACCATTTCAACTACTACTAATTTTACATTATTATTTTTATCGAACCGATTCAAATTATTATTTTTTGTTAAGAATTGGCTTTAAAAATTCAAATTGAACTTATTGGAGTTCAAAATACCTACTGCCATAAAAAAAGAATATGTATACAAAATTAAATCTCATATTATATGTGTATAACCCCAAAAATAAAGATTACTGAAAATTTACCTGTTATAAAAAACGAGTACTAACATTGGGGTCGAGGCTTAATATATATTGTATAAAATAGCGCGTTTTTATAGAAGAAAAAGTCTTAAAAAAGCACCTCCTAAAACGGCCCCTGAAGTTCCCACTAAATTTGGAGGGAAAACTGTAAAGTTGGCATCACTACTAGATACCATTGCCCTTGGGACATTCAAAGTTCCATAGTCCATACCACAGATTTGTTCCGTATACGTACTATGTTTGCGGAAGCGACACAGTAATTTTAAATTTATACTCTAAAGCTGTAATACACTTTTTGTAGTCTGTAAATATTTAACATCCCAACAACGGGGAATTCCCCTTTAGTATTTTCAACAACGTAATAAAAGTGCCTCTGACCTCTGTGCCAAGAGCCAACTTTAATCATCATAGACCATAGTAAATAGTAATCATTTTAGGATAACTACACAGCACTCTGACCCTATAAAACTTCACGAAAAAGAAAGCGGTGAAGGTAATATTACAAATTGATATAATATTAACTAACCAGATAAGTTAAAGATTAAGTTAAGCAGATGTCTTTTCAATACACGAATGCGAAGATTACCAGAGTTTTAGGCGTATGTACAAAGAATATTCTCTAGATATATAAAATTATGAATCATTTACGCTTACGGGTGAGTCATATTCGTGTATGATAAAACATCAGCAATCATGGTTTTGGCTTTTGAGTATAGTTTTGTTTGTTCATATCACATCAGCTGACGTCTCTGAATATTTTGATATCTTATCACACATTATAGAGCTATTGTGTCCGCGAGGTGTGCATAATAAGTAAGTTGTTATTAATAAAAATATTTTACAGTACACAATTTGTCTATTTAATAGCTGTTATACAGGTATAAGAATAATTTTATAATGAAGAGAACTAGATTAATAAAAAACCGGTAAATTAGTAGACTTGAAATTTAATCTAACGATTTTTAGACATTTTATGATATTTTTTTATTGACTGAATTCTATTTATTTTGATCTAACGTGACCACTTATTTATCAATAAAAAAGTTACATAATATATTTAGTTGTTCACGTAAATACCTAAACAATATGTAATAAATATTATACCATTATTATTCATCGTTAATTCGGATTAACTTTGCATCGATCATTATTTCCCTATCGGTCATCGTATTTTGATAATTTTTATAGGTATATATTTTTAGACATTAAACATTTCTAAAATAAACAATTCTATTCTATTCTTCTACATGTCTCTCATGTTTCCCACATCTATCCCTTTTATTCCATCTTCCCGCGTTTCTGGTGGGCGTTCTCTCCTTTTTGACCCGTCTGCCATCACCAACGCGGGCAATGTGAGATCGGCATTTCCACTTTTTTGAATGTGTCACAAAATCTGTTATGTTTGTAAGGCTTCGTAATACACAATAATAATACGAACATAATAAGAACTTATTATATTTTTTTCTTTATGTAGATATAAGCGACGAAATGTCTCAGCGTACGGTCTTGAATGAGCAGTATAAGGGATTGGTGGAGCGAATGTCAGTCCCGGTTAAGCTTCATGAGAGAGAGGGACGTCGCTATGCTACCTGTGCTTCGTTAGTTCCCATCCATTGCTGCACGGCGGAACAGGTAACTTCTTGAAGCACTTTGATTTATAATTTTGTGTGTACTAACCCGTTCAGGCACTACTACACTCAATTAGTTTATTGAAAATGACAATCCATTATTCATCCATATTTTTATTAAAAAGTTAATAGAGATATTTAATCCAGAATTGACTTTAAGATGAAGACTTTAACTTAACAGCATATAAAGTAACAACTCTTAAAAGTTTTCCTAGTTTTCATTTCATTTTTCTACATTTCAGAAATTTGTATCTGTTGCGAATATTTTGTCACTTCGGTTTTATTAAACCCTATTTCAGAAGGCAGAACTCTCGGTGTCAACCCACCACTACTGCGACGTGTTTACGGAACAAGTTTTAGCTCATTTGGCTGAGCTAGCCTACGTCCGGCTAGATGTTGACACTGCTGAAAAGGTGAGATGATTAGAACCAACTTCCACGATGATTGAAGATTCGTCAAATAGCGTGTTAATACACGAGAAATGAGGTCAGAGAAGTGCAGTGTTTTGGGTTATCCTTGGTTTGATAACGCATGTTGTGCGAAGTAGAGGTTTTAGGTTTGATTCTGACGAAACAACTGTATCATTTCGGAAAGACACGACTACTTATTATTTAGCTGCTACTTAATTAACTACTTAAGAAATCATGTGGAACATGGTGTAATGGTTGCAGCTCCTTACAAACATTGTGTAAAACAAAAAACTTGGCGATTAAAAAGAGTGGCGGAGAGTTTTGCCCGCCTTCCACTGCGAGCGGAACGGACCTATTACGGACTCCGCTATACTCGTAACGATGATTTTCATACATTTTCATTTCCGTGGCAAACTCGGTCCACTCGCTAACCTCATGTGTGACTCTTTCAACTCGTTCTCTCCGCTGCGCTCGTCTCCGCTTTGGTGGAAGCACATGTATGAAAATCATCGTTACGAGTGGAAGGCGGGCATTAGCCAGTTCTTCTCTTCCGTTCTACTTTGTTGCTGTTTTAAAAGAGTACCGAGAGTTTTTTACTCCGGCTTTTTCTCTCGGCCTACACCCTCTGTCTTCTTTGCCGATGAGTAGGGATGCCTAAAAGTTCAAATTTAATGACGTGGTTTGATTCTGACGAAACAACGAGTAGGGATGCCTAAAAGTTCAAATTTATTTAAGTGATACATGTATCTTATGTTCCATAATAAACATATTTTATTTTTATTTCTACGCCCTACGATTTGCGAACTGTCAGTAAATGTAAAATAAGAAGCATTTAATATGTATTTATTTTTTGACGTTTATAAGTGTAAATTGTGTTACATATATGAATAAACGATTTTGACTTCGACTTTGATCTACTTGGTTCTAAAAATATTATTCAAACAGACTCAAAATGTACACCTACAATAGTTTTTGACTTTATTCGATATAAACGTACTAAATTAGAAATCCTTTGTCTTTATAATATCATAATTCATATAAATTTTAATATATATTAGACAACAATATTCTATGTAACTTATACACTAAAATCAACATAATTTTATTTTAATCTTTACTTTGTAGGTATTTTTGAATCGTACCAAGCGTATACTTATTGTATCTAGCGACGGTAAACTGGCCCAATGGCGATGTGCTCCGACTTTTGAGTCTGCGAATAATTATATCGCAGGTGCACCTATTGTCAATAAAGATGGAAGCATCGTTTCCATAGTGACCGCCAAGCGGGGGAACCACTATGCTGTATCCAATGCGGAGGTAAGGATTTAATCTTTTTTAAAGTTTAAGATTTTAATTTGACGTAATTATTAGTAACGCAACGAATACTACTTTAACCAATACGAATATCAAACATATTCGGCGAAAACGAATAATTCAAAAAGGCAATAAATAATACACGCTATTTTTTTTTTACTAATATATTTAATAATTGAAATTAACTCGTAATTTGTACATTCCGGTCTGAGGCCACGGTACATGGCTTTAATGAAAAATGCTTTTGAGCCAGCTTTGGGAATTCGGAAATACTTACCAATATTCGTATTCGTTGCATCACTAATAATAATATTTGTATAATTTTTTTTCTAGGATTATTAAAAAAAACTGAACTCAGACTTGTTGATTAAGATTATATTATTAGGTCCTTACAAATGAAATTGGCGTTTTGTATGGGAGGAACAAAAAGTCGAATATTTTTAAATATAATATATTTAATTAATCAAAGTATGAACCATTGTTTTCTATGCACTTTTGCTATCTCATAGGTAGTTCATTGATACCTTTACTAAAAAAAACAGTCGGACGGGAATTAATAAAATCTGTGAAGGCGATTTGGACTGCCCCCCCATCAGAGTTAAATTTTTACCTTTGCAAGAAGTTGTCCAAATTTGGAAAAAATGGTAATCTGTTGGAGCAAGGTCCGGGGAGTACGGAGGATGTCTTAGACATTCCAATTGAAGCTCTTCTAATTTTGTAGCCGTCTGTTGTGCAGTGTGTGGTCTAGCGTTGTCGTGAAGTAGCAGTGGCTTGGAGCGATTAACCAGCCTAGGTTGTTTAGCCGCTAGCATTTCCATCATGGTTTACAATTGCTGACATCAGCCGTAATAGTCTGGCCAGATTTGAGAAAACTGCAATGAACAATACCGGCACTAGTCCACCAAAGCTTACAAGTAACTTTTTTGGGGTTAATTTTCGCAGCAGTCGACGCGCGTTTGCTGGTTTGCTTCAGTCAATTCGTGAGGTACCCATCTTTCAAGCTTTTTAATCTTCCCAATTTGCTTCAAGTGAATTAAAACAGTTTTATCACTAACACCGCAGCCTGCAGCTAACTCGGACGTGGTTTGCGATGGATCCGCTTCCACAATAGCCTTCAATACTTCATTATCAACTTGGGTCTCAGGCAGTCCACGGGGCTTGTTCTGCAGGTCGAAATTTCCAGAACGAAAACTTTGGAACCTAAAACGAACTGTGTTTTCTTTTGCAACATGACCGCCATACACATCATTCACCCTTCGAGTCGTTTCCGCAGCACTAGTGCTACGGCGGAACTCGTAGTCGTAAATAATGCGATACTTTAGGTTTTCCATTTTGTAAAATGAGTGACGCAAACAGAAAAAAATAGAAGAAAAAAAAAACAAATGAATGACGGTCATCGAAGCACAAATACATGAGTAAATAGCTGTACAAATTTGAATTTGGAATTCATTACCAAAGAGGAGAACATCGTGATTAAAGTGGCCAGTACGAAATACGCCAATTTCATATGTAAGGACCTAATATATATATATTATATACTTTACAATATTAATTACATTATTTCGTAAAGACCAATAAGTTCACCATAGAATTATTTGGAAGCTAAAAGAGTTTAACTTTCCTATGCTTCGTTATATTAGTGTTATATTCCTAACTTTTAACATTAATTAATTATTAATTTACCATTAGACAATAGAGGACTCTGAGTACGACAGTGTATTAAATCAACTATTTACAGGGCGAAGGTGGGTACTTCGACACGTCCAGACCGTGGGAGATCATCGATACTGGTGACGCTAAATTCGTATACGCGGACAAAACTTTCTCCACCCGCGAGGAATTAAGGGAATATATTAATTCCCTTCCCCCCGCTTCACTCTCGTCACCCCCGCGGCCGCTTTTAATCCGCGGAAACAGTCCCCGAGTGGCTCTAGTTGCAGAGAATGGAAGGCAACTCGTTCATATTTATCTATCTGGAGTACTGGCTGATGATGTTCAGTACTTATAAGTTTTTACCAATGTTATAAAATAAAAAAAATAATAATAAAAACTTGATTTATGACAAAGTTCATATATCATAACCTAAAGTATCATTTTAAATTATAAAGCATTTAGCTTTAGAAATTCTTTATTTTGTTAATTGTTTACATTAAAGGAATACGCAAAATAAATAAATGTAGAGTTTATAGCTTCGGGAGCGTTCAAGTAATACGTAACGAATTTGGGGGGGGTCCTCCTTTTGTAAAACGATACGATGCGGGGCGGGCATTGTTAATATTATTTTCGACTTTCCAGTACTTTACACCACATAATGGTAACTTTTAGGTATAAAGAGTCACTAGGTGGTCACGAAACGTTTTACTACTAGCTACTTGGGTATAGAAAAACGTTACGGCGCGTTACACGTACACTCAAAAAATTGTGTGACGTAATACTTAACGCTCCCTTCACCAGAATGTAGACGAAATGAAAAATATGCGATCGCAGTTATCGTAAATTTTATAATTTGTAAAAACAATATATTATAATAAACATACCATGATTAATGGAGACATTTGTCACTAGGTTTCTTATAACATAGTGACAAAGATTCTCTTACAAGTCAAGTTTGACGTATGAATGGCTCGTAATTTATCTTTTCGCTCGTATTATTTTTAATTAAAACGCGATTCAATAAATTTTAATCATAATAATTTGTAATAAGAAATATATTTCTGATATTCTATATAACATGTTTTAATAATATTGTTTTTATAAAACGAGATTCAATAACCTTTACTCATAATAATTAGTGATAAATACATTTATTTAATGTATAATCGTTTTATAATTGTTGTATAGATTGAAATAAAAAGACACTGTTAAAATATTGTATAATTTATTTACCACAGCCCCTATATATGATCACATCAATTGCACAGTCAACAAGTAATAATTTCTCAATAATAAATAAATTTTGTACAGTGATACTTATATGATATTTCTAAAATCTAGATATGAAAATAAAAGCAATATTTTAAATGTAAGAACTTGTAAGATTTACTAGAATATAGACACATTGTCAATCTTTTAGTCTTTCTGACCTCTACATCAATTTATACGGTCTATTCAGCTATTTTCAAACTTAAGAAGCAAACTGTGGATGTAATTGATTTTAATTACATGATTTAATGCTAATTTGTATCGGCTGCTTGTTTTTGTAACAATATTTTCTCAATAGCTCGCTTATAATGTACCTTCGTAGTGTTCACTATTTTAATATTGTTGTGTTGTTTGAACAATATTATCATTTGTAAGTACATAGTAAATTTGTTTGACTACCAGGTGGACAGAGAGTATATGTCTCCACCGCACTACTATACTATAAACTCCGTTTTAATAAAAAATGTATAAAATTGGCGTTTTTAAATTTGGAATACGAATATTATTTCAAGGCGATAGGCATGTGTCGTTCTGTATTACCAAATACAAAAGCAATTCCTTTTCCATTTGTTTACGCTCAGGCCGATAATAGTTAAAATAAAAAAACCATAAACATTTAAATCATATTTTTACCTATCTATTTATGTATTTAAATACAAGTCTTAGTAATTACGCATAATGTTTTGTCAAACATTTAAAAAAATATAAAAAATATTTATTTGATATTTTATAATTGATTTTGGTAACAAAGCTATATTTTACAAATCGTTAACTACATTTAAGTATCTATATATAGTCTCACCAGTGACCTCTCAGTAGCTGGAAGCATCGTCACTGGACACGTTTGGTTAGCGCGCAGATGTCGCGCGATACACGAATAGCAGAAAATATACCTAGGAATTACATTAAAATGTATTAAAAAATCAGCACATTTCTGTGTCTTATTGAAAAGTGTTACTCAACGGGAGGTCGTACCTCTGAGTCTGGCTGTTTAATAGGGATTTTCTATAAGCAATGAAAGAATGAAAAAAAAGGAGATGTATGAAGCGAAAACTCATAAACTCGGAGCCAATGGATGAATAGATGTTTCACAGAAAAAAGTAATGACACATGATAATAAATTTAATCGTATCGAAAACTTTATCATTTAATCACAAAATAATCAGTAAACAAGTGACGCAGAACATTAAAAAAATATAATTATTCTTTAAGCAATTAAATACGATAGTCTCCAGAGCCGTGTCTATCAAAAATTTAAAATAAATTTGTGTAAATATAATAAAAAGGGAAAAATGATGACAGTAAATATTTATGATGCGCGCGCACACCGTCGCAAAAAACCGACACTCTGAAGTTAGCTATAGTCAACATTTTAGTTTTTGTTCAAGTTATACTTCTTTTGGCGCGTTTGGGAAAATTGATGAGTAATTTTTTTTCTATTGTTAGTGTCGTTTTTTCTACAAACGTAGAATAAGGCGAATGATTATATTTTTGAAAAAGTTTTTTATCTTCTTAAACCAAAGAAGTAGAACTTCTAACAAGTGTATAAGTACACACACGTTTTTTTAAGTACAATTTTATTTTTGTAAACTAACCCTGAAACTGGCAATACAGTCGGCACCTTCCAAGACTGCAGACAAACGGGACATTTATTCGTGTAACGCACTGACTTTTCTTCACGCTGAAATAAGAAAACACTATTTTTAAACAGATAACCACGTTATTGACAAAAATCCATCAGTTTTATAGCCCTGTTCAAAGACTACCCTACTTTTATTATTCTCTTTTTATCCCAGCATAGACAAAATTTTACATAAAGATTATGTACACAAAAATTAGCCTATAGGTACAGATTAGTTAAGGTATTAACAAATAAAGTTTCACTTGTAATTATGAAAGATGGTTTTAAAATATACACCGTTACGAAATGGAATAAGTTTTTATGAATAAGAGGGAGTCTACAAAGTATTTAAAATGTCCATAAGAAAGAAGACTATGTTCTTCAAACGGAATACAAAGGTTCCATATAAATATACATACAATCGGGGGAGGCGGTGAGGGAAGCGAATCCATAGTGAGCCCAGGTCGAGTCTCCCACCAGCGCAAGAATTGGACGAAGAAGGCCCCCCACTGCACTGCGCCTGCCATAGCTCCCCAAACCATTGGGAAAGTTATCATAGCACTCCTAAATAATTAAAATGCAAATAAACATACAGCTTACAGAGTCATCAATTAATTTACATTCTGTACATAGACAAATACATGTATTAAAATTACACTTTGCAATTGTAATTTTTTTATATAAATAATAATTATGTAAAATAAAATCTATTTAATTGAATATTCGTTTGTGTATAATATAGCCCATTTGGTAAATTAATAATAAAATAAATATATTTTATTTAATAATGTTATTTTATTAATTTCTAGCATAATTAGAATACTATGTAATCTATAGTAATATAATGTTATAGGTTTATTTAATAATATGGGAGAACTTATATACTTTCAAGTTTTTCATACAGTCTGATGATTGAATTGACATACATTGATTTCAAAATTTGCATGCTTTCACTCACCCAATATTTCCCTTAAATAAGTTTCGAGCGAGATCACTCCAGGTATTTTCTTCAGGTTCTGGTGGTGGGGCATTTGTTAGCGTAAGACCCAAGAGAAGTAATGGTGGTGAGGGACAGGGAGAAGATCCTGTGAGGTACCGAGCAAGGATTATTAATTTGGCTGCCTCAGAGACTAGATGAGCTATAGAGTATAGATGGACTGCTGCTTTGCGGGCTTTGTCTGATTTACTCTGAAAATAATTTAGCACTTTAAAAAAAAAATTTAGTTTTAAGTAAAAATAATGTTATTATTAAGTTTTACACATGTAATAAAAATGTACATGTAACTCCTTATACTTACTACTTATACATAGAAACTACTACATTATGTGGCTCTAATGGAGGTACAACAAATTGTAATTTTTAATGTTTTAATTTAAAAAGGTCACCTATTTATGCTGTAAATCAATAAAGTATTATACATTAAATAATGACAGATATATATAATTTACTATAACAAAAATGCAACTTAATTAAAACATAATTTGAAGGAAAAATTTAAGAACCTTGCCCAATCTCCCATCCTCGTTATCTTCTCTCCACTGGTTTACTATCTTCTCCACTTTGTCCCTGAAGTAAGGAAGGAGTACAAGTAATGCCAATGAGCCCTTTTCCAGTGGAACAGGTAATCGGTGACCAGTACTGAACTCATTGCTGCTTGTTAATGGGACTCTCATTAAACCATAGAAACATTCAGAGAATGATGCAGCTGAAATGTTTTCATTTCATGTAACAGAGTGACTTTATCATTCCCCCCCAAGATAGAACATCTTTAAATATGAATTTTAAGTTAAATAAGAGGATAGATTTGTAATAAATATTTACATAAGCTATACAGATTCTTAGGTATCTGAATCTCAAACAGAGACAATGGTCTCAAGAATTGTGCTTGACTCATATGAAGAAAGAGGACTTTTAAACACTGCAAAATACTGCCCATAAAAGTAAAAGTAAAAAAAAAACTTTTTTAGTTGACATAAATAAACGAGTTGAGCATGACATACAGACCCAAGTGGTAACACAAGTTCAACTCTGTACAACGAGAAATAATGTATCTGGCGAGAGAAGAATGAGGTATTTGTTACCGCGGCTAATAAGTGGACTACCCAGTCAGTTATAGATACCCTAACATTAACCAACAAAAAGTAAGTTGAAAAACTACTTTTATATGCATTTGTTGCATTCTTAAACAATACTGCCACAGCAATTTTCTAATGTAAAATATTATGATTTTATTATATTATTATGAAAATAATTAAATTTAAAAAAAGTATTAGGTACATTTATTATAAAAAAATCATAATAAGTTATAGTAAATTTAACTTAAATATGTTTCAATTGTAAAAAGCTACCATTTAAGCTAATAATTTAATATTGACATAAAATAAAATTAGATGTTACCATAATGTTTCAGATAATGGTACTGTAGGCAGCAGTCAATCAACAGATACAGTTCATCATACCATCTCTCACTCCACTTATTCTTTGGGTACACTGATGCTAAGTACTGGAATTAACATTTTTTGAATACATATAATATATATAGTGTCCCCAAGCAAAAACTTATATCCTAAGCGCTGAGTATGAGTACATGACTAAAAGTGTAGTCTAATTTAGTCTCGATATATGATAAAAAGGTTGGACCAGAATGTGAAATCAGATCGAATGAGCTTTGAGCTTTAGATGCGTACCTCAACAAGTTTCCGTAAAGCTGGCTTGACCGTAGCTCCCAGAGCTTCCTGAGCTGTAATTTGGAAAACCGACGGTGTGCCTTGAAGCGTTCGTGTTAGATGAGCCGCATAAACCGCCATGTCTTTAAAATAATATAGTTTTTAAGAGGTGCTTTTATATATTTCTGTAATATTTTCGGATTCCTTTTGTGTTTATTATTCGTTATCACTTATCAATCACCACAGGTTAAGAAATTTCTTTAATCACTACAGAATGAGTAGTGAATGAATATAGATTATAATATATATAAGGTGGGAACTAGGGATGTGAAAAAATAATCGATTATTAAAAAAATCGATTTTTAATACGCGATTTTTATATTTATGGTTAGGGCCCGGTAAAAACCTATTTAAAGCCAGGTGCACTGTTTGTGACGTCGAAATGGCTTCAGAATATGGAGTTTTAAAGTTACACTCTTCAAGGCAAAGACAGCCAGTCATTTTAAATAAAAACTTTCCACTTTTATGTTGTACGACCTTTCAATTCAAATTTCTTTGGAATACGATTTTTGAAGTTATACTTCTTTAGGCGCGTTATGAAAAATTTATGAGAGTGAAATTTTACGATGCGCGCACCTGTGACACAAAATTGGGAGTGTGATTATAGCGTGCGCGAGCGAGATAGGAATAAGACAATCTACAAGTAAAAAGAAATAGAATATGCGTGAAGTTCGTATGCCAAGAATTTTGAATGACCATACTGACATTTGTCATTTACCTTTTAAACAAATAAAGGAGTTTTGATTATTTTTTCAAAGAAATTTATTAATTTTATATTGTGCAATACTGCCAAAGCTACAACATACTTCTTAGTGTTTGGTAGAGATGTTCTAAATATATAATAATATATACTTTTAACTAAATAGAATTTATGTTACACTTAATGTAAGAGAATAATAATAAATAATTATTTATTTAATTTTTCAAATGTAAACTGAACTTAATTGACTATAATGACTCCTTTTCCAGTCTTTGATTATTTAATTGTAATTAATTATTTGCATGCAATCAAAAACTATTTTTAATAATGCCAAAGAAGTATAACTTCTTACGCGCGTACATAAGTACACGCACCCTTTTTTTGTAGTTGGTGTTCGATCATGCTTTTGATGTGAAACATCTATAGCCGCACGTAAAACCGATTTCCGCAGTGGCGATTACGCGTCGCCACGCTATATGATGGTATATATATACAGTAGTTTGTATGGTGTGTGTATTTCGAAGTCACTGATTAAACGAATTAAGTAGTCATGATTTGAAATAAATTCATAAATTTTTGTATTTAATGAAAATAAATGTTTATTCAATAAATAGTCATCGTTATTTGGAAAAAAAATAGTAATATTTTATTTTATCATTATGACATATTCCTATCTGTTCTTTTCTGCTTATTACTTCAACAAAATAATGTCGATGTTTCACATCTGCCAGGCGTCCCGTGACGGCTCACATTTTTTTTACTTTTGACTTTCGTGCTCCCCTATTTATTATCATTGTTGTAATTGACTTTTATGTTACATTTATATTACTCTTACTTGTATAAAAACATTCTAATCTGTGAAAGAATCCATGGACACTTATATACTATAACCTGTATTTTTTTTTTTCATCTGGCAACCCTGGTCATCCCTAATCCGAAAGTACCTACTAGAAAAAATACCTTTGTAATCTGTATAATCAATAATGTATAGACTATACTCTATAGGGCTTGAGCCTTGCCGCTTGTGTTTACGAAATTGATAACAAACGTAACTCAAACTCAGTATTTTTTCAGTTAACAATAATAAGTATGCCAATCAAAACAAGAAGAGATTTTATGATATTTTTGGTGTGTATTATATTTTACTAGTGATTTTCATAGTTTGTTTTAGTGACACACATTTGAATTTGATGTTAAAATGAGTAAGAAAATTATTGAGAGCCGAGCTCGTGAAATTATCATTAAAGTAGACAACTATTTCGTCAGAGAGAAGGAGGAAACTGAGGGATTAATTCAAACTGTATCTCGCTGTGTGAAAAATACACCGGATAACAGCGAAGACGTAATTATTTCGAAAAAAATTGTAACAGAAATTTTGAAACATTTAAAAAATACGACAAGGGTAACAGAACGTGTATTAAGCGCTACAGGAATTGCAAAAAATACAGTAACAAAATTAAGACGCGAAAAAGAAATAGCCTTAGCAAGTGGTACTAAAATTAGGACACCAATAAAAAAGAGTAGGGGTAAAAAAGTATTTTTCGATGCAGGTGCAATATTAGAATTGAGAAATATTATAAAGACAATTGAAGAAAGGAAAGAAATACTTACTATGCGAAAAATTATGGCTACTGCTCAAGAAGATTTAAATTATAAAGGAGGTGAGACAACATTACGACAAATAATAAAAAATGAACTAGGGTATACTTTCAAAAATCTGCACAAAATCAGTTTTGAATCTGATCAAAATATAGATGAAGTCTACAGTGAAGTTGAAACTTAAGATTAAAAAAAAAGGGTCCGTGTACTTATGAACGCGCGTAAGAAGTTATACTTCTTTGGCAATATTAAAAATAGTTTGGCTTTGTTCCACCTCCAGTTTTTGATGTTTCACAGCGATAAGATGAAAACTCTTTTTTTGTATTCAATTTAGTGCAGTTACACTGATTCATCAATTGTTTTTTGTCTCTTTTCCTTATATTTGCTAGATAAAATCAGAAAAATTACATGTTTTGATTAAACAATGTGGTTAATTTTTTAATCAAAACATTACTCGATAATAATAATAATACATACGGATAGTTAACCTCAATTGTATCGAAGCACTTAGGAAGGTTGATGAGCACAGTTTTTTCACAAATATTAATTAGTATTGGTTAAAATATTCAATTTAAATCACTTCTGATTATAATTCAAAAAGCATCGCTAAATTTCTTTGAAAAAATAATTAAAACTCCTTTATTTGTTTAAAAGGTAAATGACAAATGTCATTATGGTCATTCAAAATTGTTGGCATACGAACTTCACGCATATTCTATTTCTTTTTACTTGTAGATTGTCTTATTCCTATCTCGCTCGCGCACGCTATAATCACACTCCTAATTTTGTGTCACGGGTGCGCGCGCATTGTAAAATTTCACTCTCATAAATTTTTCATAACGCGCCTAAAGAAGTATAACTTCAAAAATCATTGTAGAATAATTGTTATGTCATATCTTCTATTTAATGTAAATAATGGTAATTTTTTAAAAATAATTGTAGATAATATGTTGTTTGATTGTATATCATACTTAAAAAGCATGAGACAGGTATAGATCCTAATGATACTTTATTAATGATAAACAAAATACTCTGTGTGGTTTCTGTTATCTATCATCAATAATAACAATGAATATATTTTTGAAATAACAATTAGAAGAAACTTTTGGGGGGAGTTGGATGGAATTTCATTTGGTCAATTAATAAACATGAGCTGTCAAATAGCATATCCAATAGAGTGAAACAGTATTTAAGTATATTGGCTTGCTCAGATTAGCATGCTGAAATAATTTTAGATGCAGGGGGGGATTAAAAAACCAAATAGCTATTAAAATACTTTACTTAAACAATTATAATACAATGTGTACATAAGCAAATTATGATAGATTAATTATTTGTACTAAGCTAAGTACATGTGCACATTTGAAATAATATTAAGTGTTACATAATTAACATTCAATCACAGATTTCACATTCAAATATAATTTTTTAAAACATATAGTTTTGATATCTATGTAAAAACCAGAGCACCAAACATGACATGAACACTGTAAGCACCTACAAATAACAACAGTTATATTTCAAATTAAATATAAAGGTTGTAAGGAAAAATAGTGGATAGCCATATAAGTTATAAGATTTTTAAAGAATAGCCATTGCTAACATATAAAGCATTAGAAAATTCATAATTACCATGAAATTCAAAAATTATACATAATCATTATTAATAACAATTTTATTTTTCACATTAGTGAATAATACTTTCATAGAAGTGTGTTTATCATCATGTGTATGTAATTAATGATTTTCCCTGCTTGTCTTTTTGTTTTCTGATTATTGATACCCAGAAACCAAAAACGCAAATGGCTATAAAATATACAGAATGGACATAGAAGAAGTGAAAACATTACACAGATTAATTATCTTTCATATACACTTAAATAACATCAGGTTGTCTTTTACAAAGTATGAACAATTCACACAATTCACTTGACGAGTATAGCCTGAAATAAGAAAATATAGTTTAGGGGCTTTGTAAGTTTTTGTTAATATTAGAATTTATTTTGAGCAAAACGCAGTGGAGTGATATTTAATTCTAATTACAAACTCTTTGACATTGGCACACGTTCAATACGTAAAATTTGAAGGTCGCGTCCTTATTCTGACCTTTATATGAACATACCTGTACTATACTGTATAATTATACAAACCATGTTTTTGATATTATATAAAATGTTTTGAGATTTATTCTGCAATACTATGGGCTAAACCACAGATCTAAGTGTATATTTTTTTAAACCGAAACATTGAATTATTAAATGTGTGTACAGGGAGTACATTTTAGTACCATAAAAAGTTATTTAATGTTAAGCTTTACTTTTTACAAAAGCCAAAGTAAGGAAATTTCTTAAATAACATGGTAGATCTATACCTAGAAAAAAATCTTGAGTTTTTAAGCAAACAGTCAAGTAATCTACATAATAATTCCTGTTTAAAGGTTTTTGGGGACACAAAAATATCTAATGTTGACTATATAGAGAACAATATAATAGACCCTCAAAGGCACTTCAATCTTTACATTTATCTATGTAAAATTACAAAGCTGAAAAGTACATATTTCAATCTCAATCACAATTTTCAATGTTTCATCTAATTTTTTTAATAAAGTTTGCATTCACGATACAAATATTTTTAGGATAAGTTCAATGTATATCCTCATAATTAGGAGATGCGCTCAATGCGCTAACAATGAAATTGTTGTATTAACTGTTACTCCATTTCCCTATGAAGCAGTTGTATTATACTGAGGGCGGCCGGCCATTTGAAGTAAATATCTATCAGGATGTTCGATCCAATCAGCTGCCGATATCTTTACCTGAAACGCACAATGAAGAAAACAATATAGCCTAGAAGTATATCAACCGATATTAATGTAAGAATTAAAAACATTGAATATGTTGTTTGTAGCTCTCCAGAGATGGCGCTGTACACAATTATAGAAAATGAAAGTCTTTAATGTCAACAACAACTTGTAGGATTCAGTTAAACGGAAGATTTAAAGTTATTCTTTTACAACAATTGTTTGTTTAGATCTTTAAAATGATTTGTTGGTAAATAAATGCCCTTTACCTTCCAAACCCAAGTTTTGGTATCTGAAAAATTCAAACGCAGCAGGTAAATGCGTTTGATTTGAGTACTATAATTTGCAATATTAAATAATTTACATATTAAGAATAGTTGATATATTGATTTATAAGAATATATGAATTTGTATCGTAGAGTGTATTTACATTTCTATGCCGCTCAGCCTCTTTGACTTGCCACTTCTTGACGTCCAACTGTGACTCGCGCAATGCACCGTCGCCGCAACCCCAGACCTTTTTAGATATTATTTTAGACAAAAGTTATGGCATGTATTTCTATTTTATATTAAGGATTAGGAATAAAAAATCAGTTATTATTGTTTCATAAATTTTTTTAACATAATAGAATATTATGAACTTAATAGTGAACTAGTGAACTATAACGGAATTTTTGATCGTTTTAAATAAATTACCATAAATCAACTACAAAAGTTATAACAATAATGCTTAGGTAAGTAGTTATAAAAATATTCGGATCCAATGTCAAATCTGTGGTGCCTTATGGATGTGAAACATGGAAGATCACAAAAGACATCTTGCACCAACTTCGTCAACCGCTCTCTTCGCCGTATTCTGGGCATCAACTGGCCTGAAAAGATCTCTAACGAGCAACTTTGGAAGCGCTGCCGAGATGCCCGATCAGCCGGCAGATAAAGCGACGCAAGTGGAATTGGATAGGCCATACACTCCGAAGGGATCCCAATCATATTCCCAAGCAGGCGCTTGGTTGGAACCCGCAAGGAAAGCGGAAGCGTGGCCGTACCAAGCGAACCTGGCGCTTACAGTCGCAGACGAGGAAGAGAGCTGGAAAGACTTGGAGCGAGGCGAAATACGAGGTTCAAGACCGAACCCGATGGAGACTCACTGTGGCCCTCTGCCCCAACTAGGGGTAATAGGACTTTAAGTCAAGTAGTTATACCTCAATAGCATTAAGCGGATAAGGCGCTCCCTGAAACGTAAAGCCATCAAAGCCCTCGTTAACAGAGAGTTGTGGCGATCGAGGGTCAGCACCAGCGCGAAGTCCTTTTGGGTATCCACGTATACATGTGTTAAGGTATAGCATTCGAGGACCGCGCTCAACCAGCGAGAACCTGGAATCATTTTTAGGATTATTAAAACAAGTTATTATTTGCACTCACTTGAAACAATTCGATAGATGGCGTTATAAACAACATGCAATACTTGACAGGTATAAAATGAAAATCTTAACATTCTAAATATGTAGTAGCACACTATGGGTGGTTCATTGGCTTCGGTAACAAAAACATACGACATATCATAAAAACCTTAATGTGTAAAGGTGTACTACACAGTCAAGGACTACTTGGAAGATAAAAACTTTGATTTGTGTGTAATGGTGAATGTTGTAAATCACAGAACAGATTTTTTTTTACTTATGTAACTTTAATGACGTTATGCTTTATGACATTTTCCTTTGAATAATTGTAATGTAGAGGGAGGGTAAAACTTGCTACTCAGCAAGTTTTCTTCTTGCCTGTTCTTCCCAGAACAAGGCCTCTTGGTAATTTTGCAAACGGATGGCGTAGTCTGGCTCTTTCGCGAATTTTGAAAACGTTTTTGACATTCATAAGCATGCCCTAAGACGCATCTAAATTGAATAAACGTATTTTTATTTGATTTAGTACATACTGTAAAGATATATAATACAAAAAAAATAGTTTCAATTTTATTAGCGCCCCTGGGGTTTCACTAACGTCGACTCGGTCATAGCGTGTTGTTATAATATCCTCAATAAATGGACCAATTTAGTTCAACAAAAAATTTAAAGCCGTATCTTAGATTGATCTTGAAATGGCACAGTAAAGAAAATTTAAGAATATTGTTATTTTGTGTGTGTGTGTGTTTTTGTTTGTAATAAATTATATGTCTATATCTATTTTTCTACACTTTGCATCGATACTGCAATCCTATTGGTAATGAAATTATCACTTGACATTTTTTGTATTGACAATCTTTTATATTAAGGAATTTTAAAATTAACAAAATATAAAAAACATCAATGCTTTCCTCTTTTCGTGTTTAAATGTGTTGAATATATTTACTTACGTTGGGTAAAGCTGTACTAGGGCACAGTCTGGTCCGCCACAATACTGATGTGTCTCTCGCCACTCCTGCGGCGACGCCACCACCACTGTTACTGTTTCACCACATTCCGCCTTCCCAGACACCACCACTAGTGTAGGACCTCTGGAAGTATAATGTAAGCAATATAGCGACGTCGAAGGGTTTAGGCATTTCGCTTTATAGACAGTTGTTATATATACTTTTTCATGACAACAAGGAAAAATAACCAAACATTATTTTTGTCGCCGACGCCGAATTAGTGTTTATTTCGACTTAATTGAAAATTAGATTAAGTGGTCAATTAACGATTCGTCAAATAAAACCGACCCTTAATTCAACAAATGGTTAGCGTATAGATGGTTGAACTTGTTATAATTTGTCATATTTTTCTTCTATTATATACATGCCTTTATGAAAGTTATTTTGCCTTTAAGTGTCTTGTATATTAAGTTTTATGAAATCAATATATATTAGTGTAGCTAAGCGTTGGCAAGGTGTTTCAACTGTAATCTGAAAATCTTTACATATGTAACAAGATCTTCTAAAGTTTTTTTATATTCTATAACAAACACCTTATTAAAAAAGCACTATCTTCAAATAGCCCGTCCCATTTTAGACTTCTCATTCCTTATTTATGAGCATAAAATTTTCAATTTGATTTTAATGCATCCATTTAAAAACCTCACCTATACGCGAGCGTATGATGCAAAAATCGATTGGCTCCCAGACCGTGTTCGTTAGAGGAGTAAAGCGGCACCCAATGTGAAGGCAACGCACAGACTAGTCTCGACATCCAGGCTGCGCTCGCGCTGCCCCCACCACTAGTTGTTACCGGTGGAGGCTTAAGCGGGCGGGTGTATAGCTGGAAAATTAAAACATTATAAGTTCAAGAGAAGTTGAGAGAAGTATTTTTATTCATCGCGATGAGCCAATGGAGGCATTGGTGCAAACTGAATAGAAAAATCGGTTGTCTGTTAAGTCGGTTTACTTACGATAGTTGAAGAAAGTAGTAGAAAATACTGATGGAATGGTTGCATTATTCAAAATAAAATATTAATTTTATTTGTTTGATAGATATTTTGTATTGATATAGATTACAATATAATTGATGTAATACGATATATACTTTATAACGAGCGATATATACTTTATAAGAACAGCGACATTCACAATAGGAATACAAGAAATAAGGGAAAACTTTTCCAGCCGTCTTACAGGTTGCAGAAAATAAATACTTCATTTATGGGCCTAAGTATACGCTGCTATAACATGATTCCTAGTGAAATATTGGAACTGCCTTTAAACAGATTCAAAACACACATCAAAAAAACCTTAATGTGTAAAGGTTACTACACAGTCAATGACTACCTGGAAGATAAAAACGCTTGGCAATAGTTCTAATTATATTCTTATAATTTGATTTGTTATCTTTGAAGTGTTATGAATATGTGTGTAATGGTGAATGTGGTAAATCACAGAACAGATTTTTTATTTTTTTTTACTTATGTAATTTTAATGACGTTGTGGTTTATGACATTTTCCTTTGAATAATTGTAATGTAAAGGGAGGGCAAACTTGCTGAGTTTCTTGCCCGTTCTTCTCAGAACAAGGCCTCCTGGTAGTTTTGCGAACGGATGGCGTAGTCTTGCTCTTTCGTGAATTTTGTAAACGTTGTTGACATTCATAAGCATGCTCTAAGAAGCATCTAAATTGAATAAACGTATTTTGATTTTGATTTTTGATTTTATACAATAAAGATGTTGAACGCTGCCAAACGCGGAGGCCGATTGTGCCTCTTTGTCGCTTGTTCCGCGCTCTCGCTTGCACTTCAAGCCTTAAATGAAACGCCTCAGAGCGAGGTAACGCCGCATGCGCTTTCCTACCCGTAACTCTCAGTAACAAATTTTGATGATGGATGGTATCAAAATAAGAAATATTTCACTAATCATTCGAAATATGTATATAGAAAACCGCCGCAAGATATCGCTTAAAAAATTGACCTCACTCAAAACTGCATTTTGTTTAACCACAATTAAAATAAATGTTAAGTTCTATGTTGTGAATTAAAATTCAAGAATTACTTTCTAAAACCTTATAAGAACTATAAATCGTAACCTTATTCATAATTTACGTTTCTTATCACACTCTGGAATAACTTTGCAACAAGAGACAACAAATCTTTGACAAATTGAAGCTTATAGATACAGTACAGTACTTTTAGTAAATGTACATAATTATAGAAAACAAAACAGTTTAAGGAATATTATTACATGAGAATTTAATTATTATACAATTTGCAGGTTGATTTTGTAACTTTAGTCTTCTGGGCTCATAAAGTAACTAGTATTGTCTTTTATTAACATAACTTTTACACATTTAAAGAAAACACTTTTTTACCGGATTGAAGTTATGTATTATTATAAACTTATAATTATTTTACATAATTAAAAGTTTTTTCCGACGTTTCGCGTGCTTTACAGCGTGCGTGGTCACCGTGAAGAAGAAGAAGTTTATAATAATACAAAACTTCAATCCGGTAAAAAAGTGTTTTCATTAAACTAAGATGTAATCAAATAAATAATTGCAATTCATAGTCTATAAAGTAAAAGCATAAGCCTAGTTCAGTCATATTATCGTAATTAAAAAAAAAATCAAAATACCTGTGACAATGTTGCAGCGACCAGCCAAGCAGCAGAAACAGGCAATAATGCAGCACGAGGGCCCACTCGGTCCAATACGGGCGTGGCCAACTCAATTCCAGTTCCACTTTCACCGGGACTGGAATCCAGTTGGGATTCCAATTCACGGTGACGAGTGGCTAATAAATGGACGCAGTATCTGTGGATGGTTAAAAAGTAATGTTAACTTCATAGAACGTCACTCGCAAACCTTCTAAACGCGAATTCTAGATCCGCCCTTACCGATTCATTTGTCAACAGACAAATGTTTACGTTTAGTTTTGCTCTCTATCATCACACATGTGAAAATGAGGACAATCAGATACTTATGAAAATATGTTATAGAAAGGATATACACGTGTGAAAATGACATGAGAACTTAAGAAGGCGCTGCGCTAACCAGATACATACAACTTCCTCACAAGCGAGTATCAAATCGCAGTACACAACTACCTACACAAGTGTGTTAATAACTTAACGTAAGTAAAATAATATAGATTTTTGAAGTTATACTTCTTTAGGCGCGTTATGAAAAATTGATGAGTGTGAAATTTTACGATGCGCGCGCACCGTGACACAAAATTAACAGAATAAGTTAGTGGCGCCTCTGTTAACTGTGTATTTATATTTATAATATTTATCCACATGCTTGCTTGAGTTTCTACATTTAAAACACGTGTTTTCATTTTGTTTTCATTATACAAGTGCGAATTTTATATGTGCGTCTGAATTATAATCAGAAGTGATTTAAATTGAATATTTAAATCAATACTAATTAATATTAGAAAATAATAATAAACATAATATTAATAAATATTTATTTATTTAATTTTTCAAATGTAAACTGAAATTTATTGACTATAATGACTCTTTTTCCAGTCTTTGATTATTTAATTGTAATTAATTAATTGCATGCAATCAAAAATTATTTTTAATAATTCCAAAGAAGTATAACTTCTTACGCGCGTACATAAGTACACGCACCCTTTTTTTTAGAAAGAATCTGTAAATATTCACGGAAGCTATTTTGTCACATCAATTACTTTACTTTGGTTGCCTTGTCCAATGTAATCTTTCTTTCCATATAGCTACAACTGTATAACGAAAGGATGTTCAGTTCATTTCGCGTCTCTATATAAGTTTACACTGTTAACCAATGAACCATAATGTTTATAGGCTGAGATGTTTTGAGCCGTTTATTTTACATAGATTTTGCTATGAATTTTGACACTTAAAAGTCACCAAACAACTTTGGGAACAATAATTGTCAACCTTTATGTGAACTGGACCCAATACACATCAAGAAAATAAAAATTAATGATCATTTAAGTTATATTTGTACACATGAACGTCACACAAAGTTAAGTCTTTGTTAAACCATTGAGTGTCCATGGCAGTGTCACTTAACATCTGGTGAGCCTCCTGCCCATTTGCCCCGTTAGATAAAATAACCCTCAATATGTAGCCAAGAGAAATCAGTTGTTCTAGCAATGATTAGTAGTAACATTTATATCGTCGCTGTAGAATGATAACCTCGTATGTCCAGAGAACCAAACATTACAGGAAACGAAAAAAAAATTCACTTCGTCAATGTTCGTTAAAAGGAATTATTTATTAATAACATAAATAAGTCCTTACTTCATGATTATACCAGTTAAATGACATAAGAGTCAAAGAATAAAAAAATAAATGGTTTTTTGACATACGAGGTTATCATTCTACAGTGACGATATAAGTAATAAAAGGTAATAGAGGGAAATACCTGTGTACAGGAAAGATGAGTCGATGACAATGTTCCTCCAACCAGCGTACCACAAATCCAACACTGTGTGACTCCTTCTTATTGTAACATCCATTGACTACCGCATTTAACGTCTTGTTAATCTATAAAGAACCGTATTAAGAATAAGTTCTCTATTTTGTAAGGACTATTTATTAAAACAATACCGAAGTCTTTATGTATAGCGTGGGAGTTCGTACTAGGCTAGTTGACAATATATAAGGCTATCTAAATGTAATATATGACTTTAAAAAGCGTTATAAAGTAAAATACCATGTAAATTAACACAAATTTATCAAAAATGCATAATAGATATTGGTTTTCCTACGTCAGTCACATTAATTTCGTCGGAGACTTGATCAAAATATAATATATGTTTAATTTAAAAATGATAATTAACATGTAAAAAAACTTGAAGCTTGCTTACGTGTTTACAGACATGGTACGTGACATTATTGAAACCTAATTGTCTAACAGAGACAGAAAAACAAAACGCAAGAAACCCAGACCCTGTAGCGCCACTGATTTTTTTGTTATGCACCAGCCCTATGCAAAGTACTCCGAATTAATAAGCTAGGCTCGCTTTTTATAAACTAACGCATGAGTAACAAAATCTATTCAAATTTAGAATATACTAGAAACTGCCGTCTCTGTCATTATCATAGTAAACGATAGAGCTGCATTTTACCTGCATGCAGGTCTGGGGTCCTTCTGGATAGTAGTCCATAGACAGTTTATAGCTGACATAAAGTAGACTACGCAAATCTTCCGGGGTTACCTTGGCTTCTTCAGGATCCGTGCAGAACATTCTGGAAATTGAATATGCAAGTTTTACAAATTTTTAATACACATATATATGTGGTACTTCTCCATCATATTTAAAAATTTATTTTTTACATAATTCTCTGTTCTTTTAAGAGCAATATTAGCCTCAGCGTGCGGCCGCTGTCATCCCTGCGGCCGTAAGTTCGAACCCCGGCTATGCACCTATGTACATGAAGGAAGACATGTTAAGGAAACCGAACCCCTTAGACCCAACAATTCGACGGTGTGTGTCGGACACAGAAGGCTAATTACGTATTTGTCTGTTAGAAAAACAAATGATCACGAAACATACAGAAATCAGACCGACTTTAAAGGCAGTAGATTTTTTCTCTCTGTTCTTTACTGATTCCAAATAATAAGAAGGTATCTAAAGAAATTCTAAAAAGTGGCTTTAATGGTACAGTATTATTCTTGTTACCTGACATATGTATCAATAATAACATTGTCATCCAGTATGGCGAGAATCCGTTCGCATTGGTGACGGAAGGTGTTTAGGGGGATATGCTTATTCTTGCACTTGCCCAGTCTGTGGATATACCAATAGAACTGACGGGCCAGTTCCGGATACCGGGGAAATAGATATTTCTGAAACAATTAATTAGTATGATTTCATATAGCTGTCGAATCCACCAGTTACACGATATTGTATGTAAGGGGGTATATTTTCCCAATTTCTCTCAATAAAAAAATTTCACAGATTTCAAGGATAAATAAAATAAATTTTGATTGAAATAGATTAATTATTTTCTGTCTTGAGTCACCTTGATACTACCGTGTTGGCGTGTTCCCACAGTAATGTATGTGCATGCTCGGTGCTCCTATGTGCCGTGCCTCACAGATAGAGGTGAAACGTTTGGTTTTCTTAATTTATTACAATAATTAACTGCTTTAACATGTGATAATGGTTGCAGGTATTTACGAACACTTTGCAAAAACATAAAATAAACTTGGCGATTGCAAAGAGTTAATAGTCAGATCTTCTTTTCCGTTCTATGCCATTGATTTGAGAATTGGCAGTTATACTGGCTTAAGGTGAATTAAGAGCCTTTTTTACTAACTTGGGATATGATTGCTTGGCTCCATAAATTTAATATAGATGTTATATTATGTATAAGGGAGCGTTCAAGTAGGTATTACATCACGCAATTTTTGAACCAAACAAGTGTAACGTTTCGTGACCACCTAGTAACTCTTTATACCTAAAAGCTACCAGTATGTGGTGTAAAGTACTGGAAAGTCGAAAATAATATTTTTAATACAGTTGCTCAAAAAGTGGCGTATTGCAGGGACGTATAGCGTTCGGGATGTGGGCTATTACACACTTGTGCTTTTTTTTACCTTTTCCGAACTAGTGCGTTTTCTTTCCCAACTGTCAAAATAATGTCTATTAAAAAGAAAAAACCAACCACGAAGTTTTTACTAAAAAAAATTCATAGAAATTTTTATGATTCATGCAAATATTTCTAAAAAGAAGCTACTGCTTTGTTTCAATATAAGATTTAATGATTTGATTCAATGAGTTAGGTTAGATTTCATTTCATCTCCTTAAATTTCATTTCATATCAATAAAAAATTGTACTGAAGACTTGGCTGTATGGGAATAGTTCCCTTTGCCTACCCAGAATGGGTGAAGAAAAAAAAAATCTGCTTATATTCTTTTACGGTTGGCGCCATTTTCCAAAAATGTTCTTTGCGCGTTTAGTTGTTTGTTATATAAACAGTAAATAAATATGCAACCTAAAACTTCTCCAGTTAGTATAAAAAACTGTACCAATGTATATGTGAACAATAATTTGTATAAGAAATAAATGATTAGTGAGTTGAGTTTATTGTTTTTTTATTATTTTATTGAATTGCATAATTTTTTCGCAACTGTATTAAAAATAGTTGTTCAGTACACGTGCGGAACCGTCATTGCAACTTGTTCCGACTGTCAATTTGTCGAAACTCTTTGCAATGACAGGCTTTCCGCACTTGTAATGAAATATACTATAACAATAACGCGTAATTCAATCCCCGCCCCGCATCGTAACGTTTTGCAAAAAGAACCCCCCCCCAAAATTCGTTACGTAATACTTGAACGCTCCCTAAGGTATAAATTCTTTTTTTGGTGTTTTCTGTACTTTTATATATATATATATTGAACAATAATAAATAAAAAAGTGTGCTTTGAGTTATCTTCAGTCATATTTTGATTATAGAAGCAAATGATAGATAACTATTTATGTCAGATAAACTTCCAATTTACAGATTATATCAAATAATTAGGTATAACAAGTGATTACTTTCTACGACAATTGCAAGACACCTTAGCGACAAGCTATTTCCTTTTTAATTTATCGGTGCTTATAACAAAATTAAAATATTACCGTAAAAGAATTTTCTGTGACACCATTGACGCCATCCTCCTTTTGTGACCGTTGGGCCAGCAACTGTAAGGTCAAAAACATTAAAATTACTTATTTACTTATCATTTATTTCATGAATGTTTTTCAAACGGAAGTGTTTGGTATTTATAAAATTCGACCAGACGAGTAGACTGCAGTTTTGCAGTATTCACTTCAAGGATAATTTTATATTTCGATAAAGTTCGAATTTTAAATCCGGCGCAAAATAACTGACGCAATTCGCAAAACATAACAACAGAGCCTCAATCCAAATGTGACAATCGCTAATCTATTTAGCGTCCTTCAGTGGCGTTGAATTTTTTTTTGGCAGATATCATTTTGCAACGCAATAATCAGTCGAGATGCTGATAAGTACAAGTCGTCGGAAATATCTGCGAACCTGGCTTAATGACGTCATACAAACTGGAGAGATAGCAAAAAAATTGAAGATGTAAAAATAAAAAATATTTTATTTGTGTACTTATTTTTATTGATACTCGTACCTACCCATCTTACATACAGCACTAAATAGGTAGTTTATGTAATATTTCACCAAACAGAGAAACAATAAACACTAAAATGCGATTACGAAAGCAAGAATAATACACGTGCGGCGTCGGCGATTGCGTTGGCAACGGTACTGGATAGGCGAAAACGGGGCGGGGTGCGGGGGCGCCAGGGGAAGCGCATTCCAGCGAGGTTCGCAGATATTTCCGACGGCTTGTACCATGACCTTTAAACTGAAACGTCGCAAGACTTAAGTAACATAAAGTTCTGAAATTTAACTGTCAAACTTGCTTCAACAGATGATTATGATTAATAAATAAGATACAAAAATTATTTTAACTAATTCCCCAATCACAATATACTATAATATATATGTTTTAGTATGTATAATATATATTATTACTAGTATATAAACTATTCTTTTCATATATGTATTTTAAAAGTTTTCTGATGCTATCATAGTTGACACTTACATTTTTAAACGTTTCCGTCAAATTTTGATAGGACCTATCAATATCTTGGTGTTTACAAAATTTCAGCTTTTTAATTACATATAGTGTTTAAATTTTTTTAACTTATAAATATGATGGGGTAAGTTTTGTTCACAAATTTGTTTTTCAAAAATGAATAAATACTTATATCGAAGTGAACTCTTGATATAAATCACTTTGTAAAAGATATTACACAACAACTTGCAATAGCAATTCGAAAATCATAATAACTTTAATACAAAAAAAGATTACAATTTACAATACTTAAACTTGAGAAACTTGAGTTGAGATACATGTTGGCAAAGAAGAGCCCCAATAAAATATATGAATATACGTATATATTATGTTTATCCCCAATTGAACATTGCCTGAAGACATCTCTATCTATCTTGGTGGCGCTATCCTAACTGAAAAATACTGTTATTAGAATGTTTTCAAATGGCTTATTATTATTTGTAAAAGACTAGTTCTCAGGCGGCGTATTTTTGTAGATTTTACCTATAATACCGATTCCTAAAGAAGGCTTAGGCGTGTAATTCGTTATGCTATATTTTTATACATGGAATAATCGTTGAAGTCGCAAGAGACTTTGGTAAAATGCACGAAATCACCGCGGGCGGAAGCTGGTAAAAATGTATAATACTTTAGGTAGTAATGTTTTATTGTTTTTGTTATACTCTCTACGTACATAATTAATTACAAAATTAAGACAATACAATAGTCACATTTTATGTAACTAATTAGCCTGACCGATAATGTTTAATTATAAAAATAAACTAATCTTGATCGATGGCAATGACTTTGTCTTAGCTAAGGCTTAGCCTTACATCCGATAAGGACAACAATTAAAAATTCATTCAACTTTAAATAATAAAAAAGCTTTTATTTTTTAAGAATTAAACTATATACAAAATCTTACGCTACGTTAAAAACTAATCTTCAATAATCGTAATATAAGTAATAAATTATTGATTAAAAAAATACCGCTACTCTGCTACGAAGTTTTCTTTTTAATGGAATTTCATGGCTTCGAGCTCAAAAACCGAGGAGGTACCGGTACTCCCCTATTCCACATATAGGAAGAGTCCTAATTTACGTATATTGGTTTTCAAATTAATTACAATCATTTGTTATGGTTCACCGCATCCTTTGCGATCTGTATAGTAACAAAGGAATTGGTTTATGGTTTTTTAGCTATGAAGTCGGTTCGTTAACGATTAATTTACGAAAGTATCTTTCAACATACTTCCGCTTTATCGTTCAAGAAAGTAGTTTGGAAGTGTATATTATAAATGGAGTTTATCATCGATAGCAATGCTTACAAACTATCAGAAAAGATAATGGGATTTCACCGAGCATAAATATATTATATACCTACATAGTTTTATAATCCATCAGATTCACCAAATAGTATTGGTCCAAATCGAATAATTTGAAAATTTGTGGCTCAACACGCAGTAGAGATTTACATTTGCACTTTAAAGCTCTTTTCAATGTAAAATAACAAAGAAACTGTCTCTTACAGTGTGTATTGATATTTTCAAGTTCCTTATTAACCTTTTTTTTTTTTTTTTATTAGCGAATGTAACGATTAAATTACGTTTTTGCTTTGTGGGCCACTTTTGTTGAACATTTTTTTTAAAAGTGACCTCAGATTATTTGCGATGTTTTCGTTTCAATACAACAGACAAAGTAATAGATGCAAACTTACATCCTTAACTTAAATGATATAGGGCTATAGGGTTATCGTACCTTACAAGTGGGTTTTATGCATGTTTTCTTTCGTTTCAAATTTCGAACCTGTATCCCCACGATGGTGAACCGCAGTTCGGTGATTGCCGGCAATCCCATCGCGTTCTTATTCGCAACTAAGCAAACAAACGACAAATCCGATAAGATTACCATTGTTTTATTTATTCTTATAATCATGATTTAATTCGTCTTTGATTGCAGGCATGCAGTTTATAATTATTTGTTTTCATTTATTATAGCGTATGAATAGTAAATGGGTTAGGAAATCAATATCAGAGATTGAAGAACACATCCACCAACCTTCACTTGACTCAACATCCTTAAAATGATTATGTATGGACATTTATAACAGTTAAAAGTATTTGTATAATGTTTAAAATACTCCAATATGATTTGATTATTAAACCTCATATTTAAAAAATGAGATGTAGAAAGTTTATAATCAAGATAAAAATATTATCTGATAGCACCTATACAGTTGTGCAGAAGACCTACCAGGCGCGTGAAACGCCAGTATGACGCAATGTATTATGAATCACTCTAAATTGGAAAAAAACTTAGAAAGAAATTATCTTTTGATTGGAGGTCATATCAAGCTCTAAAGCGCGTGTCTGTCATGTGAATTTCCTTATCAAATATTTCACACAATTCTTCACCTTGCCATCATGTGACCATATAATGTTTGCTAACATTAAATTAACTTGTTTGGCCAACCATCATTATTGCTTGGTTGGTTATTGGGTTATTGAGGCTGAATTAAATTAGCTGAAAAATCCCAGGTTTGATTGATGAGAAAAGTCTTTTACTCTGGATTACAGACACGTATTACTTTATTTGGTAATGGATTGGTGAACTGAAATATAATACTGCAGCCTTGGGAAGTCTTTTTGTAAGCTATATTTTTTTAATGTACCTGTAAGGGTTTGCCTAAATGCCTGCAAAAACAGTCGATAGAACTTCTAAATGACCTAAACTTATGGTTACTATTTAGTATTTAGCTTGAAATGACATATCCTAGGTAAAGACAAAATATTTTTTTTGTTTTAGTTTTTATTTTCATAAGAATATGGGCCTATATGTATAATACTGAATACAAAAAGTAGCTAATGCATGTACAAGGTATGTATAATTTTAACTAACCATCTAAATATAACGGTAGAAATATTTTATTTTATAATTAAATGATCTCCTTTCGACATCTAGATGAAGATTTTTGCAAAATAGTTCAGATCTACACTTAGGTACTGCTTTAGTTTCATGAACCAATATAATCAGATATGGAGACATTTCTGACTTAGTTTCCTTTCTTTTATAGGTTTTTCCATGATTTGTTCTGTTATGTTGTTAAAATAATATTAGTGGTTTGTTGGGTACACCTACAAGTCTTCCTACACAACACGCATTAGCATGTGATAATGCTTCTATTAGTAATTGTAATTATAGTAAATTTAATATATTCTGGTTTCAAACATTACATCAAACACTTTAAATATTAACACTCATTTGCTAAGAAAAATATAATAAGTGTTAATATTAACATCTGTACAATTTGATTTAGTTTCTTTTTCAAACATAGTTACTAATTAAAGTTATTTAGTTTTTATTGAAGAAATCAGCATGCACTATAAATCAGAACCAATTGAATCACAGGTCAGTTTAAGGACAAACTTATTTAGCAACAATGCATGACTTTGCTAAATTATTTCCTTCCTTACTTATTAGATCTAACCAATGTTAAAGAAACAATTTTAATAATGACTTAAAATAAATGAGATAATTAGATTAAGTTCTAGTAATAAGTAAAATAATAAATTTTAGAATTCAGAGGGTCATATCAAACAATGGGTTAGATAATTATTATTGTTTCCTTTTGTAAATTTTTGAACCGTTTTGTAGTTAAATGTATTATGTATTCCATATCTGGCTATGTTTTCAGTGAAACTGTTTGTTATTATATATAATTTATGTTAGCTGTAGGATTACAAAATAAATAAAATCCAAAACACATAATCCTTCCTTAACTGATAACTCATATTTATATACAATGCAAGAATTTAATATCATTATCAGTTTACTTTTTAGTAGCAGTAAAAGGTATACAAGTAAGTTAAAGGAAAATTTTGAAACTTGAAACTTTTTAAATTACATTTAATTATTTTCACTAATAAGAATTGGTAGGTTGGCAAACAATATTGTGATGCAAATTAGGGTAACCTACCTTTCCTAGTTTTTCTACAGGCACGAGCGACAAGGGCGCAGGAGGTTCCGGCTTATCTGTGTGACCTTGTAGCTCTCCGCTGGAACCCGATCTAGCTCCACGAGTCGACCCTCGAGGTGTACTAGCCCCACTGCCACTTCCATCTGTGCTAGGCTTGTCGTGACTATTATGGTTTCCCATATCTCACAAGATCCACTACCGTATAATATAGGATTTTTTTTAATGTCGTTAATTACTAAGGGTAAAATAAACAACGCAAAGGAAGAATGTAAAAATATTTGGGCGAAGTCAGTCATCAAACAATATATCACAGTAAAATATGTGCACTAATCATTATCATCTGGAGAAGAATCAATCCAACTTCAAAATTCAAAGTTCAAACTGACACGGACGGACAGAGTTGTCAATTAAGGTTTAATAAATAGCTGTTTTTAGCTATATTTTCGATATTGATATATCGTTAAATACAATAGTATAAAAAAAAATCTATTAAATTTATATTTATTAATCACTTTTTTCATCAATGTAATCCATAGACCATATGTCACTACTCAGTTACTCACTAGTATAAAGTATTCTTATTTCCTAAGGCTTAAGAAAAAAATACTTTCCGAGAGCCTTGACCGCCAAATGAATTTGTATAGAAATGGTCACGTGACAAAGCATGAGCTAATGTCATTCTCAAGACCCTGATTAGTGGCGAAAGCTATCTTATTTTTATTGTAATTCCTTAGCTTAATTATAAAATTTAAAGATGTAAACTAAATTTAACTTAATAGGTACACTAGATGCAATGTTCGACAATACAGATTTTGTTACCTATCTCAGCTACTCTGCTATTGCTGCAGCTCTCTATTACATTTTGGCTGCCACATTTACAGATTAAAAGACTGTCATGTTCTTAAAGTCTTTTTACTGGTGTGAGTAATTCAATAAAGCATATATAAGCCGGCGTGTCTACGTGACTTATTATAAATTTTTCATTCCGATTTCCGGCCGAGCTTCGCTCGCCAAAACAGCCCAAGCTGAGGTGTTAACAGCAATATTCCATTTTAAAAAAAACTTAAATAATACTCTGTGAAGAGAAGGTAATTGTCTACATTTGACAATATCAGATGAAGTGTGAACATTAATTTATATTATTATTTGTCAATTGTCATTAAACGAAGACGCCATTGTTTGTTTGTACTTTTGGGCGTCCAGCGTCCTATTTTTTCGTATATTTATCCATTTTCATCTTGTAAAACAAATATTCTTACATAAATTTTTACGCTATTAGCTTAAACGCAGATTTCATTATGTCTATCGGTGTGCCTATTAAAGTACTTCACGAAGCTGAAGGCCATGTAGTGACCTGTGAAACAAATACCGGTGAAGTGTACCGCGGAAAGTTAATAGAAGCTGAAGATAATATGAATTGCCAAATGACCAGCGTCACTGTTACTTATCGGGATGGACGTGTAGGTCAACTGGAAAATGTTTACATTAGAGGCTCAAAAATTCGTTTTCTAATTTTACCAGATATGTTGAAAAATGCTCCTATGTTTAAACGACAAGGGAATAAACCGACTGCAGGTCGTGGAAAGAGTGCTATATTACGAGCACAAGGTTGGTACTTGGGCCTTACAATTGAGAATAAGTTAAAACTATCATCTGTTTACTGACTATTGAAACACATTAAGTGTACACTACAACCAGCTACATAGTACATCTATATTGTGTATATCTATATTCTAGTGTGTCTATTTGATATATCTTATAACATATCAATGTTTTATTCATAAACTTATTTTTGTTTGAGGTGCAAACATCTGTGTGAGGTGGAAACAGCAATGTCTGATTTTGCTGAGTAATGTAAATTTTTTGTTAGTATTGTAATTATAGCCATTACTTATTATATTTCAGCTGCTGGTCGAGGTCGAGGGGGGGGAAGAGGGGCAGCAGGCCATCGCGGTGGGTGGCAGGGTGGTTCAGGACCTTCTCGACGTTAGTGTGTACTTGAAAAATGTGATCTAGCCACTAAGTAACTAGTGTAAGATTTACATTCATTTGTTGAGTTTTGTATATTTAATGTAATACAAAATTCTGGTGTTTTACTAAATTTAGTTTAAATATAAAATATCACTCAAGTTATATGATTATTATTATTATGTGGTATTAGTTGTGATGAATAATACATAGATGTATATATATGAATTTACCCCTATATCTATAGTTGAGTAAAACTGTTTATGTAGTGATGTTTAATCTATTGATTTTAAATTAATGCGTTTCAGGACTATGTGGGTGACTGATTCATGAAATCATGAACAAGGGACTGTTTGTCGGGCCAATGACAAAGGGATGTTTCTTAAGGAGACAGTGGCTTGTAATTGTCCCTATCAATATTTTGAGATTAGTTCTGTTGAGGCTTACAAGTTGCTTTGTCACTAGCGGGTTAGCTGTTGGCAGTGCTATTTTGTACTATCTGTAGTCCAGATTTTACGACCATCGGTAATGTCGGAGTTCTGTGGATTGTTGGCAAATTCAGGTTCACACTTGTGTGAAGGGCAAGGGAAGGAGTGGGTACAGCCCAGCCCACATCATACCGTAAGCTCGTCGGCAGCATCATTACCGAAAAATCCACTGTAGAGTCAACCTGTTTGTTAGGGTTCGTGCCTCCAGGGCATGGTGACACTCCACTATCTGTTTGTTGTCGTCTTTTTTTTGTTTTCTAACGTCGTCAGCACAGACACTATACACAGACACGAATTTAATACAGAAGTTATTACTTTCTAACCACTGTATGGCTTAGTTGAGATCAAGAGATTCAGGGAAAGTATTGATGTAATTAAGAAATTTTTTACTAACAACATTTAGTTATAGATATAGGGGTGGGGATATGGAATCTGATGAATGTTTATGGAATGATTGAACACAACTTTTACAAGTTTGCAACTTTGTTGCTTACTGGTGTAAGCTACATAGTTTACTATATAATGTACATGTACATTTTCATTTCAAATTATCAATAAAAAGACTTCATAAAAACTTGGCGATATAAAATAAGGACTTAATAAAAAACTTTGTATAATTTAAAAGTATTCTTATTTCTTATAATGCTAGTCATACTAAAAATACAATCATTGATTATTTTAAAGACTTAAACCAAATTGGTTTGTGTAATGTAGAAACTATGTAATAGTTTAAAAAATATAATTTTATATTTTAAACATTTCTTTTTAAAAGGCTTGGAATTTGTGTGTAATCTACATGGTTATACATTTTAGGCTCTCAACAAAATGTTAAATATTTCAAATTTAAAATGGAAATAATTTAACAATAATGTGAATAGTTGTTAAATCTAGATAAATATCAAAAACAATATAGCACTTTTTGTAATATAGAACATAACATCTACAGTAAAAAATGCTTATTATAACATTTAAAATTAGGCCATTGATGTTTATTTGTTTTTCTCTAAAAAGTTCTAGTCTCATTAAAACCTTTCGAACTTTGGTAATGACTTGCTGAACATAACTTCTAAGTAATTAGAAGTTAGAGTTTAATCATTGTTTTGTAATCTTTTTTACTGATGGATAGTAAATTTACGATGCGGTGTCTACACATAACTAAAAGTATAAATAATCTTGGTTAAATAACCATAATAAATCTGTGGCACATTAAATAAACATCACAAAAGATTTATCACTGTGGTACAGGTTCAGGTTTGTCAAGTTTCTCCTGTGTAGGGTCTAATGTAGGTCGCACTGTTACCCGACGTAACTCCCGGTATAGGGCCAAAGCAGGAAATTCAACAAGTAACGCCAATGGGATAGCTGCTGTATAAGCGATTACACCAACGCCAAACCACTCGTATATCTATAATAGAAATATATAAATAAAACCTTTTCAGTGATTGTGGATTACTAAAACTAAATGAATACTATTTTTTTAAGATGGCTCCAAACCAGCATTTGATTAAGTCTGCGGGTAGGGGTCTCATAGCGTAGCGGTCTTATTAAGTGGCAGCTAGGTGAGGGGTACCGGGTTCGATTCCCGGTTCGAGGGAAATTTTTAATTTAATTTAAATTTGTTCTCGGCCTTTGGGAGGGTTGTGCGGTACCGGGCGAGTGCCTAAACCGTACATGAAGGACATGGTCGAATTTCTAAGGCAAAAAGCACGAATTATAAAAAAAAATCTTATACTTGACGCTGGCTAATGCACAAACCGTGCCAGAGCTATAAAAAAAATAAAAAAAGTCTGCGGGTCGTAAAGGAAAATAATATAAATATACTAGCTGGTGCCGGCAACTTCGTCTGCGCAGGATTAAAATAATATTTGTCCAAATGATGTACCGTGAAAGACATATTTTATCTACTTTAAATACCAGAAGCGATAAAAGTATCTATTTTCATTAAGGAATCAATTCATTACTATCAAATGTGCATTTGAAATAAATTACCAATTTTTCTTATAGTTATGCTTGTAGTCACTATTTTGGTTATAATGGCTTGCACATAAGACAAAGATATATATACTGTGGCTGGCTTTTTTGTAGGACTGTTTAAGAGACAAACATCCATCCATACTTACAAAATTTCGCGTTTATAATATTAGTAGAATAATAGAGAGTATGAACTCTTATTATTAAAGAATAATGTACCAATAAAGTAATGTAAAAAATACTTACGGCGTGTGATCTATCAAGTTGTATTGGCGCTATGCGACTGGCGAGCAATGCTTTATTGAGAGGCAAGTGTAGCAGCAAAGCCCCGAATGACAGCCGCGGTACTACAGCGCCCATATGAGATAGCCAAGTTCGCCAAGGTGCTGTAATATATATGTATGTCGCAAATTAAAATAACCCTATTCTACCATCCTATTTATCGATACAAGTTATAAAATTGGATCCGACCGATATATGTGTGAAAAGTGGAGTTTCCTCTATTGGATTCCATAGGTAAAGACTAACACTATTGCGTTTTTTCTCTACGCTAAATGTAAAAAAGAATTCGACCTTATACATATTTCTTAACTCACATTTTACACCATTGATAGCTCCGAGCAGCGCAGTCAGAACTAGCAGCACGAATACAGGCCTTTCCAACGCGGCTAAAGCAGCAGCAGTAAGACGCGCGGGTAGATGGGATCCTGCTGCTAGAGGGGATAGGCCTGCCCAGCACACTGCAGCAGGAGCCGCACATATACAAAACCAGCGGAACGTCTGAAAACCCTACAAAGATTAGTTTATTGTAGAATACTAAAATTTGTATACGTTGATTTTATTCTATGCTCTCAAAAATGAGGACATTCACGTAATGAAACCCTTGAGGAACCCGGACCGGAACCGGCATAGCTTTAGCGCTAATAATCACTATTTGGGTGCGATTGTTTATATAAGAGCTCAACGATTGTATCTGACAAGAATCAGAGTAATCCGTCAAGTTCGACGTTGTTGATTTGTGAGCCATAAATCCATGTTAAGGATTTATTGTTAGCTTAAAACAGATACGTCTTGTTAGCGATAAGAACTTGCCCTTGTAATTTTTAAAAAATGTTGATATTTTTTTACTACTATAAAATAAAACAGTTACAGTTAGCTTTAAGTTACTTCATGGGAAGCAAAATATTAGGTAACCGTAATAGCGAGGTAATAAGACGTAAATAAATTACATTATGATTATTTATTAGATTTAAACACAATTATTATCATCTATTTGATCAGGGCTAGTGGTGACATCGCCAACCAGTTAGTGAAAGTAAAAGACCACCTCACCGGCCAAAAAACGGATAACTAAGTCACCTGTGTTATGTAAGGACTGCAAGTCGTAGAAGTAGTTCGAAGACTAATGACATTTGGTTTGTCTATCTTCCCTCACCAGGAACTTAATAACATACGAAAATCAACATGGAACTGAAACGTAGTCTTCATGCTTTTAACGATACACAAGGTGCCTGCATACAAAGTTTTGCTACTATAGCTCCATCAATTTAGCGACGCGACGGTGCAATACCATTGGTTTCCAATGTTATGGTTTCTACTTAGTTTTTCTAATATACTTGAACTTGATTTCATTAGTTTAATTACTTATTAGTAGTATTCTTTAAAAGAAAAAACTGTATTTTGCTATCTATGGGATTCCGTATTGAGGCACCAGTGACGACGCGTTTATCAATGCACTAGTGTGCGTTACAGATATAGGATTATAAAAACAAAAGTCTGTAGCTATTATATAAATGCGGTAACGAGTCCCAGACTCTAGAGGCTTTAGTACTTTTGTATACGTCACGCTCTTTACGAGGCCTATCACAATTATTTTCACAACAATAATGAAAGGTTTATGTAGGGCAGTTTAAGTAATATTAAAGAATTTAATTGCATAAGTACTAAATATGTACATAAATTTTTATAATATTTTCTCCGTATTTGATTTGGCATTAATTAAAAATTTCTGAATCTACTTGTTCTTTTTATTGTACATTTGGAACGTAAAACGTAATTTTTGTTTGTTACAATTTTCATACGCGTGGAACTGTGAAAATTGTGTCAGTTTTTGTATTACGCCAACCCACTTACACAATTTATGTATTTTTTCCTATGTTTTTGAATGTTTATGAATATTGTACAGTTGACATTAGTAGAATATTGTTTAAACTAACTTAAACACATTATAATTAATTAATGAATTCAAGTCAAATTAAGTAATATTTCTTTGTGTCGATTATGTATATAAGTATATATTTACTACATTTACTAAATTTTTAATTTAATTATAAAACAAAGACATAAAAAGCTATGAATAGAAGGCACCTGTGGTATAGATATTATTAAATCTTAGAAAATTAATGATTAATATACTTTCTGTTGTGAGAGAGAGACTCCCCGATCTTTCATCTCTCGATGTATTAAAGCCAGCAACAAGCCCCCAATTGCAGCGGGAGCATTGCCAAGAGGAGACTGATACAACACGTTGAAAGAGGCTTCACCACCATATGAAGCCCGAACAGACCTACATATAAATGGATTTACTCATAAAAAAAATTAAAGATGTCATCCCTGAGTTAAAGATTTAACAATAACTATTTAAAGACATATTTAAAGTGAATAATAATTTTTTATAAAAAATGTGGTGTAAGATTGAGGCAACACTGTTGTCACTAATCATATGCATTTCTTTCTGATCTAATAATTTTATTCTTGGATCTTGCACCAACATTTCACATTGTTTATTATATTAGTAGATAGTTGTCTGAAAGGATAATAGGAGTGGAGAAGTTCCAACGCACTTTTTACAATATACGGCACAATTTAGAGTTGACAAAATTGTACAGAATTAAATTTTTATCACAAGGTTTCTTTCTTTTCTTTTTCCTTTGGGATTAGATTCTATACTTTATTTTTTAAAGATTGGTTTTGGTTTACACGTAACCACTTAACTTTCACGATATAAAGATCACGTTACCCCATAGACAGTGCAGAATTATTTATAAAATGAAAATGGTGTACTAACTCAGGTCTATGAAGCACAAAGTTAGGTATTAGATGCCACACATAGGCAAATGTAAAGTTGAGAGCAGTAAAGGCCACAAATAACCCAGATAGTAATAATAGCGCAGTACGCCGACCTCGCACCAGTAGTAGGAAAAGCAGTGACGCTGCATACAGCTGCATATCTGCCGCCAGGTACCTGTAGATTAGAGTAATTTTATTACTCAGATACTTTACGAACAATATGTAACATTAAATAGTAAGCGTTTAGAAATAATACCTACTATTATGTATGAATAACTTAAAGAGTGGGCGTATCTAGAACTAAAACGAAACACGAACTTGTATTGGTCATTTAGAATTCCAATTCTACACCAATGCGAAATCCTTAAAGCTATCTTAATTTTCTTGCTTAAGCCTTAACAAGAGTATTACACAATTATTATAAAATCATAGATTTATAATGTACACTTATGAACGAAAACGATTCAATCGTCCTCAAATGAATGTATGTTTTTAATTAAAGTAGCCTTACCATGTTGGTATGAGACACTTGTCATCAGGATACACCAAGTTATTAATAAAGAGAAGATGGGTCCACCACTTTTTTCGACAAACAGCTGCTTCCCCTCCCACCAGTGGTGTCCATAGTGGGCCACTATTCACACGTTCCCACCATGATGATGCAAACCATATGACCATCAGGTGACTGGGGCTTATTCTGTGAAACCGGGTTAGACTTGTAAATGGCTAGGTCACAAATGTCTTGATTACAGTGATTTAACTGCCCAAGTGCCTGCCTAAAGTTAAGCTACAAAGCAATTAGGCTTATTAAGAGATATACTGAGATTGGTTTTGATTTACACCAATAGGTTACATATTAAATTGAATTTTCTTTAAGAAGGTACATTTATTACATTATTTACATGGGGATCTGGGAATGGTTTAGATTCACAAATCAGCCCGGCAGATGGCACTGCAGTCGGTACTTTCATACTTTGCTTAATATCCTAATCGCTTTAAATATCATGCAGGACAACGTCTGTGGGGTCCACTAGTAAGATATATTTTTTTAATAAGCAGCTTATTTAGTATTTAATTGTAAGTGAAGAAAAAATAACCTAAACATATACATACCTGATAATTCTATTGATCATAGTTTCCAAGAAGGTAGTAAAGATCGGACCACGTGACTTCTGTTTCAGCAACTTGTATGCAAGTAGGAACGAAGACATCACGAAGAAGATTTGTACCACCAAGGTACTGTTCGTCATCAGCATCACATCTGGTTGGCGTCGAATCTGCCGTCATCAAACAATGTAAACATTACGTAGATTATTTGTACACATTCCTCCATTTAGGATCGAGGTCTATTGACGTGAGATATCTAACATCTAAACCACTGGGGTGGAACACATTATGCCCAGGTAAAACCAATCGCTACGATGTCTATAGTATTTAGTTAAAAAAAAAATTGTGCCTACTACTACTTCAGATGTCAGAAGTGAAACTTCTTTGGCAAACTAATTTTTAAGTCTTGTTCATATTTATACAAATCGAAAACTTTACATTTGCGAGACTTAGAGGGAGGGAAAAAGGAAGATATGTTAGGAATTTAATGAATTTAATTGGCATTAAAATATTAAGTGTCGAAAATCATAAGTTGAATTTTTTAAATTTATTTCTTTGATAATAAAAACACGTGGTATTTTAGTTTACAATTCGTCATTTGAGATTTCAATAAATTATTTTGCATAAAATATATAATACTAATATTACATAAATTCTCTTAACGAAATTTTAATTTTAAAAAATTAAATTTTTTTCGGTCTCAATCGCTTTCTACCTTTCGTTCGACAAAAACGCTGCACATTGTCGTGACACTAATAATATTATTATTGCGTTTCATCCGTAAAAATTTTTAAAAAGCGCCTAAAGAAGTTTCACTTCAAAATAGAAAATAAAATAATCTTACCATCTCCATATTTCTTGTATCGTCTATATATGATAGGGTGGCCAGCCAGCAAACGTGTTCAAGGATGACAGACATCATGCAAAACACTCTCAATCCGTCGAAACATCTAAGATCAGCTGAGCTAGTCGGTGGTGATGGTGCTGTCAGAGTCCGCCATGACCGTGGTATTGACCAGCAAAGCGTCCAACCTAGGACTAAAGGGTACAATCAAGCATATAAAGTTTATTTATCTTTACATACGATAATATTCTATTTATTGTATCTAAAATTGATAACCAATACGTAATGCTTTAAAAAAATTAAAGCAAGAATAGAATTAAGATAAAATCGTTCTTAAATACTAGCGATACATAAATCCTTTTTTAAATCTAGCGAGCTATCCTGCCTTCGTACAGCTGAATTTCAATGACTTTTCTCATATTTTGGCTAAATGTTACCTTTGTTATTCAGGATAATAATACTCATTACGACTAGAGACTATATTTGGATGATTCTTAAAAAAACAATACATTCTTTTGAGGTGAGAAAGAAAAAATCTCTTGCCTTCCTTAGCGTGGTCGGTGAGTGTCAGGTCCAGGCAGGTGCTTATGGCTGCTAAGGCTATCAGAGTTGCAAAGACTGCAGCAAAAGCTCGCTGATTATTTGTCAATGGTGGAGGGTCGGTAATACCACGTCGGCAGTACTCTAGCTGATAGAGGCGCGCGGATATGTTGTAGGCTGATGTTGTGCTTGTATTTACACAAGATTCAAACCTGGAGTGTAGGAAATAATATTTAAAATGCAAGTAAAGCGAAAGATCTTTCATTATAGAATGTAAACTGAAGCGGTTTTAATATAATTTTATACAGTTATTTCGTTCTATTTTACTTACCATGCCTCCAGAGGCTCCTCATTCCCAGGATGTGGACAGTGACGCGAAACGCACAGGCCACGGTGCAGTCGTGTGTGGTTAAAATTATCCACCCAGTTGTTGCTCCATCCCTGTGCATACATAGCCGTATTTTACATGGCTACCTTTATAAATATTACATTTCTTTATCTATGATAAAGTATAAAAAATAAAAACCCTTATAATAAATAGCGTAAAGTAAAGAATTTTAGTAACATCGGGTGTGTTTATTGCAAGTTTGTTCGTGTTCGTGATATATAATTATTTTAAACATGACAAAAAAGACGATATAATATACACCACAGGACATTCACATAAAAAATATTTTGATACAAAAATCCTATCAATAAATAATGGCAGTTATTTCAGTTGATCTTGAATGTAGATAAATAATGATGCTTGGTTTATATTGAACCGATTTTAATTCCACTAAATAATTTATAGTATTTCGTTATAATTGAGTCGTGAGTGTCTCACAGGTCACATGCACACATACATATATTTAGCTGCTGTAACGCATATTACATGCACGCGCGCGCACTGACCTAACATTTAGGGATGCCATCCAACAATAATAATCATTAATGGTTAGAACATGTCAAATAGTATGCATCTTGAAACTATGAGGATTGTACAATATCCGGTAATTTTGCGAGAAATTCACACTATTCAAAGGAAATAGATATTTAAAAGGAAGCATATTATATGCCTTTGAATATAAATTATAATATTAGTCGGGCATTCTTAAACGTTCTAAGAAGTTCTGAAAATTAATAGGGAATGTTATCATTTTTATTGTCTTGAGCCAAACTTCGAATGAAACAATGCATCAAATATTCTTAACCAGATTATTCGAATCATTTCAAAAGCATGGAAAAGTAACGAAACTGGAGGAAGGATTCTCCAACGTAAAGGGAAGGTCCTTGACCAGTCTAACCACTGACTGGCTGCCCGAAGGCCCCGGTGACTAAAATCAAGAAGTTGTATATATCCTTAGGAGTCCAAATAACTTTGTCAGTGCGTTTCAGGGTATGACGTTACCGCACTACCGAAAATTGTAGGTCGATACAGTTACGGCATGTCAGGTTTTATTAGTCAACTATCCATGTCTAATCTATTACGCCATACAATTTGTCTAACCATTAGAACATTCTAAGATTCTCTTACAGATGTTCGTAAGACCTTTAATATGTTTAAAAAAAACAGATGCAATTCAGGTGTTGTGAACTAATTGCCTTAGCCCATGTAAACGCAATTCACGTTTTAAAGCAGCCCTAGCTAGCATTGGCCATTGAGTCTCTAGCGGAACGGTCCGCATTCTGCGCAGTGACGAAACGAACTACTTTCCTCTTTCACATGTCGAGTACCATTGTATCGTTTCCTTATAACATTTACGATGACATTAAAGGCATGGGTCTGTAATACTTTACTATGTGCTTATCTTTTGAAGTTTAAGTATCTTTCTTAATACTTCGTCTTCTTGATTTTACACCCTTATTGTAAATTTAGTCCGCATTTATAATATAGAAAAAACTTTGCATAGGTATTCTGTTTTATATTATGAGTCAGGAGATTGTCTTATTTTTGTAAGTTATACTACAATTTACTATATGCGAATATTTTTATTGCTAATCTTCGAGTCGAGAAGTAGAAATGCATGAATCAGTCATTGACACTTAACATTTAAATGTCGTTGTACCAGAAACTTTGTAAATATTACATAACTGCCATTATCTCTTTTACTAAAAATAGTAATTAAATATATTTGTACATAAGTCGTTTAAAATATAGTTACAATAGGTGATCGAAAATCAACGATGAAAACAAAAATTTAAAAATAAAGGTACGAGGCAATATTTATAGTCATCCATGTCTGAGGTATATATCGCAGTGCCGACAATCCTATTTGCCAGACTCCTCACAACTGCGAACTCTGGAGATATGCTGCAATCCTGTCTCTTAATCGCGTCCAAACGTCCAATCAGCGTTGCCAGATTTTTTTATTGCCAAGGCGGGATTTTGGAACTTTTTGAGTTAAAAAAGCGGGAATCTCTCGTCAAAAGCGGACATTGTAACTAAAGGTGATATTTTAAATCAGATTTACCCTATCGTTAAATACTTGTCTTCTTAATAAAAAAAATTAAATAAACAAAACTAAACCAAAAAAAAGTCTTCATTAGACAATTATGGCGTTTCAAACAATAGTCAGAACTCTGAGGAATGAGTATATGATATACCTGGTATCTTTTTTTGGAAGCTGTTAAAAGAGCTGGTGCCATTTCTGAGCGTGGGAGTGGTGTCTTGAGTGTCAGTTGAGTTAACCCTAAAAAGCGGGAAAAAGTCTGTCCCGCGCGGGGCATCTCATTTTCATTTAAAAATCGGGACGTCCCGCCAAAATCGGGACGTATGGCAACGCTGCCCGTTATAGAGGAACATTTCCGACGTGCTACAGAAACGAGGCAGTCCCTCTCATAAGGTCACGAAAAATACTCTTATATGATTGTTGTATAGTTAGCCCAGAGCCGGCAAGTGTATAAGCACTGGCAAAACGACTTGAATAAATAAAATATGTTTTATATTGTATCATAATTGTGATACTTTATATGTACGAAGTATTTTAACGTGCAAGGATGTTTATTTGGTTATCTAGTTTCCCGTACTTATGACACCAATCAAGTTCCAGACGACACCAATCAGAATGTAATATCAAAACGGTAGAATCTCGAATGTCGGTGGTTTGTCGATTTGAGAATTGTTTAGAGGGCAACTCATATACATGACTTCAACGCGCGCATCGCTTGTATGCTGGAGCTCAATTTATTTCTTTTTCTGCATTTTGTTTTTACTGTTAAAGTGTCAAAGAAATAAATACAATTAAATAAAGTTTACAAATAATGATTTCCTAAGTCCCGATGATATGAGGTTGGAAAGCTGAGATAAGATGAAATGGTTTGGTGCAGGAGTCCTACGCCGCAAAGCCCACTAATGAAAATTAGTTCTTAATTTAAAAATAATATATTTACATTTTAATAAAAATAGCAGGACAACCTCAACCTCATAAAATAATCGTTACCAATTTTACGAAACACGCTACTGTTTTGATGGAATACGCTTCTCAGTAAATTGTATGTAAGGAGAAAAACAATAATAAACTACCAATTAATATTGTGTATTAACTATTTCTCATTCTTACTTATACCGATATATAATGTATATGAGCAATTTTAAATAGGTGCTCCGTATTATATATATAAGACAATGCTTAAATTGTCTTTACGATTCGATATTAAAAACCCCTTAGAACCAATTTTTTTACGGTATCATCACACCGTGTAGTTTTACTTTTACTTTTCTTAATCACAGTCGTAGGCTGTAGTTAGATACTTTCCGGGAAACGCAAGGCATGACGCAATCATTGCGCAGTGACTAGATTACGCCTAAATACCGACTATTAGATTCAAGTAGGCTCATTTCCTACGTCACAAATTTATATAAAAAATCATAAAAAATATTTTCGTTGTCTCAACTGAAATTGTCTCACATTAGAATATCATAACCCAGTTTAAACGGCACTTTAAGGAACTTATTTCTAACTAAACATATTTGTATTCGATTGAATTGAATTGAAATTTTTGTAACTATTTTTTGTCTAACAAACGTTATCATATTTTTTTATAATCTTGTGTTTTAAACTTAACTACACATTATTTTGTTTAAATCAGATCTAGGGGTCATTGACTCCCCCCTTGCGTCCTTCCCCGGGCGCCCTACTCCCTTTCACTGTCTTAACACGTTCTAAACTCTTTCGGATGCCTAACTCAACTGCCCTATCACATAATATAATGTCGCAAGCACTGACATCACTTTGTTTACCCAATAATTATTTACCTAAAAGTTTTAAACAAATTATGTATTCCATTACAAAAACGAGTTTCATAGTAATTAAAACAGAAGATGTCGCAAAAATTCTTGTTATTAATATTACTATATTAAGAATATAAATTGAAAGAAATTAGTGAAAAATTTAATTTCTATAATCTTGTTCTTTAAACAAACTTTATTTCTCATTACAAAACTGTTATTTTTTTTACATGAGAAACTTAACATATAAGTTTACGAACGAGATAGGTACATGTCGCCATCAGATAGCCGTCCTTAATTTAGTCTACTAGGCTCGTCTGTTATGTATCTTTAATACCCTTTTAAATTGGTTAAACACGCTAATATTACGAATTTTAGATGGTAATTTATGAAATAATTGCTCATCCTAATAGTTAAATTACAAAAATCTAATAATTTGTACGCGGCTTCGGCAAGGTAACCTAATTCGTTTAATAATAAAATAAAACATGTTATAAAACAAAAACATGAATAATATTTTTTGTATCCGCGACGTCTAAACGATTGTAATTATTTTAAGGTTCCAGTTTTTGATATATGCAAACCTTGTCAAATAGTTATTTTAACCGAATAGCCTTCGACAAGTTTCTGAGTTTTGTGATGGATAATGAACCTTCGAAAAAGCTTCCGCTATCTACGATTACTATGGTCAAAACTTACATACCAGTACCAGTACCAGTTTCATACCAAAAAAGCTTTTGCTTACGACCATGATTGTTTTATCTTATAATTGATATAGATTTAATTGTTTTAGATATTCAACATGTATTATAATATGCGCAATGTGCATGTATATTTTTCAATACATACTTGAAACAAAAGAATAATTGTTAGTTCAAATCAATTTCCATGGATACAGAATTCATTGTTTGTTCGACTGCAGTTCCTATATTTAAATTGTTAGTCATAAAAGAATATCTATCTAGTAGAATAACAAGGAGCTGGCATGATTACAATTTATACTTAAATCGACAGTGGTTATTTATAATATGTAAGTAATACAAAACAGTTATTATTTGAAACGGAATATCCGCGCATTATAAGTTTTTAGAAGCTATGATGAGTTTTTGATTTGCGTAACAATCATTAAATCTGTCTTCATATTCTTACCAAATTTAAGTTTAACAAATCACTGGAAAAATTCTGAATCATTTCGTACCATTTTCTAAGACGTGATCTTTTCTTTTTTTTATTGAGAAAAAGCTTGCCAACGCTCGGCACACTGACACATTGGTAAAAACAAACACAAAATACAATTTTGAATGTGACAAGCACTTAAAGGCAAACATGACAAACATAAAGAGATCATAACCTATTATTAAACAAAACAAACATTACAAAAAAAAACCAAAACAATTACTAATCAAAGAAAAAATTCAAATTACAAAAAACTAAAATAAAACAAACTTAAAATAACTTTATTCATATAGGTAACCAAGTATACTTATGAACTTCAACAGAAAATATGTTAAATTCATTCTAAATTTACATTTACTACCAGTTCGCAAGTCAAGGGCGTAGACAGGGCAAGAAGACCTGGCAAGAAACTCTCCGCCACTCTTTTTAACCGCTAATTTTTGATTCATACAAACATTTTTGAACTGGAGCAAATCAATCCCAATGATTACGATCATTTAAATATTCGCCAAATTTATAAAAATCTTTATTGATTAATTTACGTTTAACGAGAGTTTTGATTTATTTATTGATAATTTTCTAATTTCGCTTGGGAGTTAGTTGTAAAAACGAATACTATTTCTTATATATAGGCTTATTTTCTGGCCTTTTATTGACAAAATATGGAATAATATTAGATCAAAAAAACTTTTGAAATAAAAAAAAAACCTCAAAAGGTTTTTGAAAATCACACATACAAGAGATAACTATATCGAGATAAAATTAGGATATGGACATGTATTAGATAGGTTCGGCCTAGCTAAGAGAGAAGACTTCCACAATTCAATTACCAAATGTAAGATGCCTATTTTGATTTTGTTATGTATGTTAAATTATTAGGCCTTTTTATCCGAACCTACTTTAGTAAGACACTATACAACAAAAATATAATATGGTTCCTACCTTCATGGTCTGGAAAAGGTGATGATCTAAAGGCGCAACTAGCTCGAAGCTTCCCAGACAATATACACCACCAGGTGCTAAGCATGCCATGTAATCATCCAGCGAGAAAAGCCGCGGCATTGCATAGTATTCTTCATCTGGAAATGTATAATATTAACAATAATGTTAAGCATCTCTGTTTCACAGCGCGAAAAATTCCGAAGAGTGCGAAATAATTATTTCGGTTGAAAATCATAGAAAGTAACAGGCGCGCACAGACCAAACCCTAAAAACACGGCTATGCATACGAACTATTACATATATAGACATGCTTTGGCCCCAGAATGTTGGATCCGTGATTAATAGGTTAACTTTTTGTGTAAAAAAAATATATTTGGTTTGTACTGATATGGATAATATGTATATCGGAAAAATAAATTAGATAGTCAATTCTAGTCCTAGTAGTAATTTCCTTATAAATAATTCTAACTTTGATTAAATGTTTTTTTTATGACCAAATCTATTAAGATTTATATTATTAACTTTAATAACAATAAACTTAGGTAAAAATATTATTATTTTTTGTAAATAAATTAATTATCTATATACATTAGGGATTCTTTATCAATTTGCGCATTTTAATTGCGAGTACTATTTTACTGTTCGAGAATTTTGAATTCTCAGGTTTGTATTTGGAATCATTCTTCGATTGTACTACAATTTTCTTATTAAATTGGCTCTTACCTGTGAGATCATATATAACATCGGGAGTGGTTGAGTCGTCACCGGAATACGCATAACCATAGCCCATCAGGCCAAGGGCTAGCAGCACGCGAACGCTTCGCGACATGACGGCGAACGAACTGTACCAATATCTGACTCTTGCATAACCCTCTAACTCGCTTTGAATTCACCCACTCTACCGGCTTTTGCATTAATTTTCCCGATAGTTTAGACACTTCAGAATAGACACGGTAATATCTCATAATAAAATCTTACTACACTTTGTACTTATCGATTCGAAAGTTAAGTAAGTAAATACATCAATTTTTAAAACGTACAATACTATTGTCTACGCTATGGTAGGGGAGCCCAAGAGGGGATTTCGGGATTTACTAAAGCGCGGCAGATTAATATATAGGGGGATACCTTGTACCCGGTTAAGTACCTCCACAAAATATGAGGCCCATATATAAGGCCGCACGTGAAGGAGACAGGATCAGTTTAGTAAAAAAAAATTGACCATCAGAAATTCCCGAGCGCGTCAGATTAAGGTAGGGTGAGTTAATTACATCCTAAAAAGTGTATATTCCACTAATCTGACAATTTGAGAGTGACGGAAAAAAGGGAGGGCAACAAAGTTGTAAAAAAAAACGTCATCTCGACATTCTCGAGCGTAGCTAATTTTTTTTTTATTTTGAAGGAAATAATTCAAGAATAATGAAAAATATATAATCTGACGATTTCCGCAAGCCGACATAACAAAAATTCGTCGATAAAGTTAAATGCGTGCAGCTGCGTGATGCCTACATTTCCTTAAACCGATCGGAATCTACTAAACGGCGTTCTAAATATTTCCCTCAAAATTACATTTTCTGTGAATTTGAACCGATTCGGACCGATAGATTTTGAGAAATTTTGAAAATTTTTTTAAAGGTTTCTTTATCGATCAACTTCAAAAACTAATCGATAAATTTTTTTTTTTTTTAATTTTCAACCCTTAAATACAACCACCCGCATCATGCAAACGATCAGATTAACATACGTACATTATTAAAAATACGTAGGGCATAGATGCTATCAATATCTGACGCGCTCGAGGATGTCCATGCAACAGTTTTTTTTTACATATTTAACTATCTATAGCCGCTTCCCCCACCGATGAAAAGGAATTTATCATATAACATTTTTTTCTTCTTTTTATCTAAGCTTTGCATCCCAATAGGTCTCTACGACGCTCGAGTAAATCCCCATTTAGCATCGTGGGCTCCCCTACCACTAAAGCATTGCAAGCGATAAAAGCTATGAATGTTACGTTTATGGTTAATAATAGCTGTGCGCATTACAAAAAAATCTATATAATAAACTACACGTTTACTAAAGAGTTATGCAATATAACAATAATATATTACATATATGCAATATAACCATATTGAAATACAACAAGTAAATTTGGAACAACTGTTTACTATTTTTTATTTATTGACATGACCTATACAAGTCCATTGGCCAAAAGAACGGTTCGGTGGCCGTTGATACACATTTTTTTATTAAAATAATAAACCCTGAGTACGTACTTCGTTTCCATATATTCATAACATGAAAGGCAAACAATTGTCAGTCGTAAGGAAAACGAGGAAATTAGTTTGGGAACAATAAGAGAGATTAGACTGATAATTTACTACTAATACTTTGCCTTTACAACAGTTCACAATACGCATAAACTATAATAATATATATAATTGCCAAAAAGGTAATTAAAAAAATGCGTCTAGAATAACCCGATCGTAACAAAAAAGCAAGTGAATCAAAATATGACGATCGGCCGAGTTAAAATATTTTACAGATTTCTTAATTTTTTAAGGGGTGGAAGCCATGCGCCTCCTTAATATTACTCGGGGGTACTGTATACAAGTTGTAAAGAACGATAAAAAAAGATTAAAGCCAAAAATACCTACCTTCTTTCATTCATTTCACAATTCATGATGTTTTTTTTTTTTTTTTTATAGAACGGGTGGCAAACGGGCAGGAGGCTCACCTGATGTTAAGTGATACCGCCGCCCATGGACACTCTCAATGCCAGAGGGCTCGCGAGTGCGTTGCCGGCCGGCTAAGTCGAATTGGTTCGGAAATACTTCAGTGGGCAGCTGATTCCACATAGTGGTGGTGCGCGGCAAAAACTGCCTTGAAAAACGCTCAGTTGTGGAACGGCGGACGTCGAGGTGATACGGGTGGAATTTCGCATTCTGTCTCGACGTCCGATGATGAAACTCAGCTGCAGGTATTAATCCGAACAACTCCTCTGAACACTCTCCATGGTAAATGCGGTAGAAGATGCAGAGTGACCCCACATCTCTACGCAACGCCAAAGGATCAAGCCGCTCGGAGAGGGATTGGTCGTCGACGATTCGAACCGCTCTGCGTTGTATACGGTCAAGTGGAAGGAGCTGGTACTGGGGAGCCCCCGCCCAGAGGTGAGAGCAGTACTCCATGTGGGGCCGAATTTGCGCTTTATATAGTTGCATGCGGTGGCCCGGAGTGAAGTACCGCCTCGCCTTGCTGAGCACACCAAGCTTTTTGGAGGCTAATTTAGCCTTTCCCTCCAAGTGACCGCGAAACAGAACGTCGTTCGATATGTCAACGCCAAGTATTCCAATGCTGGCTGTGGCTTTAAGATGAGTGTTTTCGAAAAGACGAGTAGCGACAAAGGGTGTTTTTTTAGCGGAAAACGCGCAAACTTGTGTCTTCTTGGGGTTAAATTGGACTAGGTTTTGTCTGCCCCAGTCTGAGACTCCACGTAGTAGAGTTTCGACTTCAGACACAAGTTTGTTCCGGTACTCATCAACAACTGCCCGAGAAATACCTGCCCGGCCAGTGTAAAAAGTATCCCCAGCTTGCTGTCATCCGCATAGCAATGAATGTTGCTAAGTTGCAACATATCATTGATATGCAAAAGAAATAGGGTCGGGGATAGAACACAGCCTTGTGGGACCCCAGCGTTCACAGGTTTAAGGTCGGAACATGCTCCGTCGATGACGACCTTGATGCTCCGATCGGCCAGAAAGCTGGAGATCCAATCGCATAATTTCTCGGGAAGCCCATAGGCTGGAAGCTTCGAGAGCAGTGCTCTGTGCCACACCCGATCGAAGGCTTTCGCTATGTCCAAACTTACCACCAGCGCCTCCCCCTTGGACTCAATTGCCTCTGCCCACCTATGGGTAAGGTATACAAGGAGGTCACCAGCTGAGCGACCACGACGAAAGCCGTACTGAGAATCGCTAATCAACTGGTGGCCCTCTAGATACCACAAGAGCTGGCAATTAATAATGGTTTCCATTATTTTGGAGAACAAGGAGGTTATAGCTATTGGGCGATAGTTGGACGGATCAAAACGATCGCCTTTTTTAGGGATCGGATGTATCGAAGCGGTCTTCCAGCACTTCGGGACAGTGCCGAGCGAGTACAGGTACCGGAAAAGGCGCGTTAAGACCGGAGCCAACTCAGGAGCACAAGTACGCAGCACAATTGGGGGGATACCATCCGGCCCGCTCGACTTATGAATGTCCAAGGAAGATAGTGCTTTGCGGACAGCACGTTGCTGGAATGTGATTTCCGGCATCGAAGAATCACACCGCGAAATGGTCGGTGGTGATCTTCCTTGGTCATCCAAAGTCGAGTTGGACTCGAAGAGACAGCCCAAAAGGTCGGCCTTCTCCTTCGCAGTGTGGGCCAGAGAGTCATCCTCCCTGTGCAGTGGCGGAATGGCGGGCTGACAAAAATTCCCTTGGACAGCTTTGGCGAGAGACCAGAAGGCTCGAGTCCCTGAAGGAGCTGGGCCAATCTCTCGCCAAATCTGGCAATGTGCTCTGACTTTGCCTTAGTGATTTCTCGTTTGAAGAACCTGGAGGCTGAGTTATATGCTGTTTTAAGTTCGCTGGTATTGGCATCACGAGATTTCGCCGCTTCCGCCCATGCCTTAAAGCATTCTCGCTTTCGACGCGAGGCCGCCTTGCAAGAACGTTTAAACCAGGGCTGAGACTTGCCACCGATCGGCACCGCAGAAAATGGAATAAAGAGTTCCATGCCCTGCAGAACCACTTCGGCGACAGAGGCGGCGACGGAATCTGGAGCTTCCGGCGAAAAGCACATAGGCCCCCAAGGGTAGGACGCAAAGAAAGACCGCATCCCGTCCCAATCTGCTGACTTATAGTGCCAAATACGTCGACAACCCATAAAGCGGGGCCGTGAAGGGCGCGTAGATGGCACAGTACTCCGGACCACACAATTATCCGATGAACCCAATGGCGGGTCAACAGAGACTTGATAGTTCTCCGGATGTGAAGTCAGCAGAAGGTCCAACAAAGAGGGTTTATGACCATCCACATCTGGTATTCGCGTAATCGCAGGGACCATTTGTGTCAGGTCGTAGGCTAAAGCAAAGTCGTGAAAGGATCTTCCCGCGTGATCGGTGGTTTCAGAGCCGAGCCAATCGGCATGGTGGGCGTTAAAATCGCCAAGTATCACGATTTCAGCGGTAGGAACCCGGTAGTTCGAGCAGGGAATCTGTAGCCATTTGGATGTGCTCAATGAGTCGGTCAGTTTCGGTATTTGCGCTATGGGACCTATACAGGCATGCGTAGAATCGCGGATGGTCATCGCAGTCTACGCGCAGCCAGAGGTTAGATAGGTCCCTTCCTTCAAGCGTCCCGAGGCGACGAGAACAGATATCCTCTCTGACGTACACGCAAACTCCCGCCCGCGGCACAAATGAATGTTCCAATTTGTACCCCGGTTAGGAGAGGTAGGAAGTATCAGCCGGGGAGGAAATCTGAGTCTCGGTAAGAAAGAGCAAGGCCGGCTTCGCAGTCTCTAAATGGTAGTGGACTGCGTTGATATTGGAATTCAGCCCCCTAACATTTGTGAAGTCCACGGCGCGCGTGGACGGGGGTGCCTTTGTTGAATTGCTCCTTTTGCCCCGAGAACGATAACTGTTTTTGTTGAGCGCAGAATTGCCCCCCCCAGAATACGAAGGGCAGCCTGTGCGTCCACCACCGGGTGCTGAGTGTCCCGGTGTTGGACGCCCAGAGGGGGATTCTCCACCGCGAGCGCGTGTGGTACCCCCCTGGGGTA